TAAATGATAAACAGGAGTCTCGACAATAATTGCACTTGTGAGCCGCCGACGCAGCCGTAAAACAAATGGCTTGGTCAATTGTAATGTTTGGTTTATGCTGTGCTTACCTTTGATACAACATGCATAAACACATCGATGAGTGCTAAATTGTCACACCTTATTGAAGAACCCACACTGTGTGAAACTGATCTTACAATGATCTGCCCTTCACCAAGATCACAGATTTCATAGAACATCAAATGGTTTGTTCACCTGGTAAGAATGGAACAAAATCAGCCAACAAGTGTACTACATGAGAACAGTAGGCTACAAGGCAAGAGGGCGACCAAGAAAGAGATGGGTGGAGGGAGTAAAAGAGACAACACAGAAACACAATATGATATTAACACGAGCTATGAAACTAGCAATTGACAGGTAACTACATCTATCACTGCCTGCAACACTTTACAGTATAAGCTGAAGAACAAGAGAAGAAAAACATAATATGCAACATGTTCAGATGTGAAATAACAATAAAACAGGCATAAAGCACCAGGTCATTTTTTTTTTAAAGACCTCCTGCTTTCGGCGGAAGATGCAGTGAGCATACAGTGGCTACCTTCATTCCCCCCTCCAACAATGCCATATACAGAATACAATCACAGTAATATTATTTTGATTCTGTGCTCAACAATCAACATAAACTTAATAAAAACATTCTCAAAGCATTATATTAAATTTTAACTCTTCCAGTCCCCTAGCTGATGTCCGAGAGTGACAAGAATGACATGACTAAACTCACGGGTATTCAATTTCCACAGGGACCAAATGCACAATAACTGCAGGCGACAAATATATTATCTGGGTTTTTAAAGACTCCTTGACTATATATTGGAAATTTAAAAAATAGGTACTGATAAGTAAAAATAAAAAGTAAAGATCCCTTTACACGCCCTTAGGCGCATCGGGCATATGGGAAGAGCACCCATATTTTTACAGACCAATCGGCACTCGGTGGGTAATGTGGTCGATCTGCGACGTCCCATACCACAATGAAAATCCACGCAGCCCACAGTGGGTTTCGATCGCAGTACGTTGGATTATGAGTCAGACTCGCAACGCCTTAGCCAACTGATAGGTACACATAAATAATATCTAATCACACACAGTGCATTGTTTGGGACAAAATGAATACAATATTAATGAAAGTGCTAACAGACTGCAGTAGCTGGGGTATATAACAGGAATGGCAGATAAAGCCAAGATAAAAACTGCATACACAAAGGAGATTACTGGCAGTAGACCATGAGGCATTCTAAGATGGTGGAGATACAACATACAGGCAGACCTACAAACACTTTGGGTCACCAAATGGAAAGCGAAGGCTGATCATAGAGATCACCGAAGCCATATCCGCAGTAATGAACCTAAAGAGTTCGGAATGCTAAAGAAGAAGCAGAATGCATGCACATTTGCAACCAACTAGTTAAACTCATTATCATTTAATATTCAACAAGTGCAACAAATTGGTTAAAATCAATATAATGTAAAGTAAGGTTAAATGTAACCAACAGATTAAATTCAGTATATAATGAAGTTCAAAGGAAGGTGCAAAATAAAACTGGTTACATTCGATATAATGCCAGGGTATATGTAACCAACTGGTTACATTTAATATATAATATCATACAAAGGCAAGTGCAACAAACTGATTACATTTAATATAACAAATTCAGTATAAGGGAACCGAAAGAAAAAAAAAAGGTTGTATTCAATATCACAATGTGATGTAGTGCAATAATTGCAACACCACTTATAACTAACTGGTTATATTCACAATTGCACAGTATAAAATCATCGCAAGAACGTTTGCGAGGAACTAGTTACTGAGATTATTTGTGTTTTTTAAAAACATAAGCAGAGTAAGTGTATGAAATCTAAACATACATTCATTCTGACTGGTAGACACTCGCATGCAGATAGATTGGAAGGTCGTTGGTTTGCTTCCTGGTGGAGCCGGACATTTAAAAAAAAATGACATTGACTCCCAGGTCGACCCAGCCTTGAGTGGGTACCGGGTGCAGTCCCAGGAAGTAAAGGTGGCCGGCGTGATGCTGACCACATACCCACTGTGTGCCGATTGGTCTATAAATATATAGGTCTAGCCCTAAGTGCCCTATACGCCTGAAGGCCGGGAAAAGGGACCTTTACTTTACTGTATGTTACATGACGGATATGGTATAACCTTGTATGTTACATGGCAGATCTGTTATATCCCTGTATGTTACATGGCAGATCTGTTATATCCCTGAATGTTGCATGACAGATCTGTTACATCCCTGTATGTTACATGGCAGATCTGTTATATCCCTATATGTTACATGACAGATCTGTTATATCCCTGTATATTACATGGCATATCTGTTATATCCCTGTATGTTACATGACAGATCTGTTATATCCCTATATGTTACATGATATATTTAGTATATCCCTTTATAGTGTACAAATAATGTGGTATAAAATGCAAAACAAGGATGTTAGAATAGATAAACAGCCTTACAATGACTGGGTAAAATAATATCAATACAAGAATATGTGCAGTTCTGAACTGGTTAACATAACAATTACATAATAAATGCCAACATTACAAGAAAACTTGTAACAAATAGGACAATATGACACTCATTTTTGATTATTATATGACAAGAAAATACTCCTCACAAGGCCAGCTTCAAAAACGACAGCTGTTTCAAGATTTCTTTTGTGTTACAGTTTATCTCGTTGGTAAATGTCAACATAAAAGTGTTTTAATTTGTAAGTTACAAGTAAAAGGTGGACCCCAGGAATGCCACCAAATATGTGATTATATATAGACCTTTCTTTTCTTAACTGCCTTATACATTTTTACTTTGCATGTGTAAGCTTCAATATTTTGACAGGACTGACACATTTTTCACTAGTTTTTAAGTGCTGTATACATTTTTTTAACTTTGCATGTGCAAGCTTCAATTTTTTGCTGTGACTAACACATTTTTCACTAGTTTGAAAATGGATCAGTGAAGGACATTTTCATCAGGATTATACCATTTATTTGATCCATGTCTTTTTTTCTGTAAATATTTTTTTTTTAATTTGTTTATTTTCTGCCATTTTATCTGTATGACATTGTCTATAAACCACTGTACTTATTACCAATGCAAAGTAGTTACTACTTGGAGAGATATAAAAAAGATAAGCATCACCCAAGTCGCAGTTTCTCGTTAAAATTTACATCGTTGACCTACATACAAAATCCATTGCCTTCGTAAGCTAAAGTAAATCATCCCTGGAAACTGTTAACAACAAATCAGCAAAACCTGCCCGGTACTCACCTTTACAACAAAGAAACAACAATAAACAAGGGTAGTACAACAGGTCTGCAGAAATGTTTCATACAGCTCAAACACAAACATGAGTAAATTATTTTAAAGTGCACAATATAAATCTGTGTATAACAAAAAGTGCTCCCCAAAAAACGTATCCAACAAACTGAATGTTTATTCAGGCAGTTAATAAAGTAACAAAACCTCTGTATTAAATAGCCCGGCTCTCTAGGGTAGTTGGCTAAACCGGATTGCGCGGTGACCGGGTGACAAACTCCTTGTGGTCCGGGGTTACTCCCGGGGGTAGGCAGAAAAGCCACATTTCTCCCAGATTTACGGTATTTACAATGGAATCAAGGCCGAAAGGTTGCGATATCCATAATACCGAGCCTAAGGGTTAACAATTCATGGCTTCTGGATACTATAACAAACAAATGTATTAAATAACGGAACCCTATCCACTCCAGCATCTTTGTGAGTGCAGCACATTTTGGCTTACATAGCTGGTTCATGTAAATTTCCACGAATTACCATATTTTTTTATGTATATATGTTTTCACAAATGTAAAGTTTAAAAACAGGGTGTTGTCTTGTGAATGGAATGTGTCTTAAATATTTATAAATGTGTGGATACAAAATATGGGTCATCATAATAAAATATTAATTAATTAAATTTTTTTTTAATGGGGTCGTCTTATGCATGGAATGTGTTTTAAATATTTATTTATCATTTTTTTGCCAATAAACTGGGTGTTGTCTATACACTGAATGCGTTTAAAATATTTATTTATTAATTTTTGGAAAAATAAACTGGGTGTCGTCTCATAAATAGAATGTGTTTAAAATCTTTATTTATTAGTTCTTGACCAAAAAAACTGGGAGCCGTCTCATGCATGGAATGTGTTTAAAATATTTATTTATTAATTCTTGACCTAAAAACTGTGAGTGTCTCATGCATGGAATGTGTTTAAAATATTTATAAATTCTTGACCAAAAAAATGGGAGTGTCTCATGCATGGAATGTGTTTAAAATATTTATTTATAAATTCTTGACTAAAAAACTCGGAGTGCCTCATGCATGGAATGTGTTTAAAATATTTATTTATTAATTCTTGACCAAAAAACTGGGAGTCGTCTCATGCATGAAATGTGTTTAAAATATTTATTTATTAATTTTTGGCTACAAAATAGGGGTCATCTTACATATGGGGCAACTTATACACGTTAAAATACAGTATTTCCTTCTGCAGAAAATGTGCTTTGTACTAACACACACAAAACCTGAACTTTAATTTGTGGCTGTTTCCAGCTCAGAATTAAATTCTAGGGGTGTGCCAGCATTAATAATTTTATACAACTAATCAAAAGGTCAATTGAAAAAAAAAATTTAACAATCACTGCACCGATTTTTAGTTTTCTTTTTCTGTAACCTTTAAGAAAGTATGGAATTTATTTCTAATAAAACAAAACCCAGAAAACTGACATGAAACATATGCTGAACCTGATAAGAATAAATCTCCCCCCCCCCCCCCTCTTTTTCCCAAAAGTATGTACATCAATTAACAGCAAGACCTGTTTTCTTATCTACAACATACATATGCCCTGCGTAACCTGGGGAAAACGTACATAAGATAACCACAGAAGCATACAAAGATTTCAGTTTCTCAATGACTTCTTCTTTGACCGTTTGGCAGGACAAATCAACACAGGCACCTGAGAATGCTGAAGGATATAGTCGCTGACGCTGCTGATGAATGTACGCTGAATTCTGTTCATACCCCGGGCCCCTAAGACAATCAGGCCTGCGTTCTCCTCTTCGGATGCTGCTATAATGGCCTCGCCTATGTTCCCTGCCATCTGCTTCACCTTTCCGCCCAGCTGGAAAACAACCAAATCAGACACAGGCAGAATCAGTTATACTGGAGTTTGAATATGCGTTCATAATACAATCATGTAGGTCCAGCGACACATATTTTGATCGGACATTTAATTGATTCCATAAGCATTAAATAAAAAAGGCAACAGCGTTAGAGCTATAATAAGTTTCAAACAAGAGTCAGAAATGACAGAGAAGAGAAGAAAAAGAGCAAGAAAACCAATAGTTTATGTTATTTTGTTCACAGTAACTCATTTCATGAAGAAATAAACTATTAGTTTTTTCTTACTATTTTTTTTTTCTTCTCTTCCTGATAATTTCCCACCTTTTTTCAAAACTTATTCCATATACATGAACATTGTTTTTATGAATAACATGCCTTACAAACAACTTTCTACGATCTTACTTGCAATAGTTCCTTCTTCTTCTTAGTGTTCGCTGATCGTAAATTTGGGCAAAAATATTTCTGGTTGTTCCTCCACTTCTGGACTTTGATCTTGTTCCAGAACTTGAGTTTTGCATGCACATCAGTTTTACAGATCTAGATTATTTGTAAGCAGGCTACTGGTTCCTCGCCTCTCAAGCAGACGCATTTCTCTCTCCCATACTCACACAGATCAGTACTGCCACCTCACACACACATATATATATATATAATCACAGTCCAACAATGAAATAATGAGACTGATTTTATTAAAAACTCCATCCATGATGCATGTTATCCAAACAGGCATCATTCTATACTATGATCTGGCAAAATTGTAGCCACCACCCTGTCAACAGATGGCATGTAACCAACCATTTGGTTTAGCTAGTGAAAGCTGCATTGTTGCGCATGCAGCATGCAACCAAGGGTGAACATTAATTATGTTTTAAACTTAGAAAAGTGTTCCTGGAACAGATGAACCAATGAGATGAGTCTATGAAGATCGTTTTTTATCTCATGTATGAGGTATTATTCAAGATTTGAAACTGGTGTGGATAGGACTGAAGATGAAGCTGGGCCAGGATGTCCAGTTTCTATTTGTAATTCTAAACTCACTAACAAAGTCAGAGAATGAACACAGGAAGACTGATTGTGAGAAGGAGATCTTCTAAGCAGTCATCAGCTGTAGACACTGGCAAAAAATGCTGGTTGTTCATCGAATTCTGGATTTTGTTCTTGCCCCAAAACTTGCTTTTTTGTTTCCGTGCACTCACATCAACCTCACATATTTGGTTTAACTGTAAGCTGACTTTTGATTCCTTGCCTCTCAGACAGATGTACTCTGACCTTGAAGGAAACTTTTTTAACTAGTCACCTCCAAAGACATGTTTGTTGGGAGCTCAGTGGGTCTATTCATGTTTGCCCCAAAAACCCACAAAGGGAAGATGGAGATAATCTATATTCTATAACTACACCTGAAAATAATAAAAATAGAGTCCATCATAAAGATGGAGGGAGAGGCAGAGGGAGACCAAGAGAAAAGAAACTGGACATTCTGACATCATCTGTGTCTGAATTAACTGAAAGTACGGGAGACAGAAGGATGTGGATAGACAGGACTACCAAAGCCACATATCCCACACTATAAGAATTATTAATACATAATATGTACTGAACAAAACTGGACAACTGATACCGACTGAAACTTACATGCAACTCCTTAAACTTGTCACTGTACTTGTCCAACAGCTGTTTCACCATTACTTCTGCCTCCTTGATGAGCTCAACTGACATAACTGGGTCAGTCAGCAAGGTTGCTGCCAAGTAAAGTAACATATTCACATAATTAACTTAATATAATTAATAAAATTCACTGTATGGGTTCCGAACCCAATTTGGAGAGGAAAAAGAACACTGCCTCTCTAACAAGTATGTTGTAAAAGATGACTAGTTAGGAGTGTCTCCTTTGAAGTGGGAGTGCATCTGCCTGAGAGGCAAGGAATCAAGTTTGCCTTCAAATAAGCGAGGTCCGTAAAACAGATACTCATGCAAAACTCAGGTCCTAGAATAAAGTCATAGTTGAGAAATGGATGAACAACCAGGAATTTCTGCTGGAGTTTACAGCCAGTGAATGCAAACAAACACTTAACATAATCTTTTTTCTTCTTCTTCTTCTTTGCGGTCACCAGCTGTAAACTCTGGTGGAAAGTTCTGGCTGTTCATCCACTTCAGGGCTCTAGTCCTGTTCCAGAACCTTAGTGTTGCGTGTACATCCATTTTACAGATCTGACTCTGAATGCAGACTGCTGGTTCCTTGCCTCTCAGGCAGATGCACTTTAACTTTGAAGGAAGCTCCCAGTTAGTCGACTCTTACGACATGCTTTTGGGTAGGCAGTGGGTCTATATAAAACATCCAGCAGAAAATTTTTCAAAGTAGTTAAAAATATGCGGAAAAGAGATGAGAGCTACAACCCCACTGAAATAATTAATGATAAGACAGGAAGGCCATTGATAGATCCACCCGAGATAGCAGAAAGATGGAGGGAATACTTCAATGAGCTCTTTAATTATCTAGGAGATCATCAGGAAAGAACAACTGAAGAGCACAGAGCAACAGTGTTAGAACCACACATACTAATGGATGAAATAGAAAAAGTCATTAAGCAGTCTCCCAAATATAAGGAACCAGGAGCTGTTAGATTACCAACAGAAAAAATTCAAGCAGCAGGTGAAAGCAGCATCAGATGGCTTCACAGAATATTTAATGCAGCATGGGTACAACAAACTGCCCCTATTGATTGGCAACATGAAATAGTTATCCCATTGTGGAAGAACAAAGGAAGCAAACAAGAATGAGGTCAATACCGAGGCATCTCTCTTTTAAGCCATGTTGACAAAATGTATGCCAAGATAATAGAAACAAGACTGAGACCAGTAATAGAACCACAGCTAGCAGAATAACAGATGGGATTTAGGAGAAATAGAAGCTGCACAGATGCAATTTTCACACTTGAACAGTTAATAGAAAAGAACATTGAATACAATAAGAACTTATTTGTGGCCTTCGTAGACCAGGAGAAGGCATTTGACAGAGTCGACAGACAATTATTATGGAAAGTAATGGTAAGATATGAAGTAAGCGAACACCTCATCGAAGTGTGCAAAAGTTTATACAGGGACTGTAGAAGCGTAGTTAGAATAAATCAGGGAACATCTCATTCATTCACAGTAACATCTGGAGTAAGACAGGGGTGTGTCTTATACTGCTGTTTAACACCTACATCGACAGTATTTGCAAGAATGCCAAGCCCATGAATGAAAATGTTAGTAAGATCAACGAATTACTCTTTGCAGATGACCAGGCCTTGATACAGCCATAAAATTGCAACAACATCTAACATCCATGAATGAAGAATGTAAAACAAATAATATGAGAATCAACACTGAAAAGACAAGTAATGTCAATAGGAAAAAAGAAGACAAATCTAAACATAGCAATAGAGAACAAAGGCATTAAACAGGCATCTGAGTTTAAATATCTGGGAACTACATTTACCGAAGATGGGAAATTGGATAAAGAAATTAACATTAGATACAGTAAAGCAAACCAAGTATTGGGACAGCTAGCCCCCCTCTTACAGCATAAGACAATCCCAATCAGCACAAAGAGACATCTTATTCAAAGCATATTTATTCCAGCTCTATGCTACCAGTGCTAGACATGGTCACTCACAACAAACCATAAAAGAAAATTAGTAACCATGGAAATGAGATGCCTGAGAAGGGCTGTATCAGTGACCATAAGACCATGTCAGAAATGAGATCCTAAGAGAAAAAGTCGGCACAGAACCAATTCTAAATTACATACAAAGACAGCAAGTGAAATGGTTTGCCAACTTACAGAGAATGCCTTGTGACACCATACCATACAAAGCATACATGGAAAGAGAAGGACGTAGAGCAAGAGGTAGACCAAGAACAAGATGGAAGGATAACATCAGAGAAGCTCTACAACAGCACGATGTGCCTATGGTCAAGGCGGCCAGAAGAGCCAGAAACAGAACCTTATGTCTCCCTCGACACCCACAGCGGTAAAAGAGGAAGTGAAGAAGAAGAAGTGGGTCTATTCTTGTTTTCCATGTAATAGGGAACTTAACATAATGTTTTCAGTCCACTGAATTCAAAATGGCCACTTGACCTCCTCAAGTAAAATCCTTTACCATGGCTATTTCACAAGCTGCACTTCTTCTTTTACCACTTTGGGTGTGGAGGGAGATATGAGATTCTGCTTCTTGCGGACATGAACAATTCATTGCATCCCCATATGGGTTAAAGGGCATTAAGAATAGAACCACTGCCTCCCCAACAAGCATATCGTAGAAGTTGACTAATTGGGAGCTACCCTCGAAGTCGGAGTACATCTGCCAGAGTGGCAAGGAACAACCAGATGCACAAAAGTAAGCCAGTAAAATGGATGTACACGCAAAACTCAGGCCCTGGCACAAAATCAAAGTCCAAACAGACAAACAACCAGGACTTTCCACTGATGCATACAGACGGCGAACAAAGAAAAAGAAAAATACACCGCACAAGTTACTGCCTGGCATATTTGGCCATATGTATAACTACAGAGTTAAATCAACAAATAACAAAGCAGAAAAATGATTTCTTTTGGCTGAAATGCATAAATCAAATTGTAAAGTTTCTATACATCTCTCTGTGCTTGAGTCGCTAGCTATAAATTCAGGCAGAAAGTCTTTGCTGTATGTCCAATTCCTGGACTATGTCTTTGTTCCAGAACCTGAGTTTTGTCTCCATTCATTGGTGGAGAGATGTAAAGAAACTTGACAATGTGGTTTATGCATTTTGGTGAAAAGGATTTATTTCTGTGCTCATTATATGTTGAGTTAACTATAAAGTAATGGACCTGATGAAAGGTTAAAGATGAGTTGGGTTTTATCCTAAATGGTTCAGGATCTCTCAGCAGAATGGCCAGCTGCCTGCCGAGAGTGTTGCTCAGAGCATGAACTCTTGCGTCTCCGGCGATGATCCCCAGGGATTTCCATAAAAACTGCACTTGTGAACTGAACAGCACAGCTTTCAAACAAACCCATGACTTTCAGACCCCGAGGCAAACGACTTGACCACTTCGCCACAGAGCCTCAATGCACCTGATGAGATACAGTGAAATATGCCAGGCAATAAATTATGCAATTTATTGTTTGTGTCTACATTATTTAAACTTCTCCCCCGTGTGGGTTCCGGGGCCCCATTGTGGGGAAAACAAGAATAGACCCACTGCCTCCCCAAAAGCATGTCGTAAGAGTCGACTAACTGGGGAGCTTCCTTTGAAGTTGGAGTGCATCTGCCGGAGAGGCAAGGAACCAACAGTCTGTATTCAAGAGAATGAGATCTGTAAAACTGATGCACACGCAACACTCAGGTTCTGGAGCGGGACTGCAGTTCAGTAGTGGACGATAAACCAGAACTTTCCGCCAGAGTGTACAGCTGGTGAACGCGAAGAAGAAGAAGAAGATTTAAACTTCTAAGGGAAAACATTGTTTTGAAGATTCTAACTGCAGTCTGCTACCTGTAGAACTAAGTTCATCTACACCAACTCAACTAGTGAAAATACAGGCCTCAATTGTTAGAAATCTAAGAGCTTAGACCAGCAACCTGTTTGAAATATTTAAATTTACAAAGGGAAAACACTGTTCTGAATGTTCTAACTGCAATCTGCTTCCTGTTGAACTGAGTCATCTCCACCAACTTAACTACTGAATATACAGGTCTCGCATGGTGGGTAATGAACAGGCAGACAGATTGGCTGGATCTGCACCACTGGGTGGTGAACTGATGCATGACAGGGCAGATGTTGTCAAGGCCCTTTGGGAACAAGTTACGGAAACAAGATTATTATGGCCTGGAGAGAATAAGGCACCTGAGTGTAACCAGAGGGTGTAGCCGACTCGCTAAACTCAGAGGAAAGGCGAGATGAACCTATAACCAGATTGTGACCGGTACCATCAGTATTAAAACTCTGCGCTGGTTGCTGAAGATGAAGACGGAGCACACAAGGGAATGCCCCGAGTGCTGTGATGTCAATTCTTGATTTAACTAACTAACTAACAGATCTCGATTGTTAGAAATCTTAAGAGCTTGAACCAGCGATGGAAAAACACTGTTCTGAACATTCCAACTGCAACTTGTTTCCTGTACAACTTAGTAATCTATCTGCGTTAACCTAAGCAGTAAAAATACAGGCCTAACTTGTACTTACGAGCTTGGACAAGTGACGTGAATTCAGAGACATGGACTAGAACTATCTTGTCGTCTTTGATCATGACATACTGGGTGTAAACTGGGGACACAGAATTAATAATAACAGTAATTAAAATTTGATGTTCCTGTTGACTGACTTCTCAGTCTCATAGAATATCAAAAGACTGAGGTTTTAAAACAACAGATCAGCATCATGGCACATGGGTGTAACCCATAAGTGCTCCGTTCTTCTTCTAACTCAAGTCTGAGCTCGAAGAAGCGTAGGCTTTAGGACCGGCGAGGATCCTGAAATACTTTCGGTATATTTTTTTTACTCCAAATTTTGCCCGGGCAGTGCCGTGAGGCTACTCTTTTCAATTTCCAACTGCCAAGGGATTTTTTATGTGAGCAACAATACACACGGTGGGTAATAAACAGGCAGACAGATTGGCTGGATCTGCACCACTGGGTGGTGAATTGATACATGATGTGGTCAAGGCTAATTAAGAACAAGCAACAGAACCAGTAGAAAAACAAGATTATTGTGGCCTTAAGAGAATGAGGCACCTGGGTGTAACCAGAGGGTCTGGCCAACTCACTACCCTCAGAGGAAAGGCAAGACAGGCATATAACCAAATTGTGACCGGTACCATTAGTATTGGAACTTTGCGCTGGCTGCTGAAGATGAGGAAGGAGCATACATGGTAATGCCCAGAGTGCTGTGATATCAATTCTAGACTCAACACACTTGCTCAACTGAGAGGCATACATCACCACACTGGACTTTCATTCACCCATGACTTTCTACAGGTTTCACCCCTTCATTGACACAAACAAAAACAGATAACGGTACACTGCTCCTCTGTGATGCATGTCAGAATTTGGGTAGGCATTTTTTAACTGTCATTATGATATCACTGTGTTTGTCTGCACCCACTTAACACTCTTAACAACAATACTGACAGCTTACAAGACAATGCCATGATTATTGTAATTTCTGTATTGGTTCTCGGGTTTTCATATAAAGCCCCCTAGTAACATGAAAAATGAAGAGGTGAAATTTCATAGTTATTTAGTTAGACCTAGTTGCCTCGTTGACAAAAATATATAATGTCTAGGGGTTCTGTTCACTACTGAATGCGCCAAAACATTTTAAAACACTTCTCAAATAGTTCTTGTTTCTTGGAAGCAAGTCTAAACTGCTGTTTATTTTTTCTTTATGCCTTTTTTTTACAAAAACCTTGATATACTGACTTAGAATTGACATGAAAATGAAAATCATCATCATCATGTAGCACAGGGCTATTCAACTAAGTTTACTTGGGCCAAATTGTTTAAACTAGGTATCGCTACAGGCCTGAGTCATGAGCCCAAGCATGGACAGATCATTAATATAATACAACTGGCAATGATCCGCAGGCCGCTTGCTAGGCCTACGCGGGCCAGATGTAGCAGGTCCTTTGCAGAACATCACTGTCATCCTGGTCTCCATGAAAGAAACTAGGTCTCTCACCAGCTTTTCCGCCTCATGCACTTTCATATTCAAGGAGTCACTTAAATTAAGTTATATCCTGTGCCTATCTTCATGCTGGTCGGCCGCTGCCCCTCCTTCCTGGCACCTTGACTTCTGCTGTTATTTTTTCCAAATCGTCGTGGCGCTTGATAGGACCAAAATATTTCAGCTTCAGCGACAGGATGCTGTTAATCAGCCAATCTTCCTTGATGTTGAGATGTTTCAAGATGTATTTCTTTTCTTTGTCCAAGATATTCTGAGAATCTTTCTATAGCATTTCAGCTCAAAGGGACCTTATTCTCTTTCTTAAGGACTAGGAGATAATCCACATCTCACATCCGTAGGATGCTACAAGAAAGATGCATGCTCTTCAAATTCTAATCTCCTTGCTGGTGCTTAACCATAGTTTTTAAGGCTATTTAATCTTTGCATTGCTATGACTAATGAAAATACACTTGGAAAAATACATGCTGGAAAGAGATTTTTAATATGTATTCAGCTGTGCTGTTTTAATGTTTATAAAATGATTTTGAAAAATGCACTAAAGTACTGTGTCTGTGATTTCCCTTGCATGTCGAGAACCAACCAAAGCCTCTGCTCAATCCCTGCTGAATTAGTCTCTCCAGGTAAGTTACCACTGAAAAGATTTGTGATAAGAGAGATCCAGACAGAAGAAGACAACAATAAATAAGAGAAGTCTTCACAGCCTTTTGTCATTGCGAGTTCAAATGGGTAAAGATTCCTCAACACAGCAGGACAAGCTCATATTAGTATTATTTACTCTGCCTCGCTCTTAAATTAAAATTTTAATTAATGAATTGATAAAATCATAAAAAACAGTACACTAACTAGTAAACTACTTAACCTACAATCAAAGGCAGACTCCGCACGTTCAGTGTTGTCTATGGCAATAATTACTGTCCTTGGCATGATTCGTCAGCACGTCTTCAAATAACACGATCAACGAGATGTGGTTAGTGAGTATTAGTATAATTCAAGTTGTACAGTACTAAACTTTCCAAACTAGTTTGTAATTTAAGCGAATGAAACGAAAGTTGAATCAAGTCTAGTAGTGAGCAAAAGCTGATTGACTAAACTTGAATAAAGTCTGCGAAAGTTGAACCAAGTGGATAATCTGCACTACTAAAAACCAGCCACCATAGAAAAAGGAAGTCTGACTACTTAAACTTTCGAAAACTAACGACAAAGACTACAGAAAAAGTTAAGGGAATGTTTATACACTCCTAGCTATGTTTTGTCTCGTCTGCCGCCCACCGGAAGTATTCCCATCCATCATCATCATCATGCCAGCTTGTCCGTCGCGGTTTTAATTTCACGGCATAAGGGTTGCCCCTTAATTGCTCCGTTTCTGCGTCAATGTTCTGTTTGTCAGCTTTACTTCTTCTTATAGTAAAGTCCGTCTGACGTTGTTGGTCGTGTCTTTCCATAACCTTCTGTCTCGTGTACTTTCAGTCAGTTCTGACACAAAGGATCTTCCATGCCATGATGTCGGACTGTTCAGTATCTTCTCTCTCTCGGTCTTCCTCTGTCTGTTTCCCCCTCTAACTTCCCGTCTGTCACGATGTACTCCAGTTTTGTCAGGAGGTGACTAAAGAATGTAGATAGTTTGAGTTCATCTGTGGTAAAATCCAGTGGAAAGTTGGGATTTCTATGAGTGCTAATCAATACATTGTCTGTTTTTTAAAATACTTTTACGATTTATACGGCCTCAAGTGTTCTCCCTCTGTTTATTTATGTGAATGACGTATACACACTGGAACTCTCAAATCAAATATCTTTTTTAAATGTTTGTGTATTCTAGTGGTCATGAAATACCAGAAATTCGTTATGCTGATGATACAGTATTACTATCAACATCACAAAATGGTTTAGAAAACTTATTAACCTCACTCCAAAGAAATAGTGAAAATCATAACTTATTTCTTAACATAGCAAAAACAAAGATAATGCATACAAACAAAACTGCCATGGAGAAGGAAATATATGTTAATGAGGAAAGATTGGAAGTGGTGGAAAATTTCGAATATCTTGGGTCACTGGTTACCAACAATGGTGACACAATGAAAGAAATTAAACGGCGACTATCAATTGCTCTTCAAAGACTAAAACAACTGAATAAATTATGGAATTGTACAGATAGAACTACAAAGGTCAAATTTTTAAGAGCATGCATCTTTCCCATTGCAACATACGCCTGTGAGACCTGGACACTTACTAAACAAGCGGAACAGCGCATAAATGCATTTGAATATAAATGTTACAGACAGGTTCTAAGAATATCTTGGGTAAAGAAAAGAACAAATGCATCCATACTTCAAGAGCTGAATATTGAAGAGGGTTGGCTAGTAAAGACAATAAAACAAAGCAAATTGAAATATTTTGGTCACTTGAAACGTCATGGAAGTCTAGAGAGAACAATAATGGAGGGGTAAATGCCCGGGAAGAGAGGAAGAGAAAGGCCAAGGAGAAGAAGGGTGCAGGATGTGGCAGATGATCTCCAGATGGGTGTATCAGACGCAGGACATCTTGCTCAGGATAGGAAGGTTTTCCGGCGGGTTGTTATGGCAGCGAGGTTCCGCGAGGGACATGCTACTGAATGAATGAATGAATGTGTATTCTAGACAAAGCATTACGGTATACCGTGTTTGTAAATTGCACGGCCAGCTCTATTTGAGAAGGCAGTGGTAAATTGTTGCTGTGTTTGTTATTTCAACTATGTTCCTTTAATATAAATTACTGTAGCGTATGGTGCCATTTCAGTGGTTTGAGATGAATTCTGTCCGTATTCCATAGTTGTGGATTTCAAGCTGTACGATAGGATGGCAAATGAAGAAACCTTTTTCTGCGTGGTGCTTATTTGACCATATTTTTTGTGCACTTGTTTCCATAGCGAGGCGCACATGCCATTTGGAAGTGACATGTTCGATTCCCGTCTACCGTGGCCTATCTCATCAAAGTTCGTTTTGGGGTTTCTTCTAGGCGTCCTCGATTCTGCGAACCTTTTATTTCTTACTTCAGACGTGCCTGTCTGGTGATGCTCTGCCCGTCCACCCCCCCCCCCTCCCCCACTCAGGACGTGCCCGAAATGGGGAATTAATCAAGGAACAGACGGTAACTATAGCTTTTGATTTTTATGTTGTCTAGTGTGTTCTTCTATCTTTCTACTTCTTTCTATGAGTGCCGTTCACAATACTCTCTGTTACTTGATTAATTCATAATATTTAACGGCCTCAAATGGTTCCCCTCCCCCCCCCCCTCTGTTTATTTATAGGATTTACCGATATGGGGAAGTGGCGTCAGCCAGTCCCTTAAAAATGGGGGTGAGGTGGGGAAGGGGTCAAAGGACCTGAGCTCCCAGGTTCCTGCGCCGATACTTTGCGTGAATAAAAGTAAGACAGATTTTACAGTCCTGAGGTTGTGGAATGAGAAGACTGCATAAGAAAATGGAAGAAGAGATTAATGTAGCTCAGGCTGGATTTAGACAGGGAAGAGGAACAAGAGATCATATATTCAACATGCGTTTAATAATAGAGAAGTGTAGAGAATTTAATGTAAATCTGTTCTTATGTTTTGTGGATTATTCAAAAGCATTTGACTGTGTACAACATCAGAAGCTTTGGGAAATCATGAGGAATATGGGCTTTCCATCACATATAGTGCAGCTCATTAAAATGCTCTATCAAGACCAACAAGCAGCAGTCAGAATAGATGGAGAGACATCAGACTGGTTTGGCATCAAGCAAGGAGTCCGTCAGGGATGTGTGCTGTCACCGTATTTGTTCAACCTGTACGCCGAAAATATAATGAGAAATGTAAGAGATGATATAAACAAGGAACAATATGATGCCCTAAACATCGGTGGTCATGAAATACCAGAAATTCGTTATGCTGATGATACAGTATTACTATCAACATCACAAAATGGTTTAGAAAACTTATTAACCTCACTCCAAAGAAATAGTGAAAATCATAACTTATTTCTTAACATAGCAAAAACAAAGATAATGCATACAAACAAAACTGCCATGGAGAAGGAAATATATGTTAATGAGGAAAGATTGGAAGTGGTGGAAAATTTCGAATATCTTGGGTCACTGGTTACCAACAATGGTGACACAATGAAAGAAATTAAACGGCGACTATCAATTGCTCTTCAAAGACTAAAACAACTGAATAAATTATGGAATTGTACAGATAGAACTACAAAGGTCAAATTTTTAAGAGCATGCATCTTTCCCATTGCAACATACGCCTGTGAGACCTGGACACTTACTAAACAAGCGGAACAGCGCATAAATGCATTTGAATATAAATGTTACAGACAGGTTCTAAGAATATCTTGGGTAAAGAAAAGAACAAATGCATCCATACTTCAAGAGCTGAGTATTGAAGAGGGTTGGCTAGTAAAGACAATAAAACAAAGAAAATTGAAATATTTTGGTCACTTGAAACGTCATGGAAGTCTAGAGAGAACAATAATGGAGGGGTATATGCCTGGGAAGAGAGGAAGAGGAAGGCCAAGGAGAAGATGGGTGCAGGATGTGGCAGATATCTCCAGATGGGTGTATCAGACGCAGGACATCTTGCTCAGGATAGGAAGGTTTTCCGGAGGGTTGTTATGGCAGCGAGGTTCCGCGAGGGACATGCTACTGAATGAATGAATGAGGTTGTGGAGAGTCATGATCGACCTAGACAGTGTTGATCTAAAAAGTATCGACTTGGTCAATGACCCGGTAGATACCGGAAGTGTGTCGCAGACGGCGATAACGGAACGGTGTTGCTTTAAATAACAACAGATTGACTCTCTTGTGTTGTTTCTGGGAACTATAGTGTGTCATTTGTTGCCTTTCTCTTTGGAGTTCGATGTCACAGGGCCCATCGCTCATGTAGAAACTACCCCAAACTATCTTCGGTAAACATTTAGGATGGCGGGTGTGGTTGTTTGGGCGTACAAAAATAACAGAAATCTATGGACGGTTTACGAACCTCTTGTTTCTTGTGAGCTAGAGAGGCAGTATTTGCTAAATACTCAACAAAATGTCAATCTTGGAACTGTATCTTCTAGTCTGTCATGCTATGAAGTCAGTTTTCTACATATGACGCAAACTAATATACCGTCAGGTGAGTGTTTGAACTATTTAACGACAGTAAACAACGGTAAGATTTAAATTAAATGAGTGAGTCTATCACGGACGACAGGAAAGTGAAATCGAAAGTACTTACTTAGTAAGTTACTACTTATACTTAGTATCAATATTATCAAAAGGAATCCTCTTAGTGTGAAAGATTATGTTGTAGAATTTTAAAACTAAAGTAACTGATTCATACCAGAATATAGCATCGACAAGTAGAAGCAATATGGTATCAAGGTAATGACCAGAGATTGTATAATCATATAATCATTATCAATGTTAGTTAAGATGGCGTGTCCACATGTTTACTTTACCACGATCTTACAGTAATACTACTAATACCCTAGGCTGCTCTGTGGGTGATGCAATCGAGCTAAAAACCTAAATACAAGACAGACCACCTAGATCAGATCATTGATTTTGTGGTTCAAAGCCTGGATGGGGAAAAAATTAGGGTTTGACACTGTCAAGCTCCCCACATCCTGTCTCTTCTTCTTAGTGTCCATGGGTGTTAAACTGGGGCAGAAGGTTCTGGTTGTTGGGCTGAAAGATCTGGTTGTTCATCTGCTTTTAGACCGTGGTCTTGAGTTTAAACAATAGGCTACAGAAACTCATAGAAAATGGAACAGAGGAATAAACTGCAAGCCTTATTTGGCATATAATGGTGCATCTGCAGTGGTAAATCTGCCATTTTGACCATGTTAAAGGGGGTGTAGCCAGATAAGAGCACTATGCAAGAAGCCAGAGAAGAATAAGAAACCAACACAGAACTGGTGTCATCAGCCGCTACACGCTGCAGCATTTACTGAGGAGGGGATCCAAGCACTTATGGACCTAATGGTTTGATGTGCTGTGAGGATAATCTGTCAACTGACTGACTGTAATAGCTCAACATGATGATGAGGAGGATGATAAGAATAAGAAGTAATAATAAGTAAAAGTATGATTAGTTGCTTTGTACTAAATTAGTTTTAAAGTAATTGTTTCAGTGTCTTTTTGTATGCTGATGAAGTCTTTCTAGCTGCAACATCCAATCTGTCACTTATGGCTATGTTATTGTCACGTAGGCAGAATGTTCAGGTTGTTTATCCACCCTCAGACTTTAGTCTTGTTTCAGATGCTGAGTGTTGTATGCACATGCAGATCTGGCTTACTTGCCTCTGAGGCAGATACACTCCAACTTTAAAGGATGACCCTAATTGTTCGACTCCTACGACATTCTTTTTGATGAGACAGTGGGTCTGTTCTTGTTTTCTCCATAATGGAACCCAGCTACCCACACAGAGAACTTTGTGGGTCTAAAAGTATTCCAATAATAACGCAGTAGTACACAATTATTTACATTTTGCATAAATGGCAAAGTATCCACAGTTTTTTTTTTTTTTTTAAATTAATCTGAACAAAATATGAAAATCTTTAATGTATAGTTTTAAACACAAGATATATATTTTCAGTTGTATCATGTGCAAGTAAAAGCTGGAGAATCACTAAAACATGAAGTCAAAGCTAAATGCATTTGAAAACATATGTTTGAGGAGAATGCTGAGCATAAAATGGTAGAATTCAAGCAGCGTAAAGAAGTAAGAGCAATATCTGACCTCAACCGTCTCCAGCTGACGGGTCGCGCTGCTGACGTCATCGGGTCGGGTTAATGATGTGTTAATACAGCGGTTCTCAAACTGGGTGCAGAGGCACCCTGCAGTGCCGTGAGTGTATGCTAGGGGTGCGGCAGCAATAATCAAGAAAAGTCGGCTAAAAATCGTGAAATTATTAAAGAAGGCATGTAGATACTTACAAGTTAAAATTTAAGTTGTTTTCCCTGGTCACTGTCGAAAATAGTTTATTTCTTGTTTGAGAACCGCTGTGTTAATGTATCGTTAGTTTAACCCAGCGACGTCAGCAGCATGTCCCATCAGCTGGAGCCGGTCGTGATCTGACCAACCACAAGTGTAAATAATTGTTAGACAAAGAGGATGGTACTATATTGGACATATCCTGAGAAGAAATGGGTAGAGAATCACCAGATAGGCACTACAATTGGAAATAAAGGGATTGAGGAAATGAGAAGGTCCGAAAGAAACCCTAAGGCAGAGGTTGATGAGAGAGGCCAAAGCTGCTGGACTGGATTCCAGCCATGATTTTGAAGGAATAGAACAGGATGGAGGAATCGAGCGTGAGCCCTATGTGATGTATGCGACATTTTATATTCAAATAACACATACAAAAAATAATTGATACATGACAAGGCAGATGTGGTCAAGGCCCTTTGGGAACAAGCAACAAAATCAGTAGAGAAAAAAGGTTATTATGGCCTGGAGAGAATGAGGCACCTGGGTGTAACCAGAGGGTCTGGCCAGCTCACCACACTCAGACGAAAGGCAAGACGGACATATAATCAGATTGTGACCGGTACCATCAGTATTGGAACTCTGCACTGGCTGCTGAAGATGAGGGCAGAGCATGCATGAGCTTTTAAATAATTCCCAAATGTTTTCCATCACTTGTAGGGTCAGTTAGAGAGGTGAAGAGGATCATGTGCAGCCACACATCAGCTCTGGGACAAGGGGTGGTGTGGGAGTATGAGGGGGACAAGCCCAACCAGTGGACGGTGTATGACGTGGACACTCTGAACGTCATTGAAGATGGTTTTGTGAGGCATAACCAGATGAACATGTCAGTTCTGGACTTGCAGCAGTCTCATGTTCGTCTTCCTTACCTCATCGACTTTGGTAGAATGACACAGGTGAGTTCGTAAATAGTGGCACAGGTGTTTCAAGAGACAGGTCTTATAACATCGACACAGGTTTGTCTAGAGACAGGTCCTACAGTATTGACACAAAAGAGTGTAGAAAAGTTTGTGAATATTGATATAATGTGTCTAGAGTTTTGAGGAAGCATTTTTTATAGGTGTCTCCAAAGACAAATGTTATAATATTAACAACTGGGATGGCTAACTCGGTCAGCAGATGCCTGCAGAAGTCGGATGTTTCGGCCAAAACTATAAATATCGTAGTCACGCTGTAAACGGCGGTTATGTCTTTGGATGAACGCAGCAGCAGCTAAAGATATTAACACAAATGTCACCAGACAGACCAAGAAGATGTTGAGAGATAGTATCCAGGCAGACCTACAGCCATCCTGAGTGTTTTACAATAGAAACCCGAGTGTTTTAATGGAGATCCTGGGTTTTTACAGTGGGACCCTGTTTGTTTTACATTAGAACCCTGCATGTTTTACAGAAGATCCCTGGGTGTTTTTACAGTAGATTACTGAGTGTTTTTACAGTTAGATTCCTAGGTATTTTAAAGTAGATCCCTGGGTGTTTACAGTGTAATCCTCTGGTGTTTTACTGTAGATGCCTGAGTTTTAAATTAGAGCCCTAGATATTTTACAGTAGATCTCTGGGTATTTTACAGTAGATCCCTGGGTGTTTTACAGTCGATCCCTGTGTGTTTAACAGTAGATCACTGGGGTTTGTAGGTCCCTGGGTGTTTTACAAAAGATTACTGAGTGTTGTAAAGTGGATCCTGGGCATTATACAATGAGTGTTTAATGTCTTCCGATTCCTGCTTTATCGTAAGTTTATTCCATGTTATAGTTTGAAATTCTTTAAATGTAGAATTGAAGACAAAGGGGGACGATAAAGCCAGACTAGACAAACGCACCCAAGAAGGATTGGCCTCAGATTGATGAAGACATATTTACAAATAATTGATGAACTATTCAGTTTTCCGGGAATTTCATCTGCTACCGTTGGTATGTCTCAGATCTTCTTCGCCTCATCTTTCTCTTCATCTCAAACTTCTTTTTCTGATTCTTCTTTTCATTCTCACTGCCAGTGGTTTTCAGGCTGTGGTGCGTCACCACGTGTTGTCCATTGATACCGTACTGGTTTTTCCACTGGAATGTTAACTGGCTAGAGCCGGGATCTCCCTCATACTGCAGGTAGAGAGAGCATCTGCAGCACCTGTTTGGTATTCTGGTATGCCTGTGTACAATGGCAAAGTTCTGAATGCTAAATGTTGAATTTCATGTACATATGTGGGCATAATCTTTTGTGTCGGTATTATGCAGTCTAAATACAGTGGTCTTTCGTGTGAGGAGGTTGATTGTGTCTTCAGGATTGTGTTCTGGATGAGAAGTGTTTCAATTCTAATGCATCCTGTGTCTGACTGTTCTTTACTGCTCCCAATCTTCGCTAAGTAGTTTGCTCCGTCGTTTCTCATAATGTTGCAGTGGCCTGGCATCCACTGGAGAACAGTCTGTCAGGTCAGCTGACCCATTTGATTCCCCAGAGATGTGAGTTTGTTGAAGTGAATTTGCTCATGACTTTGTATATTGCTTTCAGATGTTGAACTGAATTTGCTCATGACTTTGTATATTGCTTTCAGATGTTGAACTGAATTAGCCTATGACTTTGTATATTGCTTTCAGATGTTGAACTGAATTAGCCTATGACTTTGTATATTGCTTTCAGATGTTGAACTGAATTTGTTCATGACTTTGTATATTGCTTTCAGATGTTGAACTGAATTTGCTCGTGACTTTGTATATCACTTTCAGATGTTAAACTGAATTTGCTCGTGACTTTGTCTATTGCTTTCAGATGAGAGTGGAAACAGGCAGGATCCGACGTATACAGCGGCGGCAGTTAGGTCAGACCTTCTCACCTTTAGCAACATTCACAGCCGGCTTCTCTACACAACCAGCATTACTTTCCTCAGCCCCATCCTTGTCGTCAGCATCATTTGTTAATTCCTATGGTATGTGTATTTTTGTTTGTTTGTTTGTTTGTTTCTCAGCTCATTCAGTCCCAAACAACGCATCATGTGTGACTGTATTTACTCATATACTTGTACATTTTATGTTTCAACACAACATAATAAAAGACCCAAAAATACACGTCTCCTACAAGGGTTGGGTATGTAGCTCCTGTGGATGTAATGTACCCATGAGTTTGCTGCTGTCATTGGTTACTCCTTTGTGTGGGCATTAGCTATGAACTTATGAGACTGAAAGAGATAACTCTGCAAGTTTAGTTAATCAGTGAGCAGGTCCTTTAGGAACATCGCTCTCTTCACGGAATGCTTGAAAATCTCTCTTCCTTTAGCCGATTCTTCAGCCCTGTGTACTTTCATTAGCGATTGCGTCTTCAGATTCCTGTATCATCAGCAAGCGGGTCACCCATTGGCTTGCCGGTGAACAACTGGTCGGGACAGTATTTAGATCTGTCTCCTCTAATCGCATGAACACTGCAGGAGTTCTTGTCAGAGCTACTTGGGGCCGTGCAGTGCTAAACCATTTTATTTGGCGCACATAACCTAGTCACATTTAAAACCTAAAGTTCTCCTGTCAGAGCTGCTGGCTGAATGTGACAAATGTTTTTTTTTTTTTTTATAAAGCAAGCCAAGCCAAATGTGCTGTATCCACATTCACTGTGGTCGGCCTCTGCCCTGTCTTCTGGAGACAACATCCTCCATCACTGTTCCCTCCTGGTCACCGTGGTGCCACTCTGCAAGTTACATGTTTTGAATTCTATGTTATTTCAGTTTTAGCATAGGCCAGTGAAAGTTAGAGAAACACTAAAAATATGGATCAAAAGTTAAATTTCTTCTTCTTTCGTTCACTTGGAAATAGATTATCTATATCAGCAATATTGTCTCTAGGAATAAAGTTAAATTTATCCAAAAACAGATGTCTGAGGGAAATGTAAAATGGAATGAATTCCACAGGGGTAAAGAAATATGAGAAATGACTGGGCAACCACTTGTATAAGCAGTTTTAAGACAGAGAAGATGGCGCTACATTGGACACATCCTGAGAAGAAACAAGCAGAGAGCCACTAGAGGGGAACTAAAATGAGAAGTAATGAGAAAAAGGAGGCAAGAACACTCAAAAGAAACCCCTAATCGAATGTTGATGAGAGAGGCCAAAACTGCTTGAATGGATTCCATCCATGATGTTGAAGTGATTGCACAGGATAGAATGGAATGAACAGACTGCGAGCCCTTCTTCTCAAAGTCAATGCCAAGTGGCATTGGTAGTCTTTTCTATCCACAACCTTCTGTCTCGTGTACTTTCAGTCAACTCTGATCCAGATGATCGTCCATGCCATGATGTCAGACTATCCAGCATCTGTTCTCATTGTCCACCTCTGCTTCTCCTTCCCTCCAACTTTCTCACTGTTTTCTTCTTCTCATCACATGACCAAAGAATGTAGATTGTCTCCCTCTGATGTTGGGGATATCCCTGGCAAAGTGGTCAAGCTGTTTGCCTCATGCATTGAAGGTCATGGGTTCGTTTTACGCCTGCACCATTTAGTTCACATGTGCAGTTTTTATGGAGATCCCTGGGGATCGGCATGAGAGCTACGGAGTTCGCATGCTTTGTGTTGTTCTGTCGGCAGGCGACCAGTCATTCTGCGAAGAGAGACCAGGCCATATTTGATCAAATCCGGTGCAATGAAGTCAGTCTTCTTGACTTTAACCTTCAGGCTTTTTTAACCTTTCTGATGTGGGTAATCAGTTCTCTTCCTGAGCCTTATGCGAGTTTAATGGTCCAACAGGACAGGGAATGAATATTAACATTTAGTTGTGTGGAGTTGAGAAATGACATTATAGCACCTGTGACATCCCTGTTAGTGCTCCGCCCACATTTTCGGCATCCAGCCCAGAGTTCCAGTTCTGACAGTACCAGTCGCTGTTTGATTATGTGTCCCATCTGGACTTTTGTCTTAAGTGTTGAATGTCAGCCAGATCGCCTGGCCACTCCCCGCTGCACTATTCTCTCCACACTGTAGTGCACCAGTTGTAAACTCCGGAAGAACAGTTCTGATTGTTTGCCTGCTTCACCCCTATATCTGACAACAACTTAGCTGTAGCCAGGAGCATCCAGAGCATCACGACAACCCAAATATTGCAGCCAGCTCTAAAACAACATATGCTACCAACGTTAATATGACGTGCTTGACAACCCATAACTCAAATATATCGCAGCCTAGCTACCGCCAAAATCACCAGTACTTAATCCCGAGATATACATACACACTCGCCAACTTTGCCATAAGGCGTGACCTCTCGATGACCCAAAATCCCCTCACCTGACACGGCGGCGCCTCATTTTTCAGACCTGGCTTATTTATGTTCAGACTATTGCTTCCTTGCCCTTCAGGCCGATGCGCTCAGGTTTTGAAGGAAGACACTAATTGGTCTACTTTTGCGAGTGGGTCTATTTCATCCCCCCCCCCCCCAATCCCGTGTAAAATGAGTCCCTGGAACCTGCATAGGGTTTTGCATGCTGTTTATGGTGCTGTCAAAGTCTGTTAGTTTAATTTACATGAGAGGTTCCTAAAATGTGGTACAGGAACTCCCATGGGAAGTGGTTAATGTTGGAGGTTTGGTATGTGAAGGTGCCAGTAATTATCTCCACTGTTACATTTGATACTCATTTTCCGCAGTCTTAGGTTTTTAAGTCTGTCCTGGACGGTGGTTCCATTAATATTTTTTGGATATTAGTTTCTGTGAATGCTTGATGAAAATTCTTCCAGTGTTGGTTAATGGTTCCTTAAATGTTTGCACACAGTGGTTCCCAGAATTTCATAATACGATAGATCAATGAGTTTATCTGGACAGCAGTTCTTAAAATCACTAGACATTGCTTCTCAAAATGTTGCTGGACAAATGTTCTCAGTATATTGCTGGACAAAGGTTCTTAGAATGTCACTGGATAGTGATTCTATAACATTGCTGGGCAGTTCTATAAATGTTGCTGGACAGTGGTTCTGTGAATGTCGGTAGACAGTTCTTCTTTAAATTTTGCTGGACAATGGTTCTCAGAATGTTGCTAGACAATTGTTCTATATATGTTGCTGGACAATGGTTCTCAGAATGTCACTGTACAATTGTTCTATAAATGTTGCTGGACAATGGTTCTATGAAAGTTGCTGGATAATGGTTCTGTGAATGTCAGTGGACAGTTGCTCTATAAATATTGCTGGACAATGATTCTATGAAAGTTGCTGGACAGTGGTTCTGTGAATGACAGTGGACAGTTGTTCTATAAATGTTGATGGGCAGTGGTTCTGTGAATGTCAGTGGACAGTTGCTCTATAAATGTTGCTGGACAATGGTTCTCAGAATGTCACTGGAGTATTGTTCTATAAATGTTGTCTGACACTGGTTTTGTGAATGTCGGTGGACAGTTGCTCTATAAATGTTGCTCTACGGTGGTTCTTAGAATGTCACTGGATAGTGATTCTATAACGTTGCTGGACAGTTGTTCTATAAATGTTGCTGGACAGTGGTTCTGTGAATGTTGCTGGACAATTGTTCTATATATGTTTGCTGGACAATGGTTCTCAGAATGTCAGTGGACAGTTGCTCTATAAATGTTGCTGGACAATGGTTCTCAGAATGTCACTGGAGTATTGTTCTATAAATGTTGCTTGTCACTGGTTCTGTGAATGTCGGTGGACAGTTGCTCTATAAATGTTGCTCTACAGTGGTTCTTAGTATGTCAGTGGACAGCTCTATAAATGTTGCTGGACAATGGTTCTGTGAATGTCAGTGGACAGTTGCTCTATAAATGTTGCTGGACAAAGGTTCTCAAAATGTCAGTGGACAGTTGTTATTTGGAAGTTGCTGGACAACAGTTCTTAGAATGTCAGTGGACAGTTGCTCTATAAATGTTGCTGGACAGTGGTTCTGTGAAAGTTGCTGGACAACAGTTCTTAGAATGTCAGTGGACAGTTGTTCTATATATGGTGCTGGATAATGGTTCTCAGAATGTCACTGGACAATTGTTATATAAATGTTGCTTGACACTGGTTCTGTGAATGCCGGTGGACAGTTGCTCTATAAATGTTGCTCTACAGTGGTTCTTAGAATGTCAGTGGACAGTTATTCTATAAATGTTGCTGGACAAAGGTTCTCAAAATGACGGTAGACTGTTGTTCTTTGAATGTTGCTGGGCAATAGTTCTTAGAATGTCAGTGGACAGTTGTTCTATAAATGTTGCTGGACACTGGTTCTGTGAATGTCAGTGGACAGTTGCTCTATAAATGTTGCTCTACAGTTGTTCTTAGAATGTCAGTGGACAGTTATTCGATAAATGTTGCTGGTCGAAGGTTCTCAAAATGTCACTGGACAATTGTTCTTTGAATGTTGCTGGACAGTTGCTCTATAAATGTTGCTCTACAGTGGTTTTTAGAATGTCAGTGGACAGTTATTCTAAAAATGTTGCTGGACAAAGGTTCTCAAAATGCCGCTGGACAGTTGTTCTTTGAATGTTGCTGGACAATAGTTCTTAGAATGTCAGTGGACAGTTGTTCTTTGAATGTTGCTGAAGAATAGTTCTTAGAATGTCAGTGGACAGTTTTTCTTTGAATGTTGCTGGACAATAGTTCTTAGAATGTCAGTGGACAGTTGTTCTTTGAATGTTGCTGGACAATAGTTCTTAGAATGTCAGTGGACAGTTGTTCTATAAATGTTGCTGGACAATAGTTCGCAAAATGTCAGTGGACAGTTGTTCTATAAATGTTGCTGGACAATAGTTCTCAAAATGTCAGTTGACAGTTGTTCTGCAATTGTTGCTGGACAATGGTTCCCAAAATGTCATTGGACAGTTGTTCTATAAATGTTGCTGGACAATGGTTCTCAAAATGTCAATGGACATTTGTTCTATAAATGTTGCTGGACAATGGTTCTCAAAATGTCAGTGGACAATTGTACTATGAATGTTGCTGGACAATTGTATTCAAAATGTCACTGGATAGTGGTTCTATAAATGTTGCTGGACAATGGCTTCCCTAAAATTTTTCACTATAAAACTCAAACAGTATTTATTTTCCTACTTTTTGTGCCAGACTTGTGTGTAGCAGATTACTGTTTATAAACAAACACAGTAACTCTCAATTTATTTTTAGGGCAGTCAAACTGGCAACCCTCTCCAGCAGCCATGAAATCTCAGACAACAAAAAGTAAAAGCAGACACCACCCATATGCCCACACACCGGCCAGTGCGCCCGTGGTGAATGGAGCTTTGAATGGTAACATTTGGAAGTAGCCTCTGTGTGTTGCATGCGAGATGCCTTTAGTCTGTGTATTGCTGAAACACTGGCCCAAGTACCTGGTCAAGTTCTTCTTCTAATGATTGCTTCTGTGATATACACCAGCAGACGAGTCCTTTTGATAAAATTGAACGGCTTATATTCGAGTTCCTCTTCTGCTTTATACAGCTTTGGTTGTGGTATTAACTTGTTGCCAATATTCTCTTGTTAATATGATGTACAAGGAACAGTCTTGCAGGATATGTTCTTTGGTTGAGTTGAGTTAAGAATTGACATCGCAGCACCAGGGGCATTCACATATGCGCTCCATCCTCAGCAGCCAGCGCCAAGTTGCAATACTAATGGTGCCGGATGTAGTCTGGTTGTATGTCCGTCTTGTCTTTCCTCTGAGTGTAGTGTGCTGGCTGAACCCTCTGGTCACACCCAGGTGCATCATCAGGTTGGTTTGTTACAAAGTCCACATGGTAACAGTGGGGGACTGTTGAGATGAAGCCTGTGCATATGCTTATTAATTTTGTTATGTGCCATGCAGAATGGTGCCCTGTCTGCCGGTCAAGTAGGTGATAGTTATCCTTGGTCTACTTATGTTCTGATAGACTGCAGGCTCCCCAATTGTACATGACTACAGTCATTTTGAAGTTGTGCATTTTAGTCTGCTGTTGAAGATGAAAGTCGGCTCTGTGGCTAAGTCGATGTGAAAGCGCTGGGATGCCGGGTTCAATCCCGGCTGTGGGCCATGCGCCTTGCGTTGGTTTCGACAGTGGTATCAAGAAAGCCAACCGTCCAGAAAGCAATGGCAGACTACTGGACGTAAATTTGCCTAGAAAAACCATGCAACAGCCAGGGGCTGTTGGGGTTGGTTCTGCAACATCCTGTAAAGGATACGCAACTAACCCATTGAAGATGAAAACAAATTAGGGTAGATGGCTGTGCCAGTCCTCTTGGGGACACAACCTCTAAGGCCAAGTGATTTATGAGAAATATCCTCATGCATCCATTGTTAAGGACATAACCTATAAGGATAAGGGCTTTATGAGAAATGTCCTCATGTATCCATTGTTACGGACATAACCTATAAAGCCAAGTGCTTTATGAGAAATGTCCTTGTGCATCCATTGTTAAGGACCTAACCTATAAGGACAAGTGCTTTTTGAGAAATGTAAAGGAAGGTGAGGCAAGGAACCAACAATTTGCATTCAATTTAGTCAGATCTGTCTAACGGATGTGCACACAACACTCAGATTCTGGAACAAGACTAAATTTCAGAAGTGGACAAACAGCCAGATCTTTACGCCGGAGTTTACAGCCGGTGAATGTGAAAAAGAAGATGAAGGTCTTTCCTTTCAGCATTGATTGTCAGTCAGACACTGTGGTTATGCCCTGTTGCATCATTCTCTCCAGACCGCCGTCATCTTTATGCTCCTCTACATTGTGTGCTGCACGAGTGCAATAACCTTCCCCTGGTCTCCTTGCAGTCCAAGATCTGAGAGTCTAGAATAATGTCCAACAAGCTATTCCATACACATCACACAACACATCACTTTTGTGCCTGGTGCAACATCACACCAAGACATCACTTTTGTGCCCGGTGCAACATCACACCAACACATCACTTTTGTGCCTGGTGCAACATCACACCAACACATCACTTTTGTGCCCGGTGCAACATCACACCAACACATCACTTTTGTGCCCGGTGCAACATCACACCAACACATCACTTTTGTGCCCGGTGCAACATCACACCAACACATCACTTTTTGTGCCCGGTGCAACATCACACCAACACATCACTTTTTGTGCCCGGTGCAACATCACACCAACACATCACTTTTGTGCCCGGTGCAACATCACACCAACACATCACTTTTGTGCCTGGTGCAACATCTCACCAATACATCACTTTTGTGCCTGGTGCAACATCACACCAACACATCACTTTTGTGCCTGGTGCAACATCACACCAACACATCACTTTTGTGCCTGGTGCAACATCACACCAACACATCACTTTTGTGCCTGGTGCAACATCTCACCAATACATCACTTTTGTTCCCGATGCAACATCACTTTTGTGCCCAGTGCAATAACATTCTGTGCTAAACTGTTAGCCGGTGTGGAGCCCTCCTGCTGTTGGTCTGGATCTGTTGACCGGTCTCTTATGTAGATAACAGGCACTGATGGATCTGTTAACACTTGTGTCCATTGATAAGCTCTTGTGTATCCCATCTAAAACTAATATCAGGTAGCAGGTCCCTTCCAGAACATTCCTGTCATCATAACCTGCTGAAAAGAAATGCTTTCTCATGCCACATCATGCAATTTCTTACCCAAGGTGTCACACATATTCTGTGACCTTTGTGCTGGGCAGCCCCTGCCTCTCTTTCCTGGCATCATACTTTCTGCTGTTGTTCTTTCCAGTCTGCCTGGGGCTTGATTTGGCCCAAATATTTCAGCTTCTGAGACAAGATGTTGTTTACTAGACAATCTTTATTCATGTTCAGGATTTCAGTATTCCCCCCCCCCCCCCCCCCCCCCCCCCTTCCCGGCCAGTGGCATTCTGAGAGTCTTTCTGTAATATTTCAGTTCAGAAACCTCTATTTTTCTTCCTTAAGGATTGCAAATTAGTTCACAACTCACATCCATAAGATGCATGCCCTCAGAATTTTGACCTTGACATCCTTACTGGTGCTTAACCATGCATTTGTTAATGCTGTTTATTCTAAAACTAAAAACTAGCAGAAAACTAGAACCAGGTCCATTTATCCTGGATGTCTAACAGCCAGACAACTTTTTGTATGCCTTTCACCATTTGCAGTAATTTGAGGACTTGTAGTGTCTGCCTTTCCTACTTTTCACTCACTTTTTTAATGAGCTTGTATCCATAATGTTTCCAAGATGATTTTTGTTGTTTTTTGCTAACCTGCCCCTCCTGTGTTTAAATCTTTTAAAGTTGTTAATTATACATGTTTTTTATTTTAAACATACTATTATATTTACTTGCCATACAGCCCGTTTTTATTTTCTATTAAGCACTTAAACTAGGCTTAGGTCTCCTCAAGCTTTTCTTGATTCCGCCACCAGTAGCTGTCTAATTGTACATCCATCTCGCCCTTCCTTTCCCAGGGTGTTGAGTGTCCGCCAGATCCCCTGGTAAGTCGACTCGCTATTCTGCTCAGACCATAGTGATCTATCTGTGCCTCCGCACTGTTCACTCACTCCCAAAGGGCCCTCACAGAAACTAGCTTGTCATACATCAGTTCACCACCAAGTGGTACAGAGCCGGCCAGTCTTATCTGCCTGCTCATTTCCCAACACACCAGCATCACCTAGAGAAAATATCCAAAGAATGCTAACTACCTGGGACCTCTGACGTGATACTTGCGACTCTGCACGGAGCAGCCTGTCTCCACCTTTTTTTAGAGATTGAAGTTGTCCATTATTAGAGAGTTACTAGGCAGCATGTCACAAAATGATGAATATTCTATTCTTTCTATGTCGGTTGAAGTGAGAAAGACAATTCTCCAGAACTGAATGAATCCTGTCTTGATATATACGGAAGTGAATCATGGTCAGTTGGCCAGTTAGTGAAGGATTATGTATTATGTGAAAGTGGCGGAGTAATAGTTTGTTGACAAATGATAAGTTCACACTAGACAGATAGAAACAGAAATGAAGATGTCTTGAGAGAGACTGACCCACGAAGAGAACTGATTGTCCACGTCACAAGTAGACAGTCTACATTCTTTGGTCATGTGATGAGAAGGAGAAAACTGGAGCACATCATAACAGAAAGTTGGAGGGGAAAGGAGGCAGAGGGAGTCTGAGTGAGAAATGCTGAGCAGTTTGACATCATGGCAGGGAGGGTCATCTGTGTCATAAAACATTGCAACTACATGAGACAGAAGGTTGTGGATGGATGAGACTACCAACAGCAAAAGGTATGGAAGATCATCTGTGTTAGATGATCACCAAATAAATACATGACTACCAAAAGAACAAAGTGTGGAAGATCATCTGTATTAGATGATCACCAAAGACATGACTACCAACAGAACAAAGTGTGGAAGATCATCTGTGTTAGATGATCACCAAAGACATGAATACCAACAGAACAAAGTGTGGAAGATCATCTGTATTAGATGATCACCAAAGAAATGACTACCAAAGCCAAACGGCATGGACTATAATGAGAATAACCAGTCACGCTTGAGCTAGAGCCTGGGGCTGCAGGCCCTTACCACTGTGACTGCCCTGGAAATATTTGAAGCGAAACACATTAAAGATAAATGTCAGTTGTCCGGACTGTGTTTGCTAATGTAGCCATCTTCCACAGGATCAGGGGCCGCAGCAGGTCTGTCATCACAGGTCCCACTACAGACACTTCAGCAACAGCTACAACAGCAGCAGCTGCAGTTACAACAGCCAGCGCAGAATCCACCAGTAAGTTCATCTTCAACTGTTTATTTTCTGGTCCGACCAAAAATGTATACTTTTAACTTACATTTTCAGAAGGAGTGAAGAAATAAGAGAAATATCTGGGCAGCCATTTTTATAAGACAGAGAAGATGGCGCTACATTGGATACATTACGACAAGAAACCAGCAGAGAATCACCAAAAATGAATGAAAAAGGGAGATAAAGGAATAAAGGAGGCGAGGACACCCTAAAGAAACCCTTAGACAAACATTGATGAGGGAGGCCAAAGCTGCTGAACTAAATTCCCTCCATGATATTGAACTGCTTGCACAGTATAGATCAGAATGGAGGAATTGACTGCTAGCCATCTTCTTCTACTGCTTATTTCCTAGCCTAATAAAAATTTACACTCGTAACTTATATTTTGGGTAGGAGTTTGTAATGAGCCTCCTGGAAAAATGTGCTAAGGCTTTTTTTAAAAATTAGGTTAATTAGGAAATAGAGTGGCAGAGCACATAACCAAAATGGCTACGTACACAGTTCAGTGATTCTTCTAGGGTGTTGAGACCAGTCAAGAGGAAAGAACCCCCTTCTTCCATAGGACGTTATCTACTTAATTCCAGACATGTAATTGACACAGACACTGCTTTCCGTGTGGTTTACCACACTCCAAACAGGAGAATGGTTGAAGCTTTAACAATTCAAATCAGCAACCCCCTCCTTTGTAAGCAGACAGAATTTATTGTAAATTTGAAGTTACCCTGGTAAGTCACCTGACTACGGTGAGCTTCCAGCAGTAAAAAAGCACACACAATGTGTCGGAAGAAACTATTCGCATTTCAGTTGGATCTATTCAGTTTTGTGCTTCATTTTATGTTAATGTAACTCTGTAGTAATGCACCTGACGAGATACAGCGAAATATGCCTGGCAATAAATTGTGCAATGTATTGTTTGTGTCTTATATATCCTTGTGTCCTTTTTAGAATGTAATTTTTTGTTATTTGAAGCCCCACTCTGGCTTTTGCCAGGGGCCGCAATATAGGCAGGCCATAAATATGGCCAATTGTCTGAACGTGGTTTCTGGGACCTCTCCACGGTGATCCTCATCCACATGGTGGCACTTTGTGTCATCGGGTGTTTATCGCTTGTGTGATATCCTAGTGGGGTAGAAAGTCAATCAGTTTGTGTCTACATTATTTAAATTAGGTCTTTATTTAATTTTTTTTCATGTTTATAGTTCCTCATGTACTGTTTATTCTCTTGTCTTACAAAAAATGTACACTGAAAACTTATATTTTGGAGTAGGGCTTATACTGCTAGCCTGCTGAAAAATGGTGCTAAGGCTTGTTTTAAATTGGTTCTCTTTTCCTCCTAAGGAAACATAGTATTTCCAGATGTTGGCTTTTCCCTGGCTAACATATGCTACTTCCTTGTGTGTTTCAGGGTCCGGTGACTCGCAGGAGGCATCACCAGACATCCAGCACTCCTGTTTCTGCAACACTGCAGGCTCACTCTCACCTGCAACACCCTCAGATGCAAGCGCACCCCTCCTTGCCACAGATGTATCCCGGTTCACATCAGTCCTTCTATCACCAGCCGCTTCATCAACTTCACATCCAAGGCTCGTACCAGCATCTGTTCGGGAATCTCCCAGGTGGGGCAGTGGCGCTTTGTCGTATTCTCCTGTGTTTTTTTTTCCTGCTTCAATTGTTGCCCGAGATATAATGTTCTGCTTCTTGCTTCTCATGCAACGAGGGAGATACATGGATAGAAGTAGAAGGAGCACGTATGGATTGCAAAACTTATGCCATGATGTTGATCCGTTGTTCAAACTTCTGATGTTATCTTACATTATCTTACCATCTTGTTATTTTTCTGCCCTCACATCCCTCTCCTCTTTTAGTTTAAGCTTCAGTGCTATCGGCACTGGGCCCTCTTTACATGTAGGGCATTTCAGGTGAACAGTTTGTCATGTGTGGGACATTTTGTGTGATGGGTTCCTTTCATGTGTTAACATGTGTGGGACTTTTTGTGAGAAGGGGTCCTGTCATTGATTAACATGTGTGGAACATTTTGGGTGATGAGTTCCAGTCATGATTGAACATGATTCTTTGCTTGTAAATTGTTTGGAAGACTGTCGTGCATTTGTTTGCATCTTTCAGAGTGATGCTAATTCAGAGGCCTCTCTCCTCCTGACCTGGTACCGACATGCCATCTTTGTGGGGACTATTGCAGTCTGACCAAGAGGGTAAAAGTTAAACAAATATTGGGGTTGAAAGGTGCAGATATCGCAGCTTAGTAGTCAACCACAACACAATGTGCCATCTCCCCTTTTAAGAGCAAACACAGAAGGAAAAAAGAAAAGATAAAAGACTGTGCCAGTTCGCAACTTTGTGCCAGTCAACAGGCATAACTGTCACACTTCTATGTAGATGGTTTGGAGGAAAAAAAAGTTAGTTGTGTATCCTTTACAGGACAATGCAGAACCAACCCCAGCATTTTTTGGTTGTTAGTCATTGCACTGGGCAGTTTTACATTCACTAGTTTGCCATTGCCTTCTGAACAGTCGGCTATCGAAACCTATGCTAGACAGTCTGCTGCCAGCCCGCCCATAAGTGGGACACTTCACAGGGCTTCATCCAGAGTGTAGATTATTACTGGAGAGTGGCATGAACTCCTTGCCCCGCTAAGAGCACAACGAGACATTCTTCCATTGTTGTACTGATCTGTTGGTATTTCAGTGTCTGGCTATCAGTTCCCGACATCCTCAGCACCGTTGTCTGTGACATCAATGGGCTTTATGCCTCCCTTGGCACACCAGCAGATACCCCGGCCGGCCTCCAACTCCTCGCTGTCTTCATCGTCCTCGACGTCATCATCCATGTCTGTGTCGGGCTCACAGGGAGCAGAGACGCTGCCAACGGTCTTCAAAGTGACAATCTCCAAGAGCAAGAAAACCAAAGGTGTGTGTTTTTCTGCTGTCTTTGTTTGTCCACCATAAAAGAATGGTGGAGATATTACATGCTTCATTTGTCCAGCATGAGAGAACAGTGGACAAATTATTACTTACTTTATTTGTCCACCGTTGAAAGAAGGGTGTACATGTGTTTACCCATTTTATTTGTTCACCATTATCTCATGGTGGACATATTGCTACCCACTTTATTTATCCACCATGAGAGAACAGTGGACATACAGAAACCTACTTTATTTGAGCCATTTCTTCTGGATGCTCAGATCATGTCAGATGTCCAATGTGCAGGCAGATTCAAGTTACTGAACAAGTCCAATGACCTGATGTGGATGACCCACCAAAACATCGAAGAAGAAGTAGCTGAGCTAATATTCAACACTACTATCTACATCACAGATGGTGACACACTACTATCTACATCACAGATGGTGACACACTACTATCTACATCACAGATGGTGACACACTACTATCTGCATCACAGATGGTGACACACTACTATCTAATCACCCTCTGTGTTTGTTGAATTTATCACTCCATTGATGAAGACTTTGGTCAAAACGTTTTGTAATAGTTTCTTTTCTTTTCCGTTTGTTGTATTTAGTACTCCATTGATAAAGAGTTTCGTCAAAACGTTCTGTATTAGTTTCTTTTCCATTCATTTTGTTGTATTTAGTACTCCACCCATACTTTAGTCAAAACGTTCTGTAGTAGTTTCTTTTCCATTCGTTTTGTTGTATTTAGTGCTCCATTGATAGAGACTTTGGTCAAAATTTTTTGTAGTAGTTTCTTTTCCATTCCTTTTGTTGTATTTAGTACTCCATTGATAAAGTCTTCGGTCAGAACATTTTGTAGTAGTTTCTTTTCCATTCCTTTTGTTGTATTAAGTACTCCATGTAGTGAATAGTGAAAGTCTACTAATTAGTGAGATTTCCTTCGATGTTACAGTTCATCTGCTTGACAGGTAAGAAACCACAAGTCTGCTTATAAATCTGTTAAATGGATGTGCACAGTTTTAAAAATTGTGAATGGCATATCCTGAATGCAGGCAAGACCCGCGGTGTGGAATCCCTGGAGAAGTACATGCACGGCGTGGACACGGACTTAGACAAGAATGACTGCTCCATCTGCTGTGAGAAGCTGAGTGAGGCATCCAGCTACGGAGAGGGCAAGGCCGAGGCTCACGCTGTAGTGGAGCTGAACCGATGTGGCCACCAGTTCCATAAGTTGTGTCTGCTGGAGATGTACCATAGTATACATAAGGTGGGTACAGTGTTTGTGTAGTAGGTGCAGCATTCATGTATGGTAGAGAATTGATATCTGGTACAGCATTCACGTATAGTACAGTCTGGTACAGCATTCACTTCTGTTACAGCATTCACATAGTGGGTACAGCATTGACATGGTGGGTACAACATTGACATGGTGGATACAACATTGACATAGTGGATGCAACATTGACATGGTGGGTACAGCATTGACATGGTGGATGCAACATTGACATAGTGGGTACAGCATTGACATGGTGGGTACAGCATTGACATGGTGGGTACAACATTGACATGGTGGGTACAACATTGACATGGTAGATGCAACATTGACATGGTGGGTACAGCATTGACATGGTGGGTACAACGTTGACATGGTGGATGCAACATTGACATGGTGGATGCAACATTGACATGGTGGATGCAACATTGACATGGTGGGTACAGCATTGACATGGTGGTTGCAACATTGACATGGTGGGTACAACATTGACATGGTAGGTACAGCATTGACATGGTGGGTACAGCATTGACATGGTGGGTACAGCATTGACATGGTGGGTTTCTCTGTCTTTTCCTCTGACTCGCTCTCTCTCTCTGTTCCCCCCCCCCTCTCCCTCTCTCTCTCTCTCTCTCTCTCTGTGTTTTTGTATGCAACATTGACTCCTACTCTTGTGTCTTTCTGTCTCTGATTTTCTCTATGACTTGTCATTCTCTCTTACTCTCTCTTCCCCCCTTTCTCTCTCTCTCTCTCTCTCTCTCTCTCTCTCTCTCTCTCTCTCTCTGTGTTTTTGTATGCAACAGTGACCTTTACTCTTGTGTCTTTCTGTCTCTGATTTTCTCTATGACTTGTCATTCTCTTTTACTCTCTCTCTCTGTTTTGTTATGCAGCAGTGCCTCCTACTCTTGTGTCTTTCCAACCTTTTCTGATTTTCTCTGTGACTTTTCTTTTTCTCTCTCTCTCTCTCTCTCTCTCTCTCTCTCTCTCTCTCTCTCTCTCTCTCTCTCTCTCTCTCTCTCTGTGTGTATGCAACAATGCCTCTTATTCTTGTGTCTTTCTGACCCTCTCTGCTTTTCTCTATGATTTATCTTTCTCTCTGAGTTTTGTTAGGCTATTGTGCCTCTTACTCTTATGTCTTTCTTTCTGATTTGCTCTAAGACTTGTCTTTCTCCCTGACTCTCTGTTTTGTTATGCAACAGTGCCTCCTACTCTTGTCTTTCTGATCCACTCTGATTTTTTGTATGACTTGTCTTTTTCTTTAACCCTCTGTCTGTCTGTCTGTCTGTCTCTCTTTTGCTTGACTCTTTAGCAGCAGCCGCTAAACTGTTGTGGCTCTCTTTTAGGCTCTTCACTTAGCTTTGTTTGCAGTTCTCTGTTGAGATTTTATGTTAACTTGTTGCCTCCATCAGGGTGGCGGGCTGCAGTGCCCAAGCTGTAAGACCATCTATGGGGAGAAGACCGGCAACTGTCCACCTGGTTACATGCAGTGGAGACTTGTCCAGGACCTGACCCTGCCCGGTTATGAAGGCTGTGGGGCCATCTTGGTCTCCTATCACATCTCGCCTGGCATCCAGGTATGATAACCTCCCTCCCTCCCCTCTTCCCCCACTCTCTCTCATTTTTGCTGATTGGTGCCTCCAGTAAGCACTTTTTTTAACCCAGTTCACCCAAATAAATAGTGCAGATATCCCTGTCTAGCCGTAGGTGACAACACTGACTGTTTAAAAGCAAATGCATAGGAAGAATTACAAGTGTTGTTGTTGATAAACTCAGCTGTTATACTTGTTCACTGTAGTACAACATGAAGACTTATGCAGAGTGGTGACTTTTTTGTTCGTTAAATATGGTTAGTGACGAATGGTGTGGAGGCAGAAGAGGTGTGGTTTTTTGTGGAAGAATGATAAGAACACTGAACAGATAAGAGAGAGGAGATGTTATGAGTGGGGGAGATGATAGACAAGATTTGTGAGTGGGAAGATCTTGTGAATAAGATGTTGTAAGACGAGATATTGTGAGTGGGATGATGTTGTGAATAAGATGTTGTAAGATGAGATATTGTGAGTGGGATGAAATTATGAATGAGATGTTGTAAGACGAGATATTGTGAGTGGGATGAAATTATGAATGAGATGTTGTAAGACGAGATATTGTGAGTGGGATGAAATTATGAATGAGATGTTGTAAGACGAGATATTGTGAGTAGGAAGATGTTGTAAGACGAGATATTGTGAGTGGGAAGATGTTGTAAGACGAGATATTGTGAGTAGGAAAATGTTGTAAGACGAGATATTGTGAGTAGGAAGATGTTGTAAGACGAGATATTGTGAGTGGGAAGATGTTGTAAGACGAGATATTGTGAGTGGGAAGATGTTGTGAATGAGATGTTGTAAAACAGGATGTTGTGAGGCAAGATGCTGAGACTGGGGAGATGTTGTGTGTGGATGTGGTAACCCACACTCTAAAACATGTTTGTTTCTGCAGGGTCCAGATCACCCAAGTCCAGGACACAGTTTTACTGCCCGAGGATTTCCTCGGCAAGGATATCTGCCCGACTGTGACAAGGGCAGAAAGGTGGTACTTTTGTTCTCTGCTCCTTGTTCTCTGCAAGTCGGTTTATAATGTTGTATGGTATAGTAGCTTCTGAACTAAAATGCTCCCCTTGTCGGTGCCGGGGCCTCATTGTGAGGGAAATAAAGAACAGACCCACTGGCTTACCAGCAAGCATGTTTTGGGAGTCGACTAACTGTGGACTTCTTTCCAAGTCTTTCGAGTACATCTGCCCGAGCGGCAAGGAACAGCCCGCTGCACACAAATAAGCCAGTAGAACGGATGTACACACAAAACTCAGGCCTTGGCACAAAGCCAAAGTCCAAATGGACGAACAACCAGGGCTTTCAGTTGTTGAACAAAGGAGAAGAAGAAGAAGTGAAATGCTACAGAAAAATTCTTGGAATGCTGTTGATCAAGAAGAAAAAAAATACCCAAATCCTGCATGAACGAGCATTGAGGAGAAATGGACTCATAAACTGTATTCTGTCCCAAAAGCGGTGGTATTTTGGCCATGCTAAATATCATGGTGGCCCGGATAGAGCAGTGGTGAAGTGTGCAGTTTCTGAAAACAATGCAAGGTAGTCCTCAGCCAAGGAGGATACAGGACATTAAAAATATGCATCACTGTCCCATGTAGAAAAAAATGGACACAGACTGCGGTCTTGGCAAAGTCAGTATCATACGCACGCAATAACTGCATAAGGCGGCAGCTGTCTAAAATGCCAACACAGACAGTCCAGCACTAGAAATGCAGTTCATCATCAATGGAAGCACAAGTTACTACAAATCAGTAGTTGTACACGCTATTAGTCGCACAAGGCACCACCACTTCTCTGGCAACAGGCTACTCACCATTTTCAGAATCTGCAGGTCACAACACAAATGACTTTGGACACAGTTGAAAAGCATTCCAAATGAAATCTACAGCTCACAGTGTTGCACCAAGAATTAATTAGCTGGGTGACAGAACTATATTGTTTCTGTCTCTATGTGGAGGAAAATGGAATAGCTAACTAATGTCAGAATCAAAAATGTGGTTTGGTTATTTCTTCTTTCGTTTCCCTGAAGAAAAAGTAATCTGTATCGGCAGTTTTGTCTCTTGTATAAATTAGTTTTTTTAGTTCATTTAGAAGGAGCTGCCATGATGTAGTGGCTAGTTTTTCACCTGCAGATCGGAATGTCGTGGGTAAAGGTTCGGATGGAGCCAGACTTATTTCAAAAATTACCTTGGCTCCCAGGTCAACCTAGCCTTAAATGGGTACCAGGTACAGTCCTGGAAAGTAAAGGCGATCGGCATATATCAACCACATCACCCATCGAGGGCCGACAGCTCTATAAAATGTAGGTCTAGCTCTATGTGTCCAGTACATCTGAAGGCACAAAAAAGGTTCCTTATAGTGGTCTGTAGAGTAATGGCAAACTACTGGACGTAAATATGCCTAGAAAAACCACAACGCCCAAAACATGCTGGGGTTAGTTCTGCAACGTCCTATAAAAAATACGCAACTAACTTAGAGTTTATGTTTCACTAGTGCACATTCTGGCTAAAAGGTTTGCCTTAATGGTACATTCTGGCCAAAGGGTTTTCCTTAATGTGTCATATACCTGGCACTCGTTGAGTATGTTTTTTGCTGTCTCAGGCACTGATGTATATCAGTCTTAAATTCTGTGTCCATTAGCTGTGTAACCAGTTGTGCCCTATTGTGGGGCACAGGATAATTTGTTGTGATCAGGGTTATTGGTTTTTGATTGATTGAATGATCCTTTACTTTTGGGGGTTTTATGTGATTGGTACATCTAGCTTTGGTTATGTAACAATTTTTCTTCACATAGGTCCTGAAACTGCTAATGGAGGCTTTCCAGCGGCGTCTGATGTTTACCATAGCAACATCCCACACGACAGGGGAGGCCAACACCGTCACCTGGAATGAGATCCACCACAAGACTGAACCTTACGGCAACCATTCAGGTCACGGTTACCCGGATCCGCAGTACCTGGACAACGTGCTGATGGAACTGGCAGCCCACGGGGTCACAGAAGATTGTCTCAGGTAGACTATTGTTCTTCAGTTAGATTTTGTTGGACAAACTCTTGAACCTCGGGTAGACTGTTGGACAAACTTGTCAGCCTCAGGTAGATTTTGTAGTACAAACTTTTCAGCCTCAGGTAGATTCTGTCGGACAAACTCTTCAGCCTCAGGTAGATTTGGCGGACAGACTCTTCAGCCTCGGGTAGATTTGTAGGACAAACTCTTCTGCCTCAGGTAGACTGTTTGACAAACTTTTCAGCCCCAGGTAGATTCTGTTGGACAAACTCTTCAGCCTCAGGTAGATTCTGTTGGACAAACTCTTCAGTCTCAGGTAGATTTGGCGGACAGACTCTTCAGCCTCAGGCAGATTTGTAGGACAAACTCTTCTACCTCAGGTAAGCTGTTGGACAAACTCTTCAGCCTCGGACATACTTGTTGGGTAGATTCTTCAGCCTCAGGTAGACTCTATTGGACACTCTTCAGCCTCAAACAAACTTTGTTAGACAAATTTCAATCTCCTCAAACAGACATTGTTAGAAAAATTCAGCATCAGGCAGACTTTGTTAGACAAACTCCAGCCTCAGAAAGACTTTGTTTGACAAACCTTTCAGCCTCAGTCACCCTTTGCTAGGCAAACTCTTCAGCCTCAGACATAATTTGTTAGACAAACTTTTCAGCCTCAGACATAGTTTATTAGACAAACCCTTCAGCCTCAGACATATTTTGTTAGACTCTTTAGCCTCAGACATACTTTGTTGGACAGACTCTTCAGCCTCAGACATATTTTGTTAGACAAAGGTAAACCCTTCAGCCTAGACACATTTTGTTAGACAAACCCTTCAGCCTCAAACATACTTTGTTAGAAAAACCCTTCAGCCTTGGACAGACTTTGTTAGACAAACCCTTCAGCCTCAGACATTTTGTTTGACAAACCCTTCAGCCTCAGACATACTTTGTTAGAAAAACCCTTCAGCCTCAGACAGGCTTTGCTAGACAAATTCTTCAGCCTCAGACAGACCTTCTTGGACTGACTGTTCAGGCCTCAGGAAGACTTGATTTTAGGAGCTGGCCTAAGATTCTAGAAATTCTGTGAGGCTGAGACTTTATCTGAGAAACACCAGAGGTTTGAACAGGTCAGTGAAACATTTGCTTGGCTGTGATATCTTCATTTGCTATTATTTATGATTGCAGGGATCCTTCAGTGAAAGAGAGATGTGTGTGTGTGTGGGGGAAAGAGAGAGATAGAAAGAAATGTTTGGAAATGTTAGCAACAGCATGTGTTTGGATGCCAAGTGGGCTGTGGTGTTGCCGTCAGTGCTGTGGTGTTGCTGTCGGGGCTGTGGTGTTGCTGTCAGGGCTGCGGTGTTGCTGTCAGTGCATGGTGTTGCTGTCAGGGCTGCGGTGTTGCCGTCAGGGCATGATGTTGCTGTCAGGGCTGCGGTGTTGCTGTCAGGGCATGGTGTTGCTATGGTGTTGCCGTCAGCCCTGCAGTGTTGCTGTCAGGGCATGGTGTTGCCGTCAGCCCTGTGGTGTTGCTGTCAGGGCTGCGGTGTTGCTGTCAGGGCATGGTGTTGCCGTCAGCCCTGTGGTGTTGCTGTCAGGACTGTCTTAATTTACACTGAAAAATGGAAGGGTCAAGATTGAGACTGTTTACAACCTCGCCGTTTATATATGTATATAAACAAATAGACATGTATTGGTCGGCACTTATAGAAAGAATAGACAAGAGTGCCTAGCTGGTTGCATCTTAGTACACTTGTTTCTGTAGCAAGGCACTCTCATCATCTGGAGGTGAGAGGTTTGATCCATAGCCTGGTAATTATAGCTTCCGATTTTGTGTCCTATTTTTCTACTTCTTTCTTTGAGTGCTGTTCATTAGTGTCTGTCTGTTTATAACATGTAATGTTTCTGTGGCCTTTAAGGTTCCGTATTTTTTTTAGTTCTGTGTATTACCTTGCAGATTAGGACTGGGATCATCACTACTGTTTAACTGAGTATGAGGAAGCTCATAAAACAGTTATTGGTTTTCTAAAACAAGGTGTACATTTCTTGTAGTTCATTTCATCCATTATCTTCCACTTCCATCTTTCTAATATTTATATTACAGTGTAGACCGCTTTTGTTCTTCTTTGTTTTATACTGGATAAGAAGAATTTCTCATAAGAACAATTTCTTGGGTCCCTGATGAGTTCTCCTTATCATGTCTGCACTGTATTCAGAAGCCTCAAAAAGTAAGTAAAAAAAAAAACCAGCATAGAAATGTTGCCTGCCACAGAAAAAGCCGTCTGGCCCCTAGAAGCCGCTGGCCCAGCATTGCTGCACTGGCCAGTCCCAGGCAATGACATTGGTTCCGTTTGCACCTGCACAGTGTTTAGGAGGGCATAATATAAGAGTATAAGTAAAGGAGCCTTCTCCACGCCTTTGGGCATTTTTGGCATATAGGGCTTGCCCTATATTTTTATAGACCAAACGGCACAAGATGGGTGATGTGGTCAGCACCATGCCGGCCTCTTTTACTTCCCAGGGCTGCACCTAGTACCCACTCAAGGCTGGGTCGACCTGGGAGCCAAGGTCATTTTTGAAAAAAAAAACTAGGGCATAATATGAAATGTAACTAACTACAAATAATAGCATGGGGAGGGGGAGTAATTGGGAGGAATACTATTTAATTCTCCCGTACTAAACAGGGTTATACTGTATAGGGTTGCCATATGTCTGTCATTTTACAGATGCTCATATATTCTCGTAAATAAGGACATGTCTGTACAGTTGCGGACATATGGCAACCCTAGGGTCATGATATGAGTTTCTGCCTGAATTTTTTTTTTTTAAGGCCCAAAGGACTGTGGTCATTTAATGTTAGGCCTCTTTTGTTTTTATTGAAAACATCACTTAAAATATTTCTTTAAAATTTTTAAGCATTTATTTTTTAAGCACATAAAAACTATTAGTAGCCTGGGTTCTTATTTTTTTTAATGACTTTTTCGAAAATTTGAAGGCTGCGGGCTCTACTTTTTTTTTTATTACCCACCTAAGGAATTATGTGTTTAAACATTGCAAGTTAAGAAGTGTGTTCTAAACCTTTTAGGTTTATGAAAAATAATGTAAGATTTAATTTCTCTGGGAGCCACATGGCATAATGGCTTGACACTTGCTACTGGCCCCAAACAGTCTGAGGTTCAAATCTATGTTGGGGCAGGCAGACTTTTTCTTCTCAGAACTGACCTTGTTCCCGGCTCATTCCAGCATTAAGGAAAGTAAAGGCGGCCGGCATAAGGTTGACCACATCTTCCATTATGTACAAGTCTGTGGCAGGACTATAAGGCTAAATGTACTACTGTGCCAAACTGTTGACAATGAGGATCCTACAGTTGGCAGTGACAGTTGGCCTCTGCTGACTGGATTAGGCTCACGAGCCACCAGCTGAATAGACCTGGTAGCACTCTATGCCCATTGAAGGGATCCTTTAGGTTACTTTGTGTGTTTATTCAAGCTTGAACATCTCTGATAGTAGTAAGAGAATTGTGAGAGATTTCATAATATTCAAACTGAAGCTAGACAGTGGTTGCCAGCTTGTAAGGAATATTACATTGAACAAAGTGAGGGGGTTTGTTCATCTGGTTGCATTTTTATATAAATGTTTACATATTTATATTTGCATGTTTCTGTGTCATTTCTGATTAAATATCTCATTTGCAAAAAACACAAGTTGTTTTATTATTTTGTAAACTGTTACTTTGTTTGGTGCGAGGTGCTAGATGCTAACTTGCAGATTGTGAGTTCGGGTTCTGACAGAGCCGTGTTTTCTCTCCAAAATGACCTTGGTTTCCACGTTGACCCAGCCTCGAGTAGGTGACCAGGTGCAGTCCTGGGAAGTAAAGGCAGCCAGAGTGATGCTGACCACATCACCCCACCCACCAATGGGTCTATAAAATACAAGTCTAGCTCTATTTGCCCAATACGCATAAAAAAGGGGTCCTCTACTTTGTTAGGGAAAGGGGGGGGGGGGGGGTGTTTAGGCTGGGTTAATCAGGAACTCAAGGCCATTTTTGAAAAATGTGTAACTGAACACCGCTTACTATAAATGTCATTAGTGGCTACCCTAAACAAAATTTCTGCCTCAAAAAGCACATGAAGAACTTGACACGAGTTAGTTGAAGACCTATGCTCCACTGTGAGCTCTTAACCTCCTCTTTTACTGTTCTTGGTGTCGAAGGAAATAGGTTAAGTTTTTGGCTCTTCTTATCACCTCAAACATAGAAACCTGTCTATTCTTGACTGTCTCTGATGTTATTGTTGCATGTTATTCTTGGTCTGCCTCAAGTTTTACATCCCTCTCCTCTGACTGACCGACTGACTTTCTACCCCACCAGGACATCACACAAGCGATAAACACCTGATGACACAATGTGCCACCATGTGGGTGAGAATCGCAGTGGAGAGGTCCCAGGAACCGTGTTTAGCCTTTAGGCTATATTGCGGCCCCTGGCGAAAGCCAGAGTGGGGCTTCAAATAACGAGAAATTTCATCCTAAGAAGGACGAAAAATGTAAGGCGCCTACTCTGTGTAAACCATTTGATTCACCGTTTTTAAAAAAAATGTAATTTAGAATTGGTTTTGTGCCATATTTTTCACTGATTTGATCTCTTCTGATTAGTCCTGCAGCCCTTCTCTGACACCTCATTTCCATGATTAATAATTTTCTTTTTTGGTCTGTGAACTCACAGGTTAGTTGCATATTCTTTACAGGACGTTGCAGAACCAACCCCAGCAGCCCCTGGCAGTTGTGTGGTTTCTCTAGGCAAATTTACATCCAGTAGCTTGCCATTGCTTTCTGGACGGTCCGCTCCCCTGATACCACTGTCGAAACCAACACAAGGCACATGGCCTGCAGCTGGGATCGAACCCGGTATTACGAAGTGTTTGTATCGACTTAGCCACTGGTGAACTCACAACTATCAGTTAAAATGCAGAAAGGTGGAAGACACACAGAATATGAAAGCACTCACACAACTATTTATTTAGTGCAGCAACATTCGGACAGTACAACTCTACAACCATGTATTTACATTGGACACAGAAACGTGCTCCAGTGAACAGATATTTACAATGCAATTATCAGAGTAAAAAATTGAATGCACATAATCTAATGTGCTACATTCACACACACACAATCTAATGTGCTCCCGTGAACAGATGATGCGATAACCCGAGTAAAAAAACTTCATGCACACATAATGTACTACACTTGTTCGTATACAATCTAATATCATTTGTACACAAGTTAACATGCTAAATTTGCACATACACATATGTGTGACCACTTGAACACACAAAACCAGTGCTCTCCACCAAGGATCATACCCAAGTTAAAGTTCATGCAAATCACTAAAAATTCATATAAAAAACAGCCGGAAATGAACTCGTCTTGTTCCATAGTTTGTAATAAAACCTGGCTAACAACATAACCTTTTTTTGGAAGTTTAGCCACATACCAGTAATTTGAACAGACAAAATGAATGACCTCATTGCATATTCTTGTTGCAAGATCAAGACTCATAATCCGGTTGTGCAATTTAATTGCATTCATCTTTGTTCACAGGTGGGAAGTCCTGGTCGTTTGTCAATTCAGACTTTAGTTTTACGCCAGAGCCTGAGTTTTGTATGTACATCTGTTTTGCTGGCTTATTTGTATGCAGTTAGTTGTTGTTCCTTGCCGCTGGTGCAGATGCAACCCGACTTCAAAGGAAGCTCTTAATTAACTGACTCCTATGACATGTTTGCTGGGGTGGCATGGGGTCTATTCTTGTTTAACCCCCCCCCCCCCCCCCAAATGGGGACCATTCTATTCTATGCAATGAGGTCAAAGTTAAAGCCCAAATATTATGTGCTAGCAGCACATACATAATATTCTTGTTAACTACACACCCCCTTAATATCTGAAGGGGAGACTGAACATCTGTGGGTCGTGCATAAAGCTAAACGTTACAACTCTGGAATAAATACTACATTACAGTCAAACTGAATAATTGCTACACTTCTGTCCACTCAAATAATTCCTACATTACTGCAACCTGAATAACTTTTACATTAATGTCAACTCCAAAAAAAAAATTACTAAATTACTTTTAAACCAAAAATTTTTTTTACTACTTTACAGTCAACCTGAACAATTACTACATTACTGTCAACTCATATAAGTGCTACATTAGTGTCAACCTGAATAACCGCCACATTACTGTCAAATAATTACTGTCAACCTGAAAAATCGCCACATTACTGTCAACTCAAATAATTATGACATCACTGTCAACATGAATAACTGCCACGTTAGTCAACTCAAATAATAACTGCATCACTGTCAACTAGAATAACTGCCACATTACTGTCAACTCAAATAATTACTATATTACTGTCAACCTGAGTAATTGTGTTACTTTCAACTCAAATAACTGCTACCTTACTGAGCTGAGTTAAAAACCGTTGTCACAGCTCTTAGGACACTTTCATGAGCACTCTATCCTCACCTTCAGAGTTCTAATTGTAATGATTCTAGTAGCAGTCTGATTGTCCAACTTGTCTTTCCCCCTGAGTGTCATTCAGACAGTGATCTATTTGTGCCCAAGCACTTTTCACTCAATACCAAAGGGGCCTCACAACATCTTGCACTAACTTACTACCCAACAGCACAGAAACAACCAGGCTGCCTCTTCATTTCCCTACATGCCCTAAAGAAAATATCCAAAAGATGCTAACTAGCCGAGATCAGAAACGATGCTTGCCACTGTGCACTTAGCATACCTGTTTCCACCTTTCTCAACGTGGTCAGTTACAATGTCAACATGCGTGCAGGTTCCCAAACCAGCGGAAGGCTGCAGTGACTGCCTCCACCTCCAATCTCAAACTAGACGTCACTATATTACTGTCAACAATTACTGACTGTAACAACTACTATAATTTGCCTGACTGTGTTCTACTCTGATGAAATCACTGAGATATTAATTAGACATCTCTCTCGTTCCATATTTCTCACACATACACACAGAGAGGGGGGAGGGATGGAGAGAGAGAGGGAGAGATCATCAGAGACCTGGGGGTGTAACATTAACAACCAAAACCTAGTTAAGGAACAAATGATTTCATCCACAAACTTCATGTAAATGCTGTAATTGGACAATGTTTCCTTCACTTCTAGCTAGAACTAGACAAAGTTGGACTCTTTTACTTGTTCAAGTACACAGCAATCAAGATTCTCGTTACTTCAAACCTGAACTAGACCAATGTTACTGTTTAACTTGTACAAGTACACAGCAATCAAGATTCTCATTACTTCAAACCTGAACTAGACCAATGTTACTGATTTACAAGTACAATGACCACCTGAGGAGGTGTGGCCTGGAGTTCTCTCTGCCAGTGGTTTTCAGATGAGAAGGCTCTCTGAATGTCCACTACTGATCCATTCAGCTTGATTTCCACTAGAATGCCAAGAGATCAAACCTGGGATCTCTCTGTGTGGACAACATGCCTGTAGAACATGATCAGTATTATGTGGTGCCTTTCAGGCCCAGTTCTGAGCCTCCAATCTTGAATTTCCTGATCACATGGTTGAACCACGGCCGGCTCCAACTGACGGGCCGTGCTACTGACGTCACCCGGTCGGGCTAACCCACACAGGAAGCTTATGGAAATGTAGCTGCTTCTGGCTTTGTATTGTTTCACTGCTGGGCCTGGAGTTCCCGTTCTTTGAAGAATTGTTCGGTGAACATGGCATGATACATCTGGACAGATGTAGAAACAAACATGGAAACAGTATTATGACCTGACGGTGTGTTCACAGGTCAACCACAAAACACAGGTACAGCCACGTAAATATGATAAATACATTCACAATCCTCAGGTACAATCATCACACAGGAACACAGGCCGCAGGTACATTTATAAGAACATCCACAGTCTTCAGGTATATTTATAAAACACTTGTACATCAACATTCAATTACATCCACACGCCACTAGTACCCCCCTACAAACTAACAGTTTAACTGTTCACACTCCACAGGCACAATCATCCACAATTCACACGTGCAAATATTCACATGTAACAGGTACAACCATCCACAAACTGTATGTCCAGCCTAAGTGTTGCATCTTCTTTCTTGCCGGTAAACGCAATCCTCTGATTGTGAATTCAACATAGCAACCTTTGATACAAATCTGAGAATGTGATTTGTTCCATATGAGAATCAACCAATCAGAGAAGATTATCTGATCCAGGTGAGAATTGGCCAATCAGAATAGTCTGCTCCACATGAGAGCAACCAATCAGAAAGCATGATTTGATCCACTTGAGAACTGACGAATCACAGCATCAGAGTGTTGAGATAAAACTGTTTATGGTGCAAGACTTCACAAATTTCTCGGGATGACTGTTGTATGCTGCGCTCCACCTTGCTCCACACCAGCCGCTCAGCTTCCCGCTCCAGCTGCAAGGATAAGAACACAGGAACATTTTAAAAAAATGCATATATTTTTTATTTCAATTATTTTCATCCACGTATGCCTTACTGGTGACTCAGTGAGGATGCTCAGGAAAATAGAGATAAGCTGGGTCCGAAGAGAACGGTTGGAGTCTCTGATGCGGTATGGGCTGACAAAGACTAGTTTCATACCACAGCATGCAGGTGTGCAAGGAAATGAGCAGGCTGATAGGCTTGCAGTAAGGCTACTGTGAAAGGCAGACAAGCCACGGATCAGGCTGATTTATCCAATGCTCTATGGGAAGTAAGACGATTGTGAGAACCAAGAGATGACTGGGAATCTGCAACCATGGCCAGAATGCAAGAGCAGCAATTTAATGTGTGTGCGTGGCCAGACAAGAGCACTATTCAGGAAGCCAAAGAAAATAAGAAACCAACACAGAACTGGTGCTGTCAGCCGCTACATGCCGTAGGATTTACTAACAAGGGGATGTGAGCACTCAATGATTAGATGTGTATTGAGGATAATCTGTCGACTAACTTAACTCTTCACTCATTCTTTATCTTTATTAGACTCTGAAGACACCTTATGGCCATTTACATATAGTTTGTCATATATACTAAGACAAATTTATCATATTTCTCTCATTCTTTATCTACCTACGACCTCTTTCTCGCCATTACCTGAAGCAAAATCAAATACCTAGATCATTTATAACTTGTACATATAATTCTTCAACTCACATGGATCAATTCTCCAATCTGCATGCACTTATTTTTCTGAGCACACCCAAGCAGACAACCACCCTGCCATCACATAGACCTGTCTGAACCCTTTTTTTCTTATAGCTAAGCAACTGTACTGGGCCACACTGCACCACCAAAACTCAACTACTGCCATGTGAGCCCCACTGTCCAAGCTGTCCACTTTTAACACAGCTGGGATTTCAATACGCACCAATGACATATAAGAAAGAGACAAACACTGTACTTTGGCCACCTAATGAGAAGAGAGACATTGGAGAACATTGTGACAACTGGAAAGATCAGTGGAAAAAGGGGTAGAGACAGATCAAGAGAGATGATGTTGGATAGGCTGAAACGATGGAGGGATATCATCAAGAGAGCTGCTCCAGGCAACCAGGAATCGTGATCTGTGGAGACACAAGAGTGCCCACGCCAGTTGGCAGGGCTCATGATGATGATGACCACTGATATGCTAAGCAAGAACATAAATCACAATGAGACTGTAACTCCAAGCACCCATATCAATTGATAAAATGAACAATTCACTTCGGCAAGTATCGAACTCAGCCCCACTCAGTGATAATAACCTACCTCCTCTTCCTCCGGTATATCTGCAAGTCGCAGAGATGCAATGTCTATGGAGGAAAAGACAGGATCCAAACCTGAGGCTGTCTGGTGCAGCTGCTTAGTGATGGCTGAGAGTTTGGTGATCAAGTTGTTAAAGTTGTCAAAGATTTCAGGCTGCAGAAGAAGAAACATCAGTAACTAAGTGAGATCATATAGCTTCTTAATCTTTATTTCCCTATATCTAAAATAAGACTTTTCAGAAGTTGTCAAAGATTTCAGGCTTTGGAAGAAGAAATATCAGTATCTGTGATTGTACAGCTTCTTAATCTTTACACATCTTTATCTAAAAAAAAAAAAAAAAAAAAAAAAAAAACAACCAGAATAACAGTAACTAAATAGCCGTTTACAGCTTCATCTAAAATAAGACTTCTTGAATTTTTTTTAATGCGTTTTTCCTGCAAATTTGTTTCAACATGGATTTTGTTTTGATAAGCTTAGACATAATGACTTGAAGAGAGATGTTTATGAATGTACAGTTGTTCTGTGGATGTACCAGTATGTGGGGTATGAAAATACTAGACGAGTAGAGTGTGGATGTATAAGTTGGTAGGGTATGGATGTATTACATCTGTGCCCCAAGGAGAGAAATCTTGAGATCTGTGCCCCAAGGAGAGAAATCTTGAGATCTGTGCCCCAAGGAGAGAAATCTTGAGATCTGTGCCCCAAGGAGAGAAATCTTGAGATCTGTGCCCCAAAGAGAGAAATCTGTGATCTGCAATCTGAGATCTGTGCCCCAAGGAGAGAAATCTTGAGATCTGTGCCCCAAGGAGAGAAATGAGATCTGTGCCCCCAAAAAAGAAATTTGCGATCTGCAATCTGTGCCCCAAGGAGCGAAATCTGATGCAGGAGTCAGCCCAGCCACAACCAGGATGCAGAACCTGACTGTGGCACAGGGGACCACATGACAAGACATGGTGTAAAGAGACTGACCACCCCTTGGCAGAGACCTGACAATGTACCCCAAAGACAGAGGATACAATTAGAGCTGACAAACCTGTGGCAGACTTGGCCCCTTATGTTTCTTGGATTTCTTGCACCAGCTGGCTTTGACCGGCTTCAGACCCCTATTGCAGACTCCAGCCAGGATTGTCAAGTAGGAGACAGTCTGCCAGAAAGAAAACATACCAGGTTTTCATAGATGGCAGTCATAGATGCTCAGTACCATCATCACTGACAGCTAGTTTTAGGCAACCTGCAGGTTGTCAACATTAACTGTGGTCAGTGTTGTTGCAATCTGTGATCAGCGTTGCAATCTGTGGTCAGTGTTGTTGCAATCTGTGGTCAGTGTTGTTGCAAACTGTGGTCAGTGTTGTTGCAATCTGTGGTCAGTGTTGTTGCAATCTGTGGTCAGTGTTGTTGCCATCTGTGGTCAGTGTTGTTGCAATCTGTGGTCAGTGTTGTTGCAAACTGTGGTCAGTGTTGTTGCAATCTGTGGTCAGTGGTGTTGCAATCTGTGGTCAGTGTTGTTGCAAACTGTGGTCACTTTTGCAATCTGTGGTCAGTGTTGCAATCTGTGGTCATTGTTGTTGCAATCTATGGTCAGTGTTGCAGTCTGTGGTCAGTGTTGAAATCTGTGGTCAGTGTTGCAATCTGTAGTCAGTGTTGCAGTCTGTGGTCAATACTATTTCTGGGCAATCAATGAATCCTCTGTGCTTCATTTCCCATGCACAGCAGCCTAAACAAAGAAATGAACGGCATCTATAAATTCAACCATTGGCGAGAGGTCAGAAAAGGGGGCGGGGGAGGGGGGAGACAAGGTGCCTTCAAGTCAGGACTATGGAGAGAATCCTACGTAAGAAACTGTGGTTCAGTTGAGGTGCCTCTAAGGCAGGTCTAAGGAGAGAATTCTACGTAAGAAACTGGGTCAGTTGAGGTGCCTCTAAGACAGGTCTATGGAGAGAATTCTACGTACGAAACTGTGGTTCAGTTAAGGTGCTTCTAAGGCAGAGGTCTAAGGAGAGAATTCTACGTAAGAAACTGTGGTTCAGGTGAAGTGCCTCTAAGGCAGGTCTATGGAGTGAATTCTATGTAAGAAACTGGTTCAGTTGAAGTGCCTCTAAGGCAGGACTATGGAGAGAATCCTACGTAAGAAACTGTGGTTCAGTTGAAGTGCCTCTAAGGCAGGTCTATGGAGAGAATCCTAAGTAAGAAACTGTGGTTCAGTTGAAGTGCCTCTAAGGCAGGTCTATGGAGAGAATCCTAAGTAAGAAACTGTGGTTCAGGTGAAGTGCCTCTAAGGCAGGTCTATGTAGAGAATTCTACGTAAGAAACTGTGGTTCAGGTGAAGTGCCTCTAAGGCAGGTCTATGGAGAGAATTCTATGTAAGAAACTGGTTCAGTTGAGGTGCCTCTAAGGCAGGTCTATGGAGAGACTACACGCAGAGAAGTTATGTACAAACCTCCACTGAAGCCACCAATTTCTCTAAAGCTGACGAGTCCAGCTGGCGTTTCCCATTGACATCCTTGAGAAGACCTCCCACATCTTTGACTACAAGTTCTGCAATACAATATGGGCCATGTTAGGTGGAGATCTTGGGCAGTCAAATGTGGCTCAGGAACAACAACTATGTAGAATATATAGTAAATACAGAGCAAAGAGGGCTATACACTCGCCAGCGAGTCGTGGGTCAAAATCTGCACCAAATCAAACGTGTCTATTCTTCTTTCCAAAATGATCTTTGCTCCTAGTGACCTAGCCTAAAATGGTACCAGGTAAAGTCCTGGAAGTAAAAGAGGCTGGCATAATGCTGATACCGCCCACTAAGTGCTGAATGATCTATAAAATATAGGTCCAGTACTATATACCAAATACACCTAAAGATATAGAAAAAGAGTCCTTTCACAGAGCAAATTCGTGTAGGTTCTGGAGGTCCCTTTGTATCGGAGAAAACAACAGACCCGCTGCTTCCCTGCTGTGTGCTAAACCGGGCAATTATACCAGAGGTCAGAGGGAGTGAAAGCAGACACTACTGTTGGTGATATGAGTGAGAAGTGAGCACGGATACTTGGGTCACTGAAAAAGTGTGGAAGTGATGATATGTGAGCTTTAGGGATGTCCAGACCCACGTCAGAGTGACTGCTTGCTGACGAATCCTGTGGCAGTCTTCTTCTTCAGGTTCACTGGCTGTAAATTTCCGCAGAAAGTTTGGTTATTCATCCACCTCAGGAAGTCAGTCTTGTTCCAGAACCTGAATGTTGCTTCTACATCTGTTTAAAAGATCTGGATTATTTGTAGGCAGGCTGCTGGTTCCTTATTTTCAGGCAGATACACTCCAACTTCGAAGGAAGCTCATTTAGTCCACTCCTATGACATGGTTTTGGGAAGGCAGTGGGTCTATTCTTGTTTTACCTGCAATGGGGCCTAGGGCCCCACGTGGGGCAGTGGTTGTCTTAGTCAGCAGTCTTTAGACTAAAAGAGTTTGGACGCTTGTTCATGCTGTGTGCCGTTTTAATCATGTGTTTTATTCCGTCGGAGCATCTGCACAGTCTAGTTGAATTTAGTGGATTAGAAAATGGAGTTCTGAAAGTTTTAGTATATATATTCATGGAAGGATGGGGTTGGCTCAGCTTTGGTGCATCTATATGTCACTCTGGCTGAGCTGCAGTAACTGTGTGTTGAAACCAGTGTGAGGTGGTGGTGAGACTGTGTCAGAGGATACTTCCAAGCGGGACAAGGTATCAGACGACATTCGGGATTGTATTCAATTTGGTGCAACTAAATTAAGGCCTCAGATGGCGGGGACTCTAGAACAGAGAGTTGCCAGAGGATGGTAACAGCCGTTAGTGAAAGATGGATTCTGCCCAATCGGGCAAGAGGTGCCCGTAGCAGCCATCAGGTCACAAGAGTGCAAAGATGTACTGTGCTCTGGCCAGTTGTGGAGACTGGTGAGAGACTGGTGATAACTGTTCAGACTTTATGACGGTGTAGTGTGTTAGCAGAGCCTACTTTTTTTTTCAGGTGCGAACCTTATGGGTTACAGTCTCCAAGTGGTTGACTAAGAACGATTCAGACTTTGTGCCAATATTTTTTGAGCCGAGTGATCTATTAGTTGAACGACAGAAAATGAAGAGACTACTTGTTCATCTTACATTACCAATTCATCATCATCATGTGTTCATCTATACTAAACAAAATTGATGGCACTAGCAAATCATACCTTGAGTGATTTATAATAGTTTTGTTAAGAAGTTCCTGGTTTCTCAGAGACTTAACTAGTGCATCCAGAAAGGAGTGACCTCAGTTAATCAAACCCTAGACGTTAGCTAGATGGTGATATGAAACATACAGTGATGTGATAATGCAACCTATTTCACAGCACTCCCTAATAAGAATGTCATAAGAGTCGACTAATTAAAGGTTGCCTTCTAAGTCAGAGTGCATCTGCCTGAGAGGCAAGGAACCAACAATCTGCATACAGAAATCCATATCTGTTAAACAGATGTGCACACAACACTCAGGTTCTGGAACAAGACTAAACTCCAGAAGTAGACAAACAACCAGAATTTACAGCAGGTGAACTCGAAGAAACACAAGAAGTAGAGGAAGGAGACAGAGCAAAAGGCCAGTAAAGGTGGCATAGCAATCATTGGATACAAAAAGATAGTAATGAAGTGGAGCAGTAGAAAATCAATTTACAGATGTCCTACAGCAAAAAAGTCAGTACAAGTGATAAAAAGTTTTATCAATGGGAGGATTAGACGGCCAGAAATAAACACGTCATTTACTATTCATGAGAGCAATACACAGAAAGAGATCAAAAGTGTGAGTGGTAAAGAGAAACAGAAATAACAGACTGAAGATATGGAGAGAGACAGACAGACACAGAGCGAGAGACAGTCATAGACAGACTGACATAGAGAGAGAGAGAGATGCACACACAGACAGACAGACACAAAGAGAGAGAGAGAAAAAGAGAGAGAGACAGAGAGAGAGAGAAGCTGGCCTTACTTGATGCATTCTCTTTGACTTTGTTCCAAGGGGCACTTTTCTCTGACCTGCTATCTGTTGTGAAACAAAATGTCTCATTGTTTGTATTCATATACTGTAAAATCTTATTAATATGAACTCGCTTAAGGAGAAAATTCAGTTAACATTACTGCAATTTTGGTTTCTACAGAGAGATACATATATTATTACAGTGTATTAGTCCCGTCAGCATAATTCCTTAAAAATTCTTGACATTTTGGTGCCAGATTTTGTGTTAGTGAGGTTTTACTTTGTTTCTAGGTCTCTCTGGTGTCCTAATGAAGCAGATACACAGCACAATCTAGTTCATTTTATTCTCTAATTAGGTATACTTTTTTTTAAGTTTCCCACTGACTTCTACTAATTATTTGCATGCGGTAATCATATAATCACACACACCCCCCCCCCCCCCCCCCCCCCCCCCCCTCCATTAAAAAACAATTACCAGCATTATACTAGATTCTACTCAGCTCACAGACAAGTACCTACTCTAGCCTTTTCAAATGTCTGAGCTCACACACAAGTACCACTGAAGCTCCCCAAATTTCTGAGCTCACAGACAAGTACCTACTCTAGTGTCCTCAAATGTCTGAGCTCACACACAAATACCACTGTAGCTCCCCAAATTTCTGAGCTCACAGACAAGTACCTACTCTAGTCTCTTCAAATGTCTGAGCTCACACACAAATAAGACTGTAGCTCCCCAAATTTCTGAGCTCAGAGACAAGTATCTACTCTAGTCTCCTTAAATGTCTGAGCTCACACACAAGTACCACTGTAGCTCCCCAAATTTCTGAGCTCACAGACAAGTACCTACTATAGTCTCTTCAAATGTCTGAGCTCACACACAAATACCACTGTAGCTCCCCAAATTTCTGAGCTCACAGACAAGTATCTACTCTAGTCTCCTTAAATGTCTGAGCTCACACACAAGTACCACTGTAGCTCCCCAAATTTCTGAGCTCACAGACAAGTACCTACTCTAGTCTCTTCAAATGTCTGAGCTCACACACAAATACCACTGTAGCTCCCCAAATTTCTGAGCTCACAGACAAGTACCTACTCTAGTCTCTTCAAATGTCTGAGCTCACACACAAGTATCACTGTAGCTCCCCAAATTTCTGAGCTCACAGACAAGTACCTACTCTAGTCTCCTTAAATGTCTGAGCTCACACACAAGTACCATTGTAGCTCCCCAAATGTCTAAGTTAACAGACAAGTAGTACTGTAGTCTCCCTGAATTTCTGAGTTGACAGACAAGTACTACTGTAACCTTCCCAAATTTCTGACTTCACAGACAAGTACCTACTTTGCTCTGCCTAAAATTATGAGTATAAAGAGAAGTACCTACTGCCATTTTCCCAAATACTGAACACCCAGACAAGTAACAACTATAGTGTCCTTAAATTGGAGTTCACAAACAAGTACCTACCAGTACTACCCTTGGAATTCAGGATGTGAACATAGTCGACACACTCCGCCATGTAGCCCAGCAGGGCTATGTGTTCACCATGCAACAATTCTGATATTCTTGTTCTAAATGGACCTTGGATTATATGGTACTGAAAGCAGAAAACAAAAAAATAATTGATCAGACTTTCATCAACATGTACACTTGAACACAGACACAACCAACACAAAACATCTCACACAGCCTGAGTGAGACCACAGTTGTATTTACAATTTCTTCTTCTTCTCTTTCTTTTTCTGCATTCACTTCTTTTTTATCTTAAGAAGAGTAAATCTACTCACTTACAGTTGTGACACAGTCTGTTGACTGCAGAAATAGCTTGTCTGCTGTTACTAGTTTTCAAAAAAGTGCTATTTAATTCCATTGGCCTATGTGTCCCATGTGTTTAGTATCTAAGAATAATATAGGGGGGGGGGGGAAGAGAGGAGAGAATGAGGAGAGAGCTTATGACCACAATAGCTTTTTTTAAAGCCAAGCTGATGCCAACTTCTCCTGTAAGCCTCAGTGACAGAGGTCACAGGGTCATGGAATGATTCAATTGACAAATATTTCTTTTTCCCCAGGAGGAATGTATTCCATTTAATGCTTTACTATTTGTGTTTACTGATTACGCCCTCTATATATTTTTAATTGGGGGGGCTGGGAGAGGATGACTGCCCCCTGCCCCGTTTTACAACAAGCATGTCATAAAAGACAACTAAATAAGGAAGGATTTGTTGAAATTGGATGGTTGGGCCGGAAGGTGCAGATACCACAGGCTAGCTGTCAACTACCACACATCATGCCAACCGTCCTTTTGAGTGTAAATATAGATGAGGAGGAGGAAGAGGAGGAAGAAGTGAAATAAGAAGCGGGTACTGACCTGCTGAGGCTGCCCCATCTCCTGACACTTGGTGACAAACTCCTGCAGCTCTGACATCCTATTCTTCATCAACTCCAGCGGCTTGTGCTTGACTTTGTCGATCTGATTGTCTTCGTTCTGGTTGTTATCGTTGCCATTGATGACAGAGGCTCCCGAAAACTCCCGCCCAGACATCACAGCTAGTAACAAGATATGCAGCTGCAACCAGCGGAGTGTCTGCCATGCTTCCTGTAGCATAACAGTTCAAAACCATTGTGTGACACACTGCTACTACTTACATGTAAACATACATTTTTAACAAAAATATATTGAATGAGGAATCGACATCACAGCACTTAGGACAGCCTCATAAGCGCTCCATCCCCATCTTCAGCAGCAAGAAAAGTGCAATTCTGATGGCACCAGTAACAAAAAATAATAATGATACAAATTTAAAAACAAATTTTTTTTAAAGTTTTCACATTAGTGGCATATCGAGCAAATAATGCCAGACATGCATTTAGTTATGTAGTAAACATCATGCCGGTCACCTATGCTTCCCAGAACTTTACTTGGTACCAAACCTTCTAAAAGTCTTCCTGCTGGTTGGCCCCTGTCCCTTTTTCCCAGTACCCGCTTTCCTAATAGCCTTCTGCTATGGTTACCTATGCTTTCCAGGATTTCATACTTGGTACCTATTTTAGGCTGAGTGCACCTGAGAGCAAAAGTTATCTTTGGAAAGAAATTCCCGCTAGATGGATCCTCGGGCCAGCAGGTGGAGCATCCAGCCCCTTAAACCACCACAGCTCCCTAAACAAGGCGTCACTGCCCATATTCACATTAGTCTGACATTGCCCCTCTGTCCTGGCATTATGTCTATACTATTATTCTTTCCAATCTGCTGTGCTGCTTCATATGGCTAAAGTATTCAGTTACTGAGACAAGATTGACTAGCCAATCTTCCTCGATGTTTAGATCTTTCAGGATGTCAATATCTCGTTTCTTCATGGTCCATGGTATTCTGAGAATCTTTCTATAGCCTTTCAGCTCAAAAGTCGCTTTTTTTATTCTTAACGATTGTGAGACAGTCCTTGATTCACATTCATATGTTGGTATAGGAAAGGTGCATGCTCTCAAACTGTTATCTTTGATTTTCCTTGCTCATGCTTAACCACAGACTTTTAGTGTCCAGCACTAGTTGTCATAAATGTCCACAGCCTTATGCTTCCAGTAATACCAATCAACGAATCAAAAACACCACTAACACCAATCAACAAATCAAAAACACCACTAACACCAATCAACAAATCAAAAACACCACTTACACCTAAACATAAAATCGCAAACTATTTGAATATTAACAACTAAATGTCCCCTTAAAAGATAAATGTTATTTTAAACACACCAGACATTTTCCCCAGACTCATTATACTTAACATTTTTAGTATTTAGAAATGAAGGTGGGTAAAGCACCCTCTTTCATGACTTCAGGCGTACTCGACATATAGGGCTAGACCTATATTTGACCTGCTTCCGGCCAAAATGGACGCTAGGCGGGCCACTGTTTTGGAGCCGAGGCAAATTTTTTGCTTCTGCTGGACGGTGGCCGATGCATTTTTGTTCCGTTTGTAGACTGGATATAGTTTCGTCGCCCAGCTTCTGAGTTGAATGCATGGCATGACACTGTGAGCTGCGGATTTCATTTGGAATGTTTTTTCGACTGTGACCAACGTGGTGGTGTGAATTGTAGATTCAGAAAATGGCGCTATGCCTGTTGTCGCAATTTTGGTGGTGCCCGTATGTGATTAAAATTGATCGCGTGGGCAATTGCAGATCTGTTGGTGATTTCTGCTACCATCAATGATGAACTGCATTTTTAATGTCGGACTGTTTGTGTTAGCACTTCGGATGGCTACCGTATGCTTTAATGCGAGTGTATGCTAGATATGCTGAGACAGCAGTCTGTCAATCCTTCCACAAGGGACTGTGATAAACATTCTGTGTGTTTTTCATTAGCATGGGAGCGGAGCAAAGATGGGGTGACCCGTTTGCTATGAAACTGAAACTAGGACTACCAGACTAGACCTATATTTTATAAACTAATCGGCACTTAGTGGGTTATGTGGCCAACATCATGCCCGCCACCTTTACTTCCCAGGAATTTTACCTGGTACCCACTGAAGGCAGGATTGAACTGGCAGCCAAAGCCATTTAAAAAAAAAAAAAAAAAAGTCAGGCTCCATTAGAACCCTAACCTACGACCTTCTAATCTGCAAGCAAAGATCTAGCCGCTACAAATGTATGCATAAGCAGATAATATTCCTGAGTTTGTAAGTATGGCCTGCATGTTGTTGATATTTCTTATTATTAAAGGTTGTAATGAATAGAATAATGTATGCAAGTAGTGAGGTTGGAAGGGCACAATGTATGATGGGCCGACAATCATTACTCCTAATGTCCCCTTCTCTCTTGTTAAAAATGTGGATCATCTACTTCCGCTGTGAGTGACCAGCTCTAATCTTCAGTTTTTTTCTTTCAAAGTCTGTCACGTCTCTGGGCGTCTAAAACTATAACCTAACAGATGTGTACCCCACAGCATGTGACGCCCGTACAACTGCTGTGTCTGCTACATGACCCAGCATTCCAATTCACTGAAGGGACTTAACACCCAACAAAGCCTTATCTATTTATGTTTAATAGTTATCCCCTTGTCTTCCACATTCCCAGTGAACGACGGCTTCACTTACCTCCTCTTTCTTTGACCTGGACTTGTTTTCTTCACACTGTGATCTGCAACAGAGATTCCACAAATTAACAAATAACCTGTCTTTGAGCTTGCTATACAATACCACACAAGAGGAATAGTGTGAAATGTAAGTAAAGGGACCCTTTTCCATGCCGTTGGGTGTACTGGGAACATAATGTGCAATGTAACTGGACTCTAAATATGTATGGATTAGAAAACCTACAGACAGCTCAAAAAACATATTTATAATTTGTTAGGCATCTTCCTTTCCACCCCAACGTGAATTTTTGTTTTGTTTTCCAAAACCAGGCATTCCACCCTTCAGCACACTTGCATGCACACAGAAAGAAAGAAAGAAAGATAGAAAGAAAGAAAGAAAGAAAGAAAGAAAGAAAGAAAGAAAGAAAGAAAGAAAGAAAGAAAGAAAGAAAGAAAGAGAAAGAAAGAAAGAGAGAGAGAGAGAGAGAGAGAGAGAGAGAGAGAGAGAGAGAGAGAGAGAGAGGGAGAGTGTGTGTGTGTGAATGCATGGCTGGCTGGAGGCCAGATATATATACTATGTGTGTGCATATCTGTGTACAAGTGTGTGGCTGGAGTAAGTGTATCATGTATTTGTGTGCACACCCTTGCGTGACTGTATCCACGTGTGTCTGGCTGGATTTCATCAGTCACAAACATCACATTATATTGTTGGGTCACCATCCATAGTCAATGTACAACCATTCACTTTATGCTGACATTTCACCATACACAATGTTTTTACCAATGTATCACCATGATTGTATGCTGAAGTATCACTATCCACAAGGTATTTTTGATGTATCACCATGATTGTATGCTGATGTATCACTATCCACAAAGTATTTTTGATGTATCACCATGATTTTATGCCGAAGTATCACCACCCACAAGGTATTTTTGATGCATCTTCATAACTTTATGCTGAAGTATCACCACCCACACCACAAAGTATTTTTGACCTACCACAATCATTACATGCTGAAAAATCACCATTACTTAATGCTGGCACATCCTCATCACTTTATGCTGACATCCATGTTATACTGTCAGATCACCCCCTGGCCCATAGATGCTGTCTGATTTCACTTGCCACGTTATGCCACTATGTTATCAAAACAACAAACACTGACAGTGAGGGAAACTCAACAAGTACTCACAAACGTGGTGGATCCCAGCACAGAGCGATTGCTAAGTCTCTGTTATCACAGAGTTTTTCTGAGTCAATTCCTGGGAAATAATGTAACTGTAACAATCAAGACCATCTTTATCTTCACAATCACTAACAAGTTCACACCAAAATAATCAATAATCAACATTTTTCTTGATCAACATCAAAAGCAATGTTTTTTTTTTTTAAAGAAACAGACATATTCTGTTGCAACCTTAACCATTCTGTACCAGGATGCCTCTAACCTGACACTTTTGATATGGTACAATTCCCTATAAATGCAGCTTAACCTGCATTTCTATAGTGAGGGGTTTACGAGATTCCTAGCCAGTGCCATTGGCTGTCTTTGCACCTGTGCAGCTTTCAAGAGGTTAGAATACACTATTTCAGGAGGTTAAAATACACTAAGAAATAGTATTTAGGGGAATTTTCTTGTGAATCAAATAGCTTTTTTAAAAACCATGCAGACACCCATAGCTCCTCACAGCTTCAATGATAGAGGTCAAGGGGTCATGATTTGAGTCGCCCAATACAAATCTTTTACCAGGAACAAAATATTCCTTCCACTTATCACTTCATTCTGTTTATATTTTACAGATTTTTATTTTTGTAGTTACTTGTGTGTAAAAAAAAAATTCACATTTAAAAAAAAAAAAAAGTATTCTTACGGGTTTATTATTAATTTTTCCCCCAAACGTTCCTGAGGGAAAAGTATTAAACACATCTAATGTTTTTTTGTGAAATACAATATAATCAGAAATGTCATCTATGAAACAGAAAATTATCCATGGAATATGCCTATGATTTGTGGAACATTCAAAATTATCCATAGAACATTTTAACTGTGATATATGGAATATAATATAATCTATAGAAAACCTCTAAAACTAACTAACTATGGTGCACACCTTATTTGATGCACTGAACATATCTGATGTGATTAATGGAACAAAATATGATCTACAGAACATACCTCTAATATTATCTATGAAACATACCTAAAATTATGTATTTAACATATCTAACATGTTTTATGGGACAATACAGTCTGATCTATAGAACACACCTCTAAAACCATCTATGGTACATAACTCATATCATATACTGAACACAACTAATGTGACTTCTGGAATACACTATGATCTATGGAACATACCTAAAAAAATTTTACGGAAGACATGTAACAGCCTATAAATGTAAATACTGTGTACGTACGTTTATCCGTGAGTGGATGAACATTCATACGTTTGACTATTTCTTCTGTGGCATCGTGACTGTCTGTTTGCATAATAAGGTCGAGCAGAAGCTTTTCTGTGTTGGCAGTGTGAAACTGGAGTGAGTTGTTCAGCCGATCCTGGAATGCTACAAACTCTTGTATCTGAAACCCACACACACAAAAAACATACACTTTTCAGACTTTGAACAAAGAAGACACAACCAACAGACTGCAGAATATGCTGCCTGGCATATTTTGACTATCTCGTCAGGTACATACTACAGGGATTCAAATGCATCCTTTTCGCTGAAACACAAAATCTATAAATCCTATATTAAAAAGTAACTGTCTGTTTTAACACAAGTTGCTGAAACAGACAGTTACTTTCTATATATCTGCCACATACCAGTGAGTGAATGTTTTACACACATATCACACACTAGTGGGTGAATGTTCTATACAGCTACCACACACCAGTAAGTGAATATTCTATACATCTACCATACACCAGTGAGTGAATGTTCTATACATCTACCATACACCAGTGGGTGAATGTTCTATACATCTACCACACACCAGTGGGTGAAATTTCTATACATCTACTACACACCAGTGACTGAATGTTCTACACATCTACCACACACCAGTGACTGAATGTTCTTTACATCTACCACACACCAATAAATGAATGCTCTATACATCTACCACACACCAGTGAGTGTATGTTCTATACATCTACCACACGCCAGTGACTGAATGTTATGTTCTATACATCTACCACACACTAGTGACTGAATGTTCTACACATCTACCACACTATTCACCCCTTCCCCTAACTTTCTTTCACTCTCAAAAAAAAAATGCACAACAAAATGAGCTTACAGAAAGAAACAGTGTTACACTTACTAGCCGATAGTCGCAGACATGTCAGAGAAAACTACACTGACTTCTCACAAAACAAACGTCACAGAGCAAACCATCCCAAGACAACAGGAACATTTGAAAAGTGTGTCACCTGGACATCAAAGATAGGTGTAAAAGTGTGTCTACTCACCCGTCCAAATGAACCAAATTTGTAAGAGGACATCAAATGTTCAGATGCCTGAAACAGATACACAAGAAACAATAAGACATGGATCAAGACATTTAATTTTATTTAAGTATTCTTCTTCATCTAATTCATCGACTGTAAACTCAACTAGGAAAGTTATGGTTATTCGACCACTTCTGGAGTTTTGCACGTTCATCAGTTTTACAGACCTGGCTTACTTTTGTGCACTGCTTCCTTGTGTCTCAGGCAGATGCACTCGTGACTTCGATAGAAACATCCTTAGTTAGTTGATCTTACAACATGCTTGTTAGGGGCCCATATGCTGGGCTGCCAGCTCAAGATCTCTAAGGTTTCCCCAAAGTTTAGTTGTCAGGTCTATTGTTTGTCAAGTGTTGTTCGTAGCTTTCCTGGGTTCCTGCAAGACGAGTTCCGAGGTCTGTTCATACGAAGACACTGTGACGGAGAGCTGTCTGGTTCACAGCTAGTTTTGTGGGCCAAATGACTATGGGGAATAAAGAGTTAATGAAGCCAGGACTTGGTGTGACAGGTTGAGAATATAAACATTGGGGGTTGCTGGAAGACAGTGAGTCAGTGGAGCATGAGCCATAGGGAAAGCATGAGTGGCCTGATATTCATTCCCGAGTTGTGTGGGGAATGTTCAAAGTGGGTCGACAGTGTAAGTAGGTTGTGAACCCTGAGTGTTGATGAGAAAGTGAGATCCATGCGGATTTGACCGCGGGTGTAAAAAGTCCCGTGGTAGTTTGAATCAGTCAGTCCAAATGTATGAATGTGTTTTGTGAGCTGTTTATGCGACAGTTTTAGCCATGTTTTATTCTGTAGAGCTCCTGTAAACTCTCCGGGATGACTGTGGTGTATCGTGAGTTGGACTTAAGAATTCTGTCAGTGATTTTCTAGAATGGACTGGTGACAGCCATGTGTGCTGGGGTCATCACAATGATGGCTTTGTTGGCACGTGGGTTAACGGTGTCCATGCACAGTGGTGGCTTTGTTGGCACGTGGGTTAACGGTGTCCATGCACAGTGGTGGCTATGTTGGCACGTGGGTTAACGGTGTCCATGCACAGTGGTGGCTTTGTTGGCACGTGGGTTAACGGTGTCCATGCACAGTGGTGGCTATGTTGGCACGTGGGTTAATGGTGTCCATGCACAGTGGTGGCTTTGTTGGCACGTGGGTTAACGGTGTCCATGCACAGTGGTGCTGGGAAACTGTGTGGGTTGACCAACATGGAGATGTAAAGGGGAGGTATCGGAAGCAGATTTACTGGTTGTTGGTAATACTTCAATGAGTGACTGGAGTAGCAGACGGGATTCTTTCCACCAAGAGATGCATCTATCTCGCAGGGTCCTTGTGGAGTCCTCGTGGCAGGATCTTTAGAGACAGAACAATCATTGGATTGTCACTGCACATCACATGGGTGTACCTGCCCGCATAGGTGGGAGTTACCATAGCTGGCACCTGGTACACAGTTCACTAGGGTGTGCTGTTCATGTCTGGAGAGACTGCCAATTGAGTATTTTGGATGCAGTAGTAGATCTGACAGTCAGTCATCCGTCACCATTCATTTTTATCACAATGTATTCGTCCATAAAAAAGAGACTGATCGCACCACAAGATCATACTCGGCGTGGTGTAGAATAGTCTGGGGTAGAGGGAATCCCAGGTGTGGAGGACTGATTTTTATAAACAAACCTCTAGATTTTTAGCAAAGTGTGGGGTAAATCGCCCGACCGCACATGTCACCTAGTTTATACAATTGTTGTTGAGTATACAAAATATGTTATTCTAACCCACAGGATTGTTTAAATAGCCCACACACAGAGGCTGTGTAAACAAACCACACAGAGAGACTGTAAATAATCCAAACACAAAGGATTGTGTAAACAATCTGCCACGAAGGATTATGTAAACCCACACATATGCAAACACACAAATGGACACAAGTGAAGTTTCTCACTGACCTCTCTCTGGTTGAGGACAAAGAAGCGCACCATTGTTGTGTACATGGTCCCAGCTTCTACAAAGTGACCTAGCCTAATGACATGGTTGGAGACTATATATCTGGGGAGAGGAAGACAACAAACATTATTTACTGTTTTACTCTAGACCAAGAGTACTTTTCCTCAATAATATTCTTTCTACAAATAGCCAGCATGAACAGACACATTGAGCAATATATAAAAGAGCTTCTGTGGGTAAGTGTGTCTGGCCAGAGGCATAGCGAGGTATTATAATCTTAGATTAACAAAGAAAAATACTGTGTTACGCAGAAATCTGGATGTTATGGTTTTTTCCCCCATATGTTCTGTAGTCAGGCTGGTGATTCTAAATCCCAACAAGCGAGGAAAAAAAAAGAAGAAGAAATAAATTGCCCACCCTTAGACTTTTTATCTCTGGAAAGAAAAGCACAACAAACTTCAAGTTAAAAAAGGGTTTTCACCTCTTCATGCTTTAAAAAACATTATGCTCCTCTTTGGTGAGAGTCAAACATGTGGTGGCCATTGTTAAGCTGTCATTATAAAGTCACTGTGTCCGTCAGCATCAAAATGCCATGTGCTTAACATCCTTAACAACAATGCTGACAGGTTTACAAGGTAATAACGTGGTTATTGCAAAGTCTATGACTTTTGAGGTTTTCATTTGAAATACTTTTATTAGTACTGTTTCATGCTGATCTATGCATTCAGAAGACAACCAATCAACATAGTGACCCTTTAGACCCCTATATTTCTGTGTGGGATCTCTGTATAAGTTGCACGAAAAATGACTAAAACTCAACAATGCTAACTACATTCCATATTTTCCCATGTATAAGACAAAACCCCCTACCCCGCATCTCCAAATTTTTTTTTAGTTTAAAACCGAGATTGGAGAGGAGGAGGAGGAAAAGGGGGGGGGGGGTGTGTGTGGAAAGGGGGAGGGGTTTGGTCATTGCAACAATGCTGCTGTTACAGTTCCCAGAGTCTTACAAAGTCTCAGTGTCTTGCCAGTCAAACTGTACCAACACAAAAGTTACCAGGAAATAGATTTTGTCTATTGAGTAATTTTAAAAATACAGACACAGTCAGTTGAGCATCATCTGGAGTTCGTTGCTTACATGAAATAGTAAGAGTTCCGATTCCGATGGTACCAGTAACGATCCGATTGTATATCCGTCTCATCCTTCCTCTGAGTGTTGAGCGCCAGCCAAAACCCCTTGGTAACTCCTCACAGCGCCATTCTCCTTAGACCGTGATGATCCATCTGCGCCTCCGCACAGTTCACTCGCTCCCAAAGGTCTATCACAGATGTTAGACTACTTACAAAAATCATGCTGACGTTCATGCCTCTTTACTTTAGTACACACAACATTTGTTCAGCACTTTCCAGACATGTTTCCAGAACGTTAACTGTTGATACGTTCCATTGTCCAGGTATTCACTAACACAACAGTTCTTTCACTCTGACTCTTCAGCCACACAGACAACCTTCTCTCATCATTGTTTCACACCGAATAATCGTTCATCCTTTCTCATGTCCAATTGTTCACATTCTCTCAGATTTCCTACAATCATTCATGTGGACTCACTATCCTAAGACACACTTTCCAAAGGATTCTTTCCTAACTGGCCTTCAAACTCTTATCCCATCCCATTGGGGATTTACACCGAATAATCGTTCATCCTTTCTCATGTGCAATTGTTCACATTCTCTCAGGAAATTCCCTACAATCATTCACTTGGACTCACAATCCTAACTGAGACACACTTTCCGATTGGTTCTTTCCTAACTGGCCTTCAAACTCTTGATCCACCCCACTGGGGAACCCTCTTGTGAGGTCAGAGGATCTTCCTGATTCATTACATTCATCTTTGACAAGGGATATGTTTAAAATTTTTATTTCTTTATTTTAGGCTTTAAAAAAATCTCTGTGTGGGTTCCCAGGTCCCACTGTGTGGAAAACAAAAACAGACCCATTGCCTCTCCAACAAGCATGTCATAGAAGTCGATTAGTTTGGCAGCTTCCTTCAAAGTCGGAGTGCAACTGCCCAAGCCGCAAGGGAACTGCAAAGAAACAAGCCAGTAAAAAGGATGTACACACAAACCTCAGGCCTTAGCAAAAAGCCAAAGTCGAAATGGGCGAATAACCAGGACTTTTCCGCCGGAGCTTACCGCCGATGAACAAAGAGGGAGGTTTAGCAACAAATATGGATCATCTTTTACATGGACGCCTGTTACACAGAAAAATATGGAACACAGAAAAGTGAGACAAGTCAGTACTCACCCTAAAGTGTCGTTCATGATATGTTTGATCTCCATGCTGTCGTAGAGTGCAGGACAGGGCCCAAACACACCTGAGAACATCACATGAAAAAACATGATAAGTGCACTAGACATATTTAACATGCATATTTCAACAGGTCGAGCTGCCATGGTGTAGCAGCTAGACACTTGCAAGAGCGCCTGATGGTCATAAGATCAAATCTGCACAAAAAAACTAAATTTTTGTTCTTTTTAAAGACACTGGCTTCAGCCACACCCAGTACCCCTAACAGTGCAATACAGAGTTTCTATAAAAGCTGCGGAAAATAAGTCAGAACAGCAGACCAAAAAGAAGAATTTAAGACCACTAGCGGTGTTCGACAAGGTGATATTCTCTAACCTTATTTCTTCATTCTTATGATGTATGATGTCATCCAGACCTGTAAGAAGACAAAGAAGTACTCAGTAGGGTACTGGAAGATGAGACCAATCTGGGTATCAGAGCTAGCATTTGCAGATGATGTGGCCCTGATAGCTAAATCAGAGGCACACCTTCAGTCCAACTTACTTGTCTGGAAGGAAGAGCTGGAGAAGAGAGGGATGACCATCAGTGTCTTCAAAACTAAAATCATGGTGATCTCAAGAGAGGTGAAGAAACACCAGATCATGATGGGACCGTATGCATTCGAGCAGTTCAACCAGTTTAAATAACCTGGAGTTGTAAAAGAACGAAACGGAGGCATTAAGACAAAGCTTGCTACTCTAAAAGCAGCTAGCACTGAGACTTTTCCAGACCACAAACCGAGTGTTTCTTAGCAGAAGAGAAATTAGCAACAGGACAAATATGATTGTTTACCGCCCAACCTTATGTACCAGTCCTGACCTACAGGTGTGAGTCATGGGCAATGACGACAGCTCACAGAAGCCAGATTCAGGCCTCACAAATGAGATATCTGAGAAAGGTGGTCCATGTGACAAGAATGGGAAAAGTCTGCAATCGGAAACCAGGTTGGGCATGGGAGGCTATGAACCAAGAAACCAGACCTCTAGGGCAAGCTAAGGTCTGCTGCGAAGACAACATCTGACAGTTCGTGATTGGCAGAGGACTTGAATGGAACAAAGCCAGAAAGCAAACAACTGACAGAGAAGTCAGGCTATCTCTCTGGCAAACCTTTATATCCCAAGGTAGAAGAAGAGTGACTAAGTAAGTAAGTAAGGCTCCAGTCACAAAAAGTGCATTCTCAAACATCATAAGAGTAAAGGTGGCTGGCATATTTACATGTAGACATCAGTGGGAAGGTAATAACAAAGCTTCTTAGCATATCTGATGATTATGACACTGAGAGGAACAAATCTGGTAGAGATGATAGACAGTTTTTTTTTTGCATACAGGACTGACAACCAAGTAACCAACCTGCCTACAAACCAAGCAGCCAGACAATCCACCAACCAACCATACAACTACCTGCCATTCTGTCCAAGGCTGGGAGACAAAACATACCTGCTTCACTAACAAGTGGGAGGAGGTCCTTACCTGCACAGGACTGCAGGTTAAACCTAGCCGGGGTAGCTGTAACGGGTGCTCTAAAGTAACTTCTTTGGAGGCTGAACAGGGTATCTGGGATCTACCATGTTGGTCTGTCATCCAGACTAAGATTTTTTTTATTTATTTAAATCTCACGATGATACAGTAAACATTTTGGTAGCATCCCTGAGAGGACAAACTGATCAACTGATTAAGCAGGGAGAAGGAGAAGCAGTTAACAGTTAAGAGCCCTTACCTTTGATACAGTACAGCCTAATTAGCAAGAGTTTGAACTGGTAGTTGGAGGTGCTTTCTCGAATTCCCAGCTCCAAGTGGACAATGGCCTGCCAGACGTGCACATCATCCCCTGGTCAATAGAACAACACATGTGTAGACATCAAGTCAGATTCTCACAGGTCAGATGTGTGATGATGTTTCTGTTATAAGTGCTGTTAGTGATATTCCTGCTGTGTTGTGACCTAACTTGTTCAAGAATGTGCTGTATGTGTGTTCTGTGACTACTATGTTGTGACCTCACCATGTTTAAGAATGTACTGTATGTGTGTTCTGTGATGTGTTGTGTAACTGCTGTGTTGTGCCATCAAGTATGCTGGTTTTGGCTAGCTCTTTCTGTGGTTGAAAACTGTTCAAATACATCTGGTTGAACAAGGAACACTATTTTAGCAAGAATGTGCCCCCTCAGGCTGCATGGTCTCGTGGCATGGCTTCCGCCTCGAGTGCTAGAGGTCCCGGGTTCAAGCCCTGGTAAAGGCTGGAATTTTTTTTTACGTGGATTTCTAGTAATTTCCCCTGGTCTCTGTGTAGTAAGACCAGACGCACTTGTGTATTTGCAGTTTGAATTTAAAAAAAAAAAAGAGTAGCCTAAAGGCTCTGCCTGGGCAAAATTTTGAGTTAAAAATCTACCTAAAGTATTTCAGGATCCTCGCTGGTGCTATGGAGTTTGTGCACTGCGCTGAGATTCTTCAGACTCAGACTTGAGTTAGAAGTAGAATGGAGCACTTATGGGTTACTAGCCTTGTGCCATGATGGTTATCTGTCGCCTAACCAACCAAAAGGTCCTCATTTTGGGTCAGAAAAGAACAGATCCACCCATTGCTCCCTTTTCCTTAACAAGCATGTTGTAAAAGGTGGAATATTAGGGGTGCTTTCTTCAAAGTCAGAACGCATCTACCTCAGAGGTAAAGAACCAACAGTATGCACACTAATAAGCCAGGTCTGTAAAACAGGTGTGAATACAAAGCTCAAGTTCTGAAACAAGACCAAAGTTAGGAAACTGATGAACAACACAACTTTGCACCAGAGTTTACAGCCACTGAACAAAAAGAAGAAGAAGGGGAGCATAGAATCATCATCATTTTCCTGTTGTGCCATTACATGTCATATAGGGCTGCAGTCTATTCTTCCATTCCATTCTATCTTGTGCTTCTTCCTCTTTACGACCTCTTTTACTGCTTCGGGTGTGCAATCACTTCAATATCATGGATAGAATCCAGTCTAGCAGCTTTGGCCTCTCTCATCAACATTTATTTTAGGTTGTTTTTTGTAAATGTCGTCCTTGCTGCATCAATTCCCTTAATTGTCATTGTAGTGCCTGTCTGGTGATTCTCTGCTTCTCTCTTCCCAGGATGCCTCCAATACACTGCCATCTTCTTTCTCTTAACTGTTACCAGTGGCTGCCCAGACATTTTCTGATTTCTTCACTCCTCTTTAAATCATCCCATTTATGTTTAACATTTTCCACAAGGTTAGGTGAGACTGTCTACCTCATTAAAAAAATGTAGCATGATAATCTAAAACAGGGAAAGGTATTCAACTCAGGGCCTATTGTCGTAAGCTAGTTTGACTTGGGCATATGGTAGGACATGATTCGACAGCCAAGATTACACTTCAAGGATCATGCGGGCGGTGGGCAAAGAAGAACCTGGAATGATAACATCAAGAAATGGACAGAACAAAAGTATCACACACTTGTTCAACAAGCAGAAGATAGAGAAAAATAGCAGATTTTGTGTGCTAGTGTTTCCATAGATACACCTACACAACCCTAACAGGTCAAAGGTTATGTTACATTAGATACTCAGGGCCCACAATGATGAACATTGGGATCATCAAGTGCCAGACCTGAGCCCAGCATAGAAAGACCAGTAATAGAATGCAACTGGTACTGTTCTGTGGACTAAATGTTACGCCTCCTGTGTTTCGGATTCAGCCAGTGGACCATCAGTTGATCTAAAATATATAAAAATGAAAAAAACACAACAAACGCTAATATACAAACTAAATCAAAACATACATACCTGTTTTGATCCAAACATCCAATAATAGATGGACTGCCAAGAGCAGGAAGTTGTCACTGTACTGGAGGTCAGTTTTTAGTAAATCTTTACCTGCATAGAAATATATCTCACAAATAATATCACGCATATTTGCAACCCAAAAAAGAAGCTGGCTCAAAAGCCCTAGCTCCTTTATGAAACAGCTTTAAAACATTCCTGAATATTTGATTCCAACTGGGGTGATGGATTTTGTTTTGAAAACGACACTTGTGTAAGAAGGTAGTGCTGTGACACAACATTTCTGATGTAACCTCATATACTCTCAAACCAAAATGACTGTGGAGTTATTTATCTGTGTGTTGTGTGCATAGCACCATCAGCGTAGAAAATATCCTTGAATCAGCAATATACAATGTCACAATTTATATTTTGATGTTTCTTAGAGATAGTAATCTGGGCTCGTAAAGAAAATGGTCGTACTTCTTGTTCTTCTTCCTGGCCATCTCTTTATAAGCATCCAGTGTCTACCATGTTCTGGTTCTTGTTCTTCTAGTTACCTCAACCACAGACACTTCATACATACTGTTGCAGAGTTTATCTAATGTCATCTTTCCATCTGGTTTCATGGTCTACCTCGTGATTTATGTCCTCTTTTGGTAAGCAGTGGGTTTCGATCACGGTACGTTGGAATTATGAGTCGGACTCGCAACGCCTAAGCCATGGACGCCGTGACATACAACATAATGAGTTATTAATGCACAATGTGTCTGTCTATAGTCCAGGTGGCCAGAAGAGCAGGAAGCAAAACCTCGCATCTCCATCGACATCTGAAGCAGTAAAAGAGGAAGTGAAGAAGGAGAGAACTGAAACATCACCGTTTTGTTTCTTGACCTCCAATTAACCTTAGCCCCACTAAATGATGGCAGCCACTGTGGTGTAGCAGCAAGATGCTGGCCTACATATCTGAAGGTTGTGAATTCACATCTGCATATTTTTTTTTTTTTCCAAACAACTTTGGTTCTCAAGTCGACACAGCCTTAAATGGATACCTGGTAAAGTTCTGGGAAGTAAAGGTAGCTGGTGTGATAGTGACCACATCAGCCATCAAGGACCGACTACTCTATACAAATTAAAGACCAGCCTTATGCTTAAATGGATCTCCATTTCATTTTACACTAAATCTTGTTCTCTGTTTACCGACAGGAAGCTCCGGTGGAAGGTCCTGGCTGTTCACACACTTGGACTGAGGCTTTTTGCCAGAGCCTGAGTTTTGAGTGTAAATCCGCTCTACTGGCTTTTTTGTACGCAGCTAGTTGTTTCTTGCCACTCCGGCAGATGCACTCCGACTTCAAAGGAAGCCCCTTATCAGTCAACTCCTACGACATGCCTGGTCAAGCAGTGGGTCTATTCTTGTTTTACCCACAATAGAGCTACCGGATCCCACACGGGAAATTTGCACCAAATGATAAGGATGACAATAATGGTGATGAAAGGCATACTCACCAAAACTGAGGCCGTCCCTGTATCTAAGCAGCAGCTGCCTAGACAAGAGTAGAGCCTGGTCGATGCTGAGGGAGGTGTGTCTGCCCACCGTCCGGGACAGCTGGTGGTAGACCAAGTGCTGGGTCAGCTGGTTAATCTGTAAGTGACACAAAAGATTAGTCAGCAAGACGTTGTTCTCTTGACCGTGAACCTTCTCAAAGACTGCAAGTCACGCAAGAGATCAGTGAGCAAGACGTGTGTTCAGCCGTGAATCCTCTCAAAGACTGCAAGCCAGGTAAAGTCCATGAACAGAAACTTCTTTTTAGTACTGACTGGCTGTACACTAAAGCGGAAAGTTCTGGTTGTTTGTAAACGACTAAGCTTTGACCTTGTTCCAGAACTTGAGTTTTGCGTACATATCAGTTTTACTCATCTAGCCTATTTCTATGCAGACTGTTGGTTCCTAGTCTCTCAAGCAGATGCATTCCAACTTCAAAGAAAACACCCCTAATTAGTCATTTTGTACAACATACATGGGGGAGGGAGAGTATTTATTCTTTTTCGATCAAAAAATAGGGCCCCGGAACCCACACAGGAAGAACAGAAATGTGAACAGAAACAAGCATACAAACAGAAAGAATAACATAAACTTACATCTTGTGCAAACTGTTCAGTGTCATCTAGGCCTGAGAATGTTCTCATGTGATCCAGCAACTGAAACAGAGGACACACATAGTTGAAAACATGCCGCACACTTGCAGCAACAGTGTCAGAGATTGTTTTTAACAATGAGATTTTGTGTTCATTGACTTTAAAAGCTTTCTTCTGATTCATCTTAGCATTAATCAGCTCTATGGTAGAAAGTTCTGATTATTTGTCCATTTCTGGACTTGTGGTGCTGTTAATGTTTCCAGACCCAGGATTAGAGTAACTTCCCTTGCCATTCATGACTCCTTAGGTCGCTAGACCTCTCCCGTGATGCGGTAGAGTCATGTTTTCCTTATTGAGAACAGTTTAGCTGTTGCCTCTTCTCTCGTCTTCTCATTGCTCGCTTGCGTTATTATTTTCACGTTCTGCTACCCGCACGAAGGTTCGCGAGTATGGAAACAGCTAAATTTGTCTATTCCTATGCTCCTTAAAACTACTTTCTTTCTCTCAGGGGGAGGCCGCCGCCAACGAATGTAGAAATTTTAAAAAATCCCAGTTTTGATAGCCAAGAATCATCGTGCCTGAAATAGACTCATAACAACACAACCTCCTAAAAACATTACAAACGCCGTAAGAAAGCCAAACCAAGCTATATCATAACACCCCCGCAACACAGCAGAGGTGCAGCAACCTATAGAGACATGAATGGCAAGGAAAGTTACTCTAATCATGGACCTGTAACATGAACAGGACCAATCTCGTTCCAGTACTTGATTTGTGCACACACTTGTTTTATGTACCAAGTTATTCATGCTGTGACCCTATGAACTCTGACACTGGGGTTACGAGAAAATTACTAGGTAAGATGGCTAATGAAAAACCCCCTTGTTCAAAAGAAACCCACTTAAATCCTATAGTCTGTGAATATATTTACATCTGGACCTCCAAAACACTATGTAGGAATAAACAGAAGCAATAACGCTTAACGATGCTTCTCAACGACAAGCCACTGGGAAATGCTGCATACATGGCATTTACGGATATAAGTCAAGGATGGAAATGCCTAGTTTCGGCTTCTCAGGACAACAGGGTCACATAGCATGTCCTTACATATTGTACCCCCCCCCCCCCCCCCCCCAACCACCCCCACTGCTGACGACCAAAAAGGCAGTCCCTTGGTAATTGTCTTGATTCATATCTTCATGCAAAAACAGTCTGTAACATTTTCTCTACACCTCCAAGCTAGTAGTTCCCTGTTTTTCCTTTCCTTATTATGTTTGTTCACCTCTCCAGAGGTTATCAGATGAGAAGGCCACATGCCTCTATGAAGTCTGTGGTGAGACACATGTCTTCCACTGTTCCATACAGCTTGGTTTCCACTGGAGTGTCAACCACCTAGGTTCTATTGCAAGTCCGTAGCACATGTTCAGTATTCTGTGCTTTTAGACACTGACATTACAGGAAGGAATTGCACAATGCTGTAGTTTTCAGGTGCAGCTGACACCTTTCTACTCAAGCGGCACCTTTTAGCCAGGCACCCCAGACTTTAATGGGCTTTTCTGTCAGGATGAGCTTCCTTAGATGAAGTGATGTCCCAGGAAGACATGCTCTATCTGCTTGGTTTCTCCTTTAAGAAACCATCCTTCCAACACCATTGTTTCCAAATCCCTAGAGGTGCTGAACAACATGCGGTGGTGCACCAGGAACAAGGCTCATACTAGTCAAGACCTGCCTCCACCTCTTCATCCTCCTCATAGTTACAGGTTTCCAGCAAGAGACTTGACCAACACAAGATAGGACTGGTGTTACCTTCAAAGTCAGAGTGTATCTGAGAGGCAAGGCACTAACAGTCTGCACATTAATTAAGCCCTGGAACAAGACCAAAGTCCAGAAGTGGACAAACAGCCAGGACCTCCCACTGGAGTTTACAGCCGGCAAAAGCAAAAAAAAATAACCACTGTGGTAGCAGTAACTTAAATTTAATATATTTTAAAAATGAAACCAAAGGGAAAAAAATTAAGATAACCAACAAAGCAACCAGACAACAAAACATGGACAATATGGGTACCTCACTTAATTCTTGTTCTGTAAGTAGATGTGTGTATAGCTTCATGTCACCATAGCAACACGACTTGTGACCAAATTTATCAAAGTAGTCTTGAAGAAGCTTCACTGTAGTTCCTGTAAAAACAAAACCGAGAATGTTACATGACAACCATGTATGTGACCAGTAACCAGGAATATTCTTCATCTTCGCGTTCACCAGCTGTACACTCTGGCGGAAAGTTCTGGTTGTTCGTCCATTTCTTGACTGCAGTCCTGTTCCAGAACCTGAGTGTTGTGTGTGCATCTGTTTTACAGATCTGACTCATTTGTATGCAGACTGCTGGTTCCTTGCCTCTCAGGCAGATGCACTCCGACTTTGAAGAACGCTCCTTCCTAATTAGTCGACTCTTACGACATGCTTTTGGGCAGGCAAGGGATTTCAGAGAAATTTGACTAAAAAGCTCAACAAGATGGGGAAGCAGAAAAAAGTGAACAAAACAACACAACATAACATTTCGGCCTGGCAGCCTTTTTCAAACATAAGTTTTGTTCACGTTTTTCTGCTTCACCATTTTTTTTGAGTTTTTAAGTCAAATTTCTCTGGAATTCCTTGTATAAGTTTGACTGCAGTCACCCCCATATTTTCACAATTTTTGAGCAGGCAGTGGGTCTATTCTTGTTTTCCCTATAACAAGGCCCCGGAACCCTCACAGGGATAACCAGGAATGTGACAGGGCAACCGTTAATGTGACAAAACAACCAGAGATGTGTTGTGGCAACCACAGATGTGATATGACAACCATGAAATGTAACATGATAACCATGAACATGACATAACCATGAACGTCACATAACCATTATTGTGACAGAGCAACTATGAATGTGACAGGGCGCAAATTAATGTCACATGACAACCAAAAATGTGATTCGACGACCATGTCGGCATGATAGTAAAAAAAAACCAGTACTGAGTTTTATAGGCAGATATTAAATCTAGTGTGGGGTTGAGTGGTCTTGAGGCATGGTGTCTGCCTCGAGTGCTGGAGGTCCCGGGTTTTAGGCCCTGATAAAAGGCAGGAATTTTTTCACATGTACTTCTAGTAATTTCACCTGGTCTCTGGGTAGTAAGATCGGATGCTTGTGTGTATTTTTGTGCAGGTAAAAAATCCTTTGGCAGTTGGAAACTGAAAAGAGTATCTTAATTGTGCTGACTGAGCAAAATTTGGAGTTAAAAATCTACCCAAAGTATTTCAGGATCCTCGCCAGTGCTTCAGAGTGGGTGCACTGCGCTGAGATTCTTCAGACTCATGCCTAAGTTGGAAGCAGAAAGGAGTACTTATGTGTTACTACCCTTATGCCATGATGTTGATCCGTTGTTTAAACCTTCAAACCTTTCAAACAAATCCAATGGTTTCACCAGGTAACAAGACTGCATCAGACAGGGCACCACAAAGTGCAATGTTATACAGATACAATAGTTACAGAACCAGTGGTTGACCACGCAGAATATGGACCGCTGAAATATCAGAAACATAAATAAAAAGTACTTTACAAGAAGCGAACAGAAGAGCCCGTTCCAGATATCTCTTCTTGCCATGATGCAGAAAAATCATTCCAGGAGTAGAGAGAAGAAGAAGAATGAGACATTTATAAATATGGCACACTCATGAATGTGATATAACAACCAAGAATGTGACCCAATAACCATGAATGTGACACAACAACCACACGCGTGACATGACAACCACATGCGTGACATGACAACCATGAATGTGGCATGACAACCCTGAATGTGACACGATAATAATGAATGTGACACAACAATCCTGAATGTGACATGAAAACCATGAGTGTGACATGACAACCAAGAGAAACAGAACAACCATGAATGTGCCATTACAACCACGAATGTGACATTACTAACACAAATGTGACATGCAAACCACACATGTGAGATTTTCTCCAAAACATTAGTGACCTGTGTTTTTTTTTTTTAAGGATTTTCTTTCAGAGAATTCTGTGTCTTTTCCTAAAGGTTTCCGGGGTGAAAGGGCTAAACAAACAAAACCTGCAGAGATCATACTTACCAACGGACGAAGCCAGATCAGACTTCCTCTGAATGAGATTCTTCAAGAACTCAATTTGAGCCAGATAAGGGCCACGGATCAAAACCCCTCCTTCCAGCTGGCCAAGTTTCTCCAGTAGGAAAGCATGCATGGATTCCACCGTGCTGTCTGGCGTCTGAACACTGAAATACCAAGGCAACAATAGACCATAGCAAGATTATCAAAATAATGCCAGCCGGACCTGTAATACTTTACTATCTTAAATGCTTCAATGGCTCACACAGGTCAGGAAGTTTGTATGTTTGTGTCTTTCTCTTGAGCCTAGGGCGGCGCACTGGGCAGAGGTCATAGCTATCCATGTCTGGCGGTTCGCTGCCACCTTCTTCTTCTTTCGTTCGCCTGAAATAAGTTGTCTATATCAGCAGTTTTGTCTCTTGTATAAATTTCACTGTCTTGTTAGTTTATTCAGTGGTCCATAGAGTTTACGTTCCACTGTTGTTCTTTCTGGCCAAAAGGTTTGCCTTAATGTGTCAAAATCGGTGCAGTCCTGGAGTACATGCTCTGCTGTCTGGGGCACATTTCCACAGGTGCACATGGCTGATACACCTATCTTGAATTTTGTGTACATGTGGTTACGTAATCAGTTGTGCCCTGTTCTGAGGCGGAGGATAATGACTTGTTCTGGTCTGTCCATAATAAAATAGTTGTCTTGTGCTGGGGCTGGTGGTTTCCTGATCGATTTAATGATTCTTTTCTTTTGGTGGTATGTGACTGGTACATCCGGCTGCTCTTTTGTCGCACTTTCCCCTGCCAGTTGATCAGCTTTCTCATTTCCAGGCACTCCACAATGAGACGGTATCCACTGCAATTCTGGCTGCCACCTGTTTTAGGTCTTGATGTTCATTAGGCCCATGGTTGAGCCTTCCCTGATGACGGTACTACGCAGGGTCTCCCTTGGCCTTCCCCGTTTTCTTTTCCTTTCCGGTGTCCGTATGAGACATGTACATAAACAGATGAGTAATGGAAGGCAAAACCTATCTGGGTTACTTTTCATTTGGAGTAAATAAGGCAGAACAAGTGAGGGACTATGCTGCATGGGCAAACAAATGGTATCTTGAATACACGCCCCATGCTCTGTGTGGTATGGAGGAATCATTTCATCACTGGTTGTGTTTTCCTTGCCTCTCATCATCATCATCAATCAATCAACAGGCCTCTTACAGAATGTCACTCTCATCACAGCACGCCTGAAAGTCCGTCTCTAGTCAATACCCTATGTGCTTTAACAGTCACTGCATCTTCCATTTCTTGTATCCACCTTCGCCCCTGTCTCATTATCTGACAACTGCACCCTTTATCACAGTTCTCTCCAGGCTACCATGACGTTTAACATGGACTATAGCTCAGCCTTCAAGACAGAATGCTGTTTATGAGCCAATTCTTCTCCATTGTTAGTCTTCTTTTTCCCTGTCCACAGTATTCTATGCCCCTCTATAACACAACTTTCTGGAAAGACGGAAAGGTACCCACGAACAATAAAGGGGCTGGTAAAATGCTTAGAGAAAGATCCCTGTGTGGGTTCCGGAGCCCCGTTGAGGTGAAAACAAGAATGGACCCACTGCCTGCCCAAAAGCATGTCATAAGAGTCAAATAACTGGGAGCTTTCTTCAAAGTCAGAGTACATCTGCCTGAGAGGCAAGGAACCAACAGTTTGCATGCAAATGAGTCAGACCTGTGAAACAGATGTGCTAGCAAAATTCAGGGTCTGGAACAGGACAAGAGTCCAGAAGTGGAGGAGCAACCAGAACTTTCCACCGGAGGTTACAGCCGTTGGAACATGAAAAAGAAGCTTAGGGAAAGAGAGACTTTCGGAGTATTGTGACATTATGTACAGCACCTGTTGTTTGTTGTTGATGACGATAGTGATAACACTGAAACACATTATAATGGTTTGAAGTGAGTGGACTAGTGCCGTCCCCATGTATTTTTCCATAGAGGAAACAGTCAAAGCATGTCCGACAACTCTACATATTTTCTTAACCTCTTTCTTCTTTGCGTTCACCAGGTGTAAGCTCCGGCGGAAAGTTCTGGTTGTGTGTCCACTTCTGGACTTTAGTCTTGTTCCATAAAATGAGTTTTGCGTGCACATCCATTTCACAGATATGGCTTACCTGTATGCAGACTGTTGGTTCCTTGTCTTTCAAGCAGATTCACTCAGACTTAGAAGGTGCCCAATAATTAGTGGGCTCTTACGACATGCTTGTTAGGGAGGCAGCGGGTCTATTCTTGTTTTCCCCACAATGGGGCCTTGGAACCCACACATGAATTTTTCTTAACGAATTAAAAGCTCTTTCTAAGGCTATGACACCTGAACAGGAATAAGTTCAGGTTAAATCTTCCAACATCTTCACAAACAACAGAGGATCCTTGCCGGTGCAACAGAGTTTGTGCACTGTGCTGAGATTCTTCAGACTCAGGCTTGAGTTGGAAGAAGAAAGGAGCACTTATTTGTTACACCTGTGTGCCATGATGTTGATCCATTGAATAAACATAAACATAACATACAAACATACAACAAACCTCCTGGCTATCTCTGTGATCTCACCCTCCTCCCCAGGTGTGGGGGTGAAGCCGCTGTCCACCATGTGGAACCCAGTCTCCAAGTAGTTCAACCAAAAGGTCCAGTCGTCTGGTCTGAAAAGTCGCCAAGAAAACAATTCAATCACAACCATAAACTGGCTAAAGTAGGGTCACTTTTGACTTATGACGGAGACCTGTTCTGATTAAGTCAAATGGGTCATAAGTCGAATTTAAATGTCTTTCCACACTGTTTTCATTCAAACAGGTTATAAAAAAAATTGTAGATAAAACACAACAAATCAGGCTATGCCCAATACAAAAATACAATTTATATACGAATGATTACTGTATATGACTATCCATGTACACTCTAGGCAACAGATCTGGGAACTTTCTGACCCTACCAATGCAGTAATTTTTCACTAATTTATATTTTTCTTTACTTATTTGTTTTTGTAATTGTAAGTGCAGATTCCTCATAAGTAGAAGGTGTATATGTCATTAGTACTCAGTGATTCAACTGGTTTGAATGTTATGACAGATCAGACCATGCTGTTGGCCTTTTTTGGCAGCTGGCTTAGGACTGAAGCTCTGACAGACATTGTTTTTTCGACCTGGCAGCTTCTGCAGCATGCTTTGTTTTAAAGTACTAATGGGAGCTTTCTTTGCAGTAATCAAGAAAGGGATCATGCTGTTTGCAATTGGTTTATATTGTTTTTTGATCTTCTAATATCACATTTGATTCAGTAACAACAACAGGTAACATAAACAGTCACGTCAGATCAAGTAACAACAACAAGCAACATAAATAGTCTCATCCGAGCAAGTAATAACAAGTAACATAAACAATCATGCGGAACATAAACAGGCACGTCAAGTCAAGTAACAATAACAAGTAACGTAAACAGTCACATCCGATCAAGTAAAAAGATGTAACATAAACAGTCACATCCGATCAACTAATTAGTAACATAAACAGTCACATCCGATAAAGTAACAACCAAAAAAGGAATATAATCAGTTACGTATGATCAAGTAACAAGTAACATTAACAGACACGCGTGATCAAGTAACAGAAAACATAAACAGTCATGTTTGATAAAGTAACAATAGGTAACATAAACAGTCAATACAATCAAGTAACAAGTTACATAAACAGTCAGGTCTGATCAAGCAAATAACAAGTAACACAAACAGTCACATCTTATCAAGTCAGAACAAATAACAAACAGTCACGTCCGTTCAAGTATTGACAAGTAACAAAGTCATGTTCGATCAACAAACTAGTAACATAAACAGTCACGTTCAATCAAGTAACTAGTAACATAAACAGTCATGTTCGATCAAGTAACAACAAAAAGTAGCAAACAGTCATGTCTGATCAAGTAACAACAATAATTAACATAAACGGCCGTGTACAATCAAGTAACATAAACAGTCACATTTGATCAAGTAACAGCAACAGGTAACACACAAAAACTCACGTCTGATTCAGAAACAACAAGTAACATAAACAGACACATTTGATCAAGTAACAGCAACAGGTAACACACAAAAACTCACGTCTGATTCAGAAACAACAAGTAACATAAACAGACACATTTGATCAAGTAACAGCAACAGGCAACACACAAAAACTCACGTCTGATTCAGCAAATCCTTGTAGATGACATTGGCCTTGTCCCACTGAAGCAGTTTGGTGTACACGGTGGCAATTCTGGTTGACCTCAAGTTCAGCTCGCTGCACAACTTATCTGCAGATAAAAGATCGTAGGCAGAACCGGCTCAAAAATATGTGTGGACCGTTGTCAATAAACATGTGCCCATCTGCTGAAGGTCTTGCTCTAGGCTAGTCTATGTCAAGCCAGAACTATCACGTGCAGAACCTGAACTATTCAATGTCAAAGTTGACTTATTGTAGGTACAATCTTTACTCCATGTAAAATGTGAACTATTCCATGTCAAACATAAACTACTGCAGGATAAAAACCTGATATATTCAATATCAAACTTGACTTATTCTATGTCCAATCACAACTATTCCATGTAAAATATGAACCATTATATGTTAAACCTAAATTACTGATGTAAGGCATGTATTACATAGTAAAAACTGAATTATTCTGTGCCAAACCTGAACCATGCCATTACTGAGCAATAATTCTTACAATTGTAACTTGAAATCAGTCATTGTTTTGTTCACATAATTTTCACCATGTGGGTTCCAGGGCCATTTTATAGGAAAAACAAGAACAGACCCACTGCCTACCTAAAAGCCTGTCATAAGAGTCGACTAACTGGGAGCTTCTTTTAAAGTCAGAGTGCATCTGCCTGAGAGGCAAGGAACTAGCAGTCTGCATACAAATGAGTCAGATCTGTAAAATGGATGCACACGCAACGCTCAGGTTCTGGAACAGGAATAAAGTCCAGAAGTGGATAAACTACCAGAACTTTCCGCCAGAGTTTACAGGTGCTGAACACAAAGAAGTCTGCATAATTTAAAATGCAGCTGCCTTCATTCAGAAAACTCTGCACATCCAAAAACTGGACTGTGCCCACTTACATCATGGCTGCCATGTCTGCACCTTTCAGCCAACACATCCAACTTCTTCAGGCAGCCTTCACAGTTATTCAAAAAACAACAGCAAACCACAACTAATAGAGCAGAACATAGACAATGGCTCAAAAAAAATTTCTAAACGACAAAAAAATTTTTAACAGACAAGTTGTTATGGCTTATGCTAATTTAAGTAAATGCCTATTAAGTGTGAGGTAAATAACTCAGCACACAAAATGCAATCCCCAATGAAATTAAGGTGCCTAAACTTTAAATATTTATTCTATTAACACGACATTGCAGGACTGACTAAAAATTGCTGACGGGCAAACATTCTATACCACTATTTGGGTGGCCAGATACAAGGCCTCACCTGCTAAAGAACTACCGTCTCCATACACCAAACAAATTTGTCAATTTAACGGCTCCCGTACACAACTAAGTGAAGATCCTGTGTCATGATTAACTAAGAAGAGAAAACCTAATTCTTTAACAGGACATCATTTACTTGACTCCAGATACACAGTTGATAAGGACGGTGCTCTCCGAGTTATTTACAATACAGCAATTTGTTAAACATACATGTAACAAATGACAATAAAAGACCACGATTCCATAAGTCAATTTTTTTAAAAAAATCAATATTGTGTTACCAGAGCCAAAAGTGGACACTAATAATAGAAGGGAAAGGAAACATCCAAACAAGAGAAATGAAAGTGTCTACCACAAATCTTAAATGTAACAAGAAGAGACAGGGTCAGGAATCAAGTTGGAAGCCAATGCTAAAAAACGACATCAACAGATAACACGGGACTACTACAAGATACTGCACCACAAAGAGCCATGACATTTAGACAAAACAGAAGCAAACAATAGAAAAATTGAATATATGAGGACATGAATGCCAGCATCTATCTATATAGCACACACCAAGGCTTGCACCCAATGACTCTAAAGTCTGACGCTGAAAAGCAGGGCCATGTCAAACTGTAAGACAAAATACTCCAACAAACCAACAGTTAACACAGACAACATGTCCAACATCAGACAAAACAATAGTTAACACAAACAACATGTCCAACAATAAGACAAAACACTCCAATAAACAAACAGTTAACACAGACATGTCCAACAATAAAATAAGACCAAACACTCCAACAAACCAATAGTTAACACAGACTTGTTCAACAATCAGACAAAACACTCCAACAAACCAATAGTTAATACAGACATGTCCAACAATAAGACCAAACACTCCAACCAACCTCCCATTGGGCCCCTCAAAACGGCACAAGCTTCCGCCCATTTCTCCTGCAGTTCTAGGATGATCAGGTAGAGAAGGATTTCTGTAGAAAGAAGAGAATACTTACAATCATCATCAAGTTTTCACATCTAAAGTCTTGACAGATGTCTGCAACGGGTCACTGTCTGTCTTAGCTTCTGCTATTATTATAGTCTTGTATCACTGTCTGACAATATGGCCAGCGGCAAACGTGTCAAAGTAAGGGGCTGCAAAGATTGGACGAAATACAGTGTGGCCTTTTCTTTTTTCTTCTTCGTGTTCATCAGCTGTAAACTCTGGCGGAAAGTTCTGATTGCTCACCCACCTCTGGACTGTACACTTGTTCCAGAACCTAAGTGTTACATGCACTGTCTGACAATATGGCTAGCGGCAAACATGTCAAAGAAATTGCAAAGGTTGGAGAAAATATTATGTGGCCTTTATTTTTCTTTCTTCTACACGTTTATCGGCTGTAAACTCTGGCAGAAAGTTCGGGTTGCTCACCCACCTCTGGACTTTAGACCTGTTCCAGAACCTAAGTGTTGCATGCACATCAACTTTACAGATCTGATTTTTTATTTGTATGCAGACTGTTGGTTCCTTGCCTCTCAGGCAAATGAAATCTGACTTTGAAGGAAAAACCATTAACTCGACTCTTTTGACAAGCTTGTTGGGGAGGCGGTGGATCTATTCTTTTTCCCCACAATGGGGACCTAGAACCGCCACACAGGGAAAGGTGGCCTTTTATTCAGTCTTTCTCCAGAAGCTCTTTATTTGATTTCATTGCTAACTTTAGGCTGTTACATGGTAAGGTCCCCAATCTCCTCCATGATAGTCAGCCATATTCTCTGTCTTGTCTCGTAAACATCTTGTGTGCCATTCACTGCCAGTTTACTTTAAGAGTTGATTTATAAAGATTCTTGTGGCTTGTTTTCCGTCCATGGCTTTGTTTCTCCAGAAGCTCTTTATTTGATTATATTGCTAATTTTAGGTTGTTACATCGTGGTCCCAACATCTCCTCCATGACGGTCAGCCATATTCTCTGTCTTGTCCCAAACATGCCTCATGTGCCACTCACTGCCATTTCACTTAAAAAGAGTTAATCTATAAAGATTCTTGTGGCTTGTTCACCATCCATGGCTCTGTGTAGTGTGCGTAGACATTCCCATATAGTTGGGATATATTACTCCCACTTCAAGCATGTAGTGTAGCCAGTCAGCCAAGCCTGCTGCCGTGGTGTGGCCACAGCCATACATAAGCAGTATTTCTGGAGACATGCATGAACTAGAACAGCGATTCTCAACCTACCGGTCGCGACCTTTTTTGGGGTCGAACGACAGTTTTACAGATATCGCCTAAGACCATAGGAAAGCACATATTCCCTGAAGTTATAAAGGGAAATAATTGTTTGAGGGTCGAAACAACATGGGAGAACTGTATTAAATGGTCGCGGCATTAGGAAGATAGAGAGCCACTGAACTAGAAGATGAGATGGGAGTCGAACTGCATGCTGGATTGCCTGTTAGGATATAGCTGTCACTCACTGTGAGGTACTATCCCCCTCTCTACCCTAACTACCTTGGGTAGTAAAGATGTCCATGCAAAACTCAGTTCTGGAACACGGCCAAAGTTCAGAAGTGGACAAACAACCAGAACTGTCAGCCGGAGTTTACAACCGTTGAAAGCTAAGAATAACAACAACTCTTAACTCTTTGGGCTTGCTCCATATGTATCATTCAGGTTTCCCTCATGGGAAAACTCTCAATGGCAATGATGATGACAAGTTACCATTGCTTATACTTCTAAAAAAAAAATTTTTCAAGTGTTTGGTTTACCTTCTGCTTCAAATTCTTTATCCTGAAGATATTTCTGTGTCATCTTCTCCGCCAGTGGAAGGTACATGGTCCTACCTAGCTTCTTGTCAGCGTGAGCCTGAGGACACAACAACCTGGACAGTTACAGTGTGTGCTCCAGTAAATATAAAACAATATACAGTAACCAGAAATTTACAGCACATGCACCAGTAAACATGAGTTAAAACTGCACTATATACAGTAATCACAAACAGATACAGCGTGTGCTCCAGTAAACATGAGCTGAAACTGCACTCAATACAGTGTAACCACCGGTGTGAGTCCCTAAAATCTAGACACAGGAAATAGTGAATGTGCTAAAACTGATGGCAATGTGGATTTATAACATCAAGTTATCACTTTTGCATCGTCAGTAGGTCTGTCAGTAGCGTATCCTTTGCAGAACCCTGCTCCCATAATAACCCTCCGGAAAACTTCTTGATCACAAGCAAGATGTCAAATGTCTGATTCACCCATCTGGAGATCATCCGCCACATCCTGCACTTATCTTCTCTTTAACCGTCCTCTTCCTTTCTTCCCAGGTATATACCCCTCTACTATTGTTCTCTCTAAACTTTCATGACATTTCAAGTGACCAAAATATTTCGCATTTCTGTGTTTTATCGTTTTTAAAAGCCAACCTTCTTTAATATTCATTTTGCATTTTAAATTATTGAAATCTTTTTTTTACGTTATTTAATATTCCAAATGTAACAATAACAATGTTGCTAATAAACCTTCCTTTCCTGCCCATGTATCCAGGCTAGGAACATATGTCTTTGGACAGAGTGTATATGTGTGTGGAACGAGAGGAGATAGAGAGATGGGCAAAAACATAACACTAACAAGTAATATAGTTAACAAACCAATAAATGCCCACTCAAGAGCATGACATTCATTATATGCATCTATGTTTATACCTGCCACAAGATCACACAAAGACAGTGAATGAGCCACCCTCTCTCCTATACTCACCTCACGAGGATAGCAAACAAACTCCCCCCCCCCCCCCATTTATCTTACGATAACAGTACAGGAACATCCAATTCCTCCTCATTTATCACACAAGAAAAGTAAACTGTCAGCTCACAGAGCTCGCTTTGTTGATCTATAGACATTCTTGTGCCTTGTTCACTGTCCCCAGCTTTGTCTAGAGTAAATAGATGTTCCCTTAAAGTAAATGACTCCCACTTCAATCCTGTAGTTTAGCCAGTCAGTCACAATTCTTGCCCATGGTGTGGCCACAAGAGGTATTACCATAAATGAGCTAGGAAAAGAAATGGAAACAAAAAAGATCCCGGGCCACCACACGAGAACAGTAAATGAATCATACATTTCTCCACACAAACCACAAAAGGACAATAACTGAGCTATCTATTTCTCCACATTCATCACACAAGGACAGTAGCTGAGCTATCCATTTCTCCACACATATATAAGGACAGTAAATGAACCATCCATTTCTCCACACACACACCACACAAGGACTGCAAACTAACTGTCCACTAACCTGCATAACAATACTCATGACAGCCCAGAAGTAGTATGGGTTTTTGTTAGGTCGGATCTTGTGCAGCAACATGGCCGTCCGCTGCTGCTGCTGATAGTTGCCCAGTCGCACGTGTGCCATAAACAGACAAGACAGAATGTCCTCGTTGTTGGGTTGGTGTTTGGCTGCAGCTTCGTACAAGCTGGCAATCTGCTCATCTGTGGTCAGGTGAAAATAAACAATGAAAAGCCTTGGCATGTAATTATTCTTCTTTCGCTCGCTTGAAATAAATGATCTATATCTGCAATGTTGTCTCTAGTGTGAACTTCACAATTTCTTTGTAATTCACATTTCTATATCCTCTTCATGTCGCTGTTGACACATAAAGCATTCACAATTATCTCCTAAGTAATTCACACAGCGGCCCGGAAAGTTTGGCTTCCACTAGTGACTCCCTTGGCCAGAAGTTTTGATTGGAAATGTTGAATTTGGGACAGCAGGAAAATATCTAGCCACCACATTACCACAGCTTCACTATGTACATTACAAAACACTGCTTTAGACACACACAGATGAAATCCCCAACACCTACTGAGAGAGACTTAATGCAGAGCATATAGCATACTGCACATAGCAAAAATGTGCAGAGCATATAGGCTGTTGCACATAGCACAAAGGCGCAGAGCATACTGCACACAGCACAAAGGTACAGAGCATATAGCATACTGCACACAGCACAAAGGTGCAGAGCATACAACATACTGCACATAGCACAAAGGTGCAGAGTATACAGCGTACTGCACATAGCACAAAGGTGCAGAGAATTTAGCATGTTGCACATAGCACAAAGGCGCAGAGCATACAGCTTACTGCACATAGCACAACAATGCAGAGCATATAGCATACTGTACATAGCACAAAGGTGCAGAGCATACAGCATACTGCACAAAGGTGCAGAGCATATAGCATAGTGCACATAGAACACAGGTGCAGAGCATACAGCACATAGCACAAAGGTGCAGAGAATATAGCATGTTGCACATAGCACAAAAATGCAGAGCATACAGCATACTGCACATAGCAAAAAAATGCAGAGCATATAGCATACTGCACATAGCACATAGGCTGTTGCACATAGCACAAAGGTGCAGAGTACAGAGCATACTGCACACAGCACAAAGGTTTAAATATGGACAGAACATGAAAACTTACACTGCTGAGTCTCCTTGTAACAAATGGACATGGCACTCAACGTCTGCTCATCTGTGGGTTCTGTCTGGTGAATCTCTGCCAGGAGAGATGACCCCTTTGACATCTGGCCGCTGCGGATGAGAGCCAGGGCCTTCAGTACCTAGTGGGAGACCAACCACCAGTGAATAAGCATACATTTAGAGCACTCATACACAAATACAGCCGGCTTGTGACTAACAGGTCGTTGAGTCGAATGTATACCTTTTAACACTATTTTCTTTCAAACAGCCAGCTTGTGACTGAGTTCCGTTCCAACTAAGAGGTTGTTAAGTCGAATGTATAACTTTTAACACTATTTTCTTTCAAACAGGTTTTAGATAGTGTACAAAAACACATAACTTCAATCCAGGTACTTATATTTTTTGTAACTAATGTGAAAAAGACATAACAGGTACTCTATTGTCTAAGTTCTGGAAACTTTTTATTTACTATCTGTCTTTATTAATTTTTGTGTGGTTGCTAAGTGCCAATGGTTGTAAAATGCATAGGTCGTAAATCAAGCAGAAGGTGTAGAATTTCTTCTTCTTACTCTTCTTTTTATTTGTCTCTGCCAGTAGTTTTCAAAAAGGAAGGCCAAAGGCGTCTCAGCTTGATTTCCAGTGCAGTGCCGAATGGCCAGATCTGCAATCTCCCGACTGTATGTAGAGAGCACACGATCAGTTTTCTGGGATATCTGACCAAAATATGCAACGTTCTGAGTCCCCAGTTTTTCAACTGGCTGCAGAGTCTGCTGTGTCCAGTAAAACTAAAAATCCCTTTTCAAGCTTTTAGGTGCATCAGGCATATGGGAAAAGCACCCATATTTTTACAGACCAATGGGCACTAGGTGGGTAATGTGGTCATAATTACGCAGGTTGTCTTAACTTTCCCAGGACATATATCCTGGTACCCATTTTATGCTGGGTCGACCTGCGACGCCCCCATACCACGATAAAATCCACGTAGCCAGCATTGGGTTTCAATCGCGGTACGTTGGAATTACAAGTCGGACTCGCAACATGCTGTGTCCAGTTGGCAATCTAAATACAACAAATAAAATGTGGAATGTGAGTGGCCTGTGCAATCAGCTATCAGCAGATATCCAGAGTTCAAAAAGCCCTCGAGACAAGATTTATGTCATGACCATATGGCTTCAGAGTGGTGATGGAGCCTCAAAGAATGGCTGTATACCAACAGCTCCTAGGGGGCTTAGGTGGCTGATATGATATGGACTACATCCAGTGCGGTTTGGTCAAGACAAAAAATGGGTCTGACACAATATCCACGGGTCTGACATAACTATCTTGGGATATCCTCCCAATAATGTCCCAAATTATCGAGGCTTAAAAAAAATATATACCCTAACAGGGCCTCAATGTTTGTGACTGCCGCCAGGAAACTGCGCTAAATATTCAGTGAACAACGCGCGACTAGTGCCGCCGTGGTAACGCCGCGTCCATTAGGTTCCATCCCTAACCCTTCAATCGATAGTGTCCCAGTTTAACTGTTGTGACAGATTCTGGTGGCAGTGTCGTAATTGCAATACTCTTTGCCCTAACCCTAAGCCTAAACCTAGGACCCAGGGGAGAAGCTAAACCTAGGACCAAGGGGAGAAGTTAACCCTATGACCCAGGGGAGAAGTTAAAACTAGGACCTAGCGGAGAAGTTAAACCTAGCACTCAGTGTCAGAGCTGTTGAAACCATAGATGATTTAGGACAGTTTTTCAGAGGAGTGTTTCCCACAGTAAGCGGTATATTCACCAGAAAGAAGTCTGCAATTTACATATGATTGAGGCTCTATTAGGATATTTTCTTAGCCTCGATAATTTGGGACCGTTTTCGGTGGATAGCCTTATCTTGGCTCTACACAATGAGAAACATCAGGATGACAAGATGAAAGAGCATACAAACTGGCCATGCCTTCAGCGGTTAGTGGAGGAAAGAAGCATGGACAGGACAAACATATTAAATGTGCTGCGCTCCAGAGTGTCGATACATGGGAGCCAGCTATGGCGAACCGTCTGTTGGACTGTGTGACACAACCTCATGACAAGCTTACACAAGTTATACATACATCAGCTACAGAGACACTTGTGCCATGGTTTTTCTGGTGCGGCAGACAAACAGATATGAAATGCTCACCTTGGCACATGTAAGATCTTTTTGTTTCTTTAATACTTTATCAGCCTCTTGGATAGCTTTTTTGTTATTTCCATTATCTAAACAATCTGCAAATACACAGAAAATACACTGGAAATTATGAATAATGAACACTGCGGCTAAGGAGTTTTCACCAGCACACTGTATAAATATACAACGTCAGCAAACACGAAAGCAATTCTAAAATCAATTAACTGAGGCATCACCGAGAGATATCCACTGGTCATTTGAATAGCTGGCGTGACCATAGGAAATAAGTACTAGCAATTAAAAAGCTGTGATCGATAAGGGTCATAATGAAAAGATATTACATAAAACGGTGCTGGATGTCAAGTCCCCTAGATGAATTGTAGCCTATTACATTATTACAAACATAATTGTTTTTTTAACATATTAGTGACCTTTGTCATTTTACTGTAGAAATGAAAACATAGTGGTATGAGATGTGGCCAAGTGGTTAGAGTGCAGAGCTCTCATGAGGCAGACATAGGTTTGATCCTCGATGATGGTGCAAAAATGAAAACCCTAGCCTGCAGGTCACAGCACCTCTGTCCTACATCACCTTAGAAGATGTCTATGCAGACAGTGAAGAGTGATTAGTAAAGATTATGACTATAGCACTCCGGACAGATCCATTGGTGCTCTGATGATCTCCTCAAAAGCTCCACATTTGTAAAACAACCTATGACCCTGTTCTGTGTTGGTTAATGAAACATCTTGTTCCTTTAGTGAAATGTTCATTTCTTGCAGTTCAGGCTGCACTCCCATGTCCATCAGCCTAGACAGGGATTCGAAATCACGCCCTTGGTGTGCTCGTTGTCAAGGTAAGTGCCGTGCATGGCATTACCCTTGCTTGTCCAGAACCGGACCAGTTATAGCAACCGAGGTGTCACAAGATAATCTGCACGCTTGTTCCCTTGAACACGCACATAACCTGGCACAAAGATGAAGGTTAGGGCAGCCATTCATGAAGTGTTTAGTGTTGCGATCCATTCTTGCCTGATAAAACCAGTTTGGTTTTTTTTAAAGTGTATCTTATCACTAAGGCTGCACACATGCTTGAACTCTTTGAGTACCAAGCCATGCTAATGCCTTTGTTACTGCAATAGTTTCCATTGTAAGGCTAGTAGTTGTAACAGCAAAGGCACCATTCATCTCCTTGATGATTCCCCCTTGAGCTTACTGTGAATGCACATGCACTTCGTCTGCCCCTAATTACTGACCCATCTGTGTAAACTATAGCTTCCCCTTCATCTGTGTTTTCATCAATCAGTGTTCAGACTAAAGTGTCTATAATGCCAGGAATCTGCTCTCTACAGCTTCCATCAAGTGTGATGTGGACTGTAATGTTAATGTTTTCAGCAGGAGGCATGGGTATGCATTCAATTCTAAAATTAATGTCAGTAAGGTGGCAAACATGTTCGATGGCGTCCTCTGCATGACCCATCCAACAAAGTGAGGAGTAAAATACACTATGATTTTTAAATCAATGGTATCAGCCACTGCCAGGCTGGACAGAATGATGCACCTGGGTGTAACCAGAGGGTTCGGCCGGCAAACTACGCTCAGAGGAAAGGCAAGACGGACATACAACCAGACTACGGCAGGCACCATTAGAACTAGAACTATACGCTGACTGCTGAGAATGGGGACGGAGCGCATATAGGAATGCCTCGAGTGCTGCGATGTCGGCTAGCCTCCGATTAACGGTCCCAAATTATCGAGGCCGAAAATATACCAAACAGGGCCTCAGTCACATGTCAAGTGCGGACTTTGGGGGACTATACCGCCACCGTCGAGAGTATCTCTCACGCTGCTACTCGCGGCGTGGATTGGTGCTGAATTAGATGACTGGGACTCACTAGCAAATAAAATAAAGGAAGCTGCTGCTCGTGAGTCCCACACATCTAGTTTAGCCCCAATCCCTGCCGCACGTAGCAGCGTGTATGAGATACTCTCTGCAGTACCAGAAGTCGCCAGAAGTGCGCAATTTAAGTCGCCCGAAGTCAGCAATTGACATGTGACTGAGGCCCTGTTAAGAGTATATTTTCGGCCTCAGTAATTAGGGACCGTTATTCGGAGGATAGCCGATGACAACTGTTGGTAAACATCCAACCTGGTTAACATCCAAAACAATGTCCGTGAGTTTTCAGAAAATAGTCACATGAGGTAGATTCGTCAGATTTACTCAGGGATTCTGGTAAGCTATATATATACATAGCCAAAATCAAGTAGCACGGTTTCTGTTTGAAATCCTGCATGGACTGAAAACATTTGCTTCCAATTTCCTCCTAGTGGTGGTTGTGTTTGAATACAGCCATAAGATAAGTATTCCTATTTATACGAAGCCTTTAACATATCAGCACTTAATAATGCTTGTAATTATTAAATATCCATCCAATTTTCTTTTGATTATGAAATTTCATTTCTTTAAACTATTAGGATGACTTTTATGTCAGAGCTCTTAAAACCACTGCGTGTGGAGAAAATCTGATTAGGATATTACTAATATTAGAATTTCCGGCTATCCTCCGAATATACTGGCCCCAAATTATCGAGGCCAAAAATATACCCTAATAGGGCCTCAGTCACTTAAATTGTGCACGTCCGCCACCACCGAGAGTATTCCCCCCCTCTCCCCCCCCCCCCCCCCGGTGCGTGGATTGGGGCTAAACTAGATGGCTGGGACTCACGAGCTGCAGCGACCCCGTCTCCTGCAGCTTCCTTTATTTTATTTGCTTGTGAGTTCCAGCCATCTAGTTTAGCCCCAACCCACACCACATGAGAGGCGTGGGGGATACTGGATACTCTCTGCGGTGGCGGTATAGTCCCCGGAAGTCAGCAATTCGGGGGTGGTGTTATAGTCCCCAGAAGTCCGCAATTGACATGTGACTGAGGCCCTGTTAGGGTACATTTTCGGCCTTGATTATTTGGGACCATTATTCGGAGGATAGCCAAATTTCATATCAACTGTTACATCCATAAAGATTTATAATTCTAACTTAATAAGAGAGATGTGTAGTGTAGACATATTTTTAAATTAAATCAGTGTATCTAAAGCGAAAGCCAAACAGATAAATTTTGTCAAAAGGATTTACTTCTCAAACGCTGTGCGACCCTATCCCCTTGCTTATTTTGTGTGACTGATGTGTCTGGCCCAGCAACTAACTTGTATCATGTATGATGTATGTTTTCAATAACCACTGCTTGTGTTGGTCCATGGTTAGCCTGAATATCTAGTGACTACTCCACCCCCTCCACCCCAACCCACCCGCCCAGTGGATACGCCTGATGCTCCACGACTGACAATAAAAATAATCGATCACAACAATCCAACCCACCGGTACCCGGGTGCAGTGTCAGTGAGAATAATTCACACATTCTAGCTAAAAAGTCGTCCATCTCACTGTGAAGCTGCTCGTTTTACCTGGTGTCACAAATGGTATATGTTTATTTAAGAAGTCTACTGCAGATTTTAACTTTGGTGAGACGATACGGACATTTAAAATTCTGCAATAAATGACTCTACCAATCAATCCACTAGATGATCCTGAGAGAAACTAGCGGTGACCAGTCAGGTCAAGAGTTTTTCACGTTCTATATCGGCCTTCACGGTGCCGGTGTACAAATAAAGCTAAATGCGTGTTATCAGAGACAGTTTTTAGTTATTCTAAGTTGAACAAACATGAAAGAATGTGTTATCTAACCGTAGATGGGACGCAAACGTCTCTCGTTGACATCCACATGGCTCCGGGACGCCATCTTTCCTTGAAACAAACCTTCTCAGTAAATCTCGCCGGCAGCGATACTTGGCGATATCCCCCGAGATCAACATCATCATTGTGTGCCACAGAGAGCTCGGGACATGGTTGGGTCGGAAGAAGTGGTTGGGTTTTCTGCGTTTTTATTTTTTTAAACTCTTTTAAAAACCGTACTGGAGAGAAAAGTCAACCACAAAAGTTGGACACCGATACAAGTGGAAGGATATCAATTACAGATGGAGAAACAGAAGACAGAGAGAGTGTGTCCCCTAAACAAGAGACAGTGCTGGAGATGGATTGCAGCCTACACTTTTGTCTGGAGAGACAGAAAGGTGCCAGTCTATCGACTGCCAAGAAGATACCCATGGATTGATTTAAGACACAACAACATTCACTTCTTTGGCACATTTCCATTTCATCATGCAATATTGTTCCGTTGTGCTGTAAGAAAGCATGGAAATGCAGCTGTAAAGAGGCATTGAAATCACAGCCATAAAGAGGCATGGGAATCACAGCTGTAAGGAAGCATGGTAATACAGCTGTAAGGCAGCAAGAGAATCACAGCTGTAAGAAGGGATGGGAATCATTGCTGTAGGGAGGTATGGGAATCACAGTTGTCAGGGGGGCATGGAATCACAGCTGTGAGGAAGCAAGGGAATCACTGCTGTAAAGAGGCATGGAAATCACAGCTGTAAGGGGGCACTGGAATCACAGTGGTAAGGGGAGCATGGAATCACAGCTGTGAGAAAGCAAGGAAATCACCATTTTAAAGAGGCATGGAAATCACAGCTGTAAGGAAACATGGGAATCACAGTTGTAAGGGATGCATGGGAATCACAGTTGTAAGGGATGCATGGGAATCACAGCTGTAAGGGATGCATGGGAATCACAGTTGTAAGGGATGCATGGGAATCACAGCTGTAAGGAAGCATGGCAGTGACAGCGCATATAACTAGCAAGGTTAGCTCACCCTGGGCAGTATTGTAGAGGCCACTTTGCCCATGCAGCATGATCCCTAGCTCAGTTTGCTTTGTTAACTCAGAGAGAAAGGTAACACAATTACCTTGGGAGCAAAGCATGCTACAGAAGCTGCCAGATCAGAAGAGCTCTATCGGTTCCCAGTCAAAGCTTCCAGGTTGTATTTCCTCGCCCCTGGATACGGTTAGTTGGCAGAAATTAAAGGTGTTCTAAAAACCTTACAGACAAATGGTATCAGCAAACTGTAAAGATGTAGCACCCTCTAATGAGAACACGTATGGCCGTATATGCCAGGGCTATTCAACTAGTGGCCCACAGAGGCCTCTTAAGTGGCCCGCTGATCGTTGCTCATTGTATTATATTACTGACTGTCCTATGCTTGGGCTCAGCCCTCCGACGATCCCCATTTTCAAAATTGGGGCCCCTGAATAAACTTAGTTGACTAGTCCTGGTGTCTTCTTTCTTCTTCTGCCTTTCTAGTCCCTAAAGGAGCATAGGCCCTCAATCATCTCATGCCAAATCATTCTGTCCTTCGCTATCGCATGCAGCTCTCTCCATGTCCTCATCTTTTTTAACTTTGCTATCTAGCTCCCTTCCTAATTATTTTTTGGTCTTCCTCTATTTTTATGCCCCCGTGGGTTCCAGTAAAAATACATTCTAGTTATACTGTTTTCATGTTTTATCAATATGTGTCTTATCCAACGCCAGTGTCTTTTCTTCACCTATCCGTCCGCTGGAACTTGTTTAGCTCTCTCCCAAAGCTCTACATTAGTGATTCTATCACACTATGTAATTCCCTCGATTCTGCACATGCACCCGTTAATGAATGTTTGTAGTTTATTATTAATTGCCTAAGTTGTTCTCCATGGTTCCGCTCCAGACAACAGAGGACGGTCTGGCTGATTTAGTTACTTCTCATCACTAAGTACCAACTGCCGGCGTGGGTTCAAGGCCCCATTATGGGGGGAAAAGAATGGACCCACTGCCTCTAACAAGCATGTCCTTAGAGTTGACTAATTAAGGATGTTTCCTTCAGAGTGCATTTAAGATGTGAGGAACCAACAGTCTGCATTCAAATAAGCCAGATCTGTATTTTGGATATGCACACAAAAGTCAGGTTCTGGAACAAGACTAAAGTCCAGAACTGTGTTAACATCCATAACTTTCTGTCAGTGAATGTAAAAATTAATGAAGAGTACCAAATGGGAGTTATGTAGCTAGTGGCTCGCCTGTTGGCCTAAAGATCTTGGGTTTAAAACTGCTGAGATGGATTCAACATTTAAAAAAACTTCACTAGAAGGTCTACATAGCTTACAATGAGTATCAGATAATGTTCTGGGACATAAAGGGGGCCAGCAAAATGCTGACATCACCCACAGAGTGCCGATTGGTCTAAAAAATATGACACTAGCATCATATGCCCAAAGCGTGAATGGTGTGACAATAGACCTTTTACTTACTAAACTATTTAGTACCAACCTGTTGCTCGTCTAACAGAGACACAAACTAGGCACTTCTTCTTTTGTCGTCTCACTGATACCAGGTTGTAGCCCAGTGTCGTAGTTTTCTGTATTTGTCTTACGCTTCTTAGGTGATAGATTTGTTGATCTTTCTGCAGGTTTCTGCTACATCATTTATCCATTTCTTACTCCTTCTCCCAGATGTTCTGCTGTAAAAAAGTCTCATATGCAGTTTCATCTAACTGCATTCTCACTAATTGGCTGAACCATTTCATTCTTTGTCTGTCAATATAATTCAGACACGGTCTCATTCTGACTTTCTCTCTAAGGCTGACATTCATAACCCTGTCTCTTCTTGTGTTGTTAGTGACCTTGTGAAGACAGCGCATTTCGCATGAAGTTATTTTCTGTTTTAGCTGAAGCCGGCACTAAAATGGGAAATGGTTGGACTAAGAAAACAAGAAGAGAAACCCTAATGTGAACTTTGATGGAAGAAGACAAAGGTGCTGGACTTGATTCTATCCATGATATCAAAGTGAATGTACAGGACACAACACAACGGAGAAGTAGACTGTGAGCCCTATGTGACACATAATGGCGCAATAGGACAATAATTGAATGTCGCTTTTCTTCCAGAAGTGAGAACAAAAATCTGTGGAAGAACTTCTTCTTCTTCTTTGCGTTCACCAGCTGTACACTCTGGTGTAAAGTTCTGGTTGTTCGTCCACTTCTGGACTGCAGTCCTGCTCCAGAACCTGAGTGTTGCGTGTGCATCAGTTTTACAGATCTGATTCAATTGAATGCAGACTGCTGGTTCCTTGCCTCTCAGGCAGATGCACTCCGACTTCAAAGGAAGCTCCCCAGTTAGTCGACTCTTACGACATGCTTTTGGGGAGGCAGTGGGTCTATTCTTGTTTTTCCCACAATAGGGCCCCGGAACCCACACGGGGGTGTGGAAGAACTGATACCCTTGGGAGAACAATATGTGAATGGCCTTCTGGGTAAGACAGTACACCAGTAGGCACCAACTAGGTGATGTGGTCCTGCAGCCATTTTGAATTTTCTGAAAATTTCCGGGTATATATTTAGGCTGGGGTGACTTAAAAGTCCAAGTGATTGTTTTTTTAACAATCCCAGCTTAGAAGGGGTATTTTGAAACTAGGCAGTATCATCATCATCATCAAAGACTTTGCCAACTGACATGGGTGATCATGCTTCTCCACAATCTGTGATCTTCAACAGCAGGTATCAGTTTGTGTGCTGACAACCCCTCCATGCCAAGGCTGTCAAGAATCTTCTGGCATTATCTTTTTTCCCACAGATCTTTCCAGTGGTCACATGTTCCAGTTTCCTTATTTTCATAATATTAACAAATGATGGCTATCTCTATCTGGTGTTTGTGATAAGCCCTTACCTCTTTCAAAACATCTGGATTTTTTTTTTTTTTTTTTGGCTGTCCATGGTATTCTAAGAATTTTTTAGTAAAACCACATTTTCAGGGCCTTAAGAAATTGTTCGGCTTGTTTATTGACTGTCCAGAATTCACAGCCTTGAGTTAAAACTGGCTCTACATTTCAAGAATTCTTTTCCAACCTCTGGTGACGTAGATAACCCGCATAAAATGTTCTTCATTTGATCAAATACAGTTTTAGCCTACCCTATTCTTCTTTGCACTCAAAGCTTTAAACTCCAGAGGAAAGTTCTGGATGCTCTTTCACCTCTAGAATTTAGTCTTGTTCCAGAATCTGAGTTTTGTGTGCACCTCTGTTTCACACATCTGGTTATCTGGTTATGCAGACTGTTGTTTCCTTGCCTCTCAGGCAGATGTACTCCGACTTTGAAGGATGCTCCCAGTTAGTCAACTCCTATGACATGCTTGTTAGGGAGGCAATTGGTCTAATCTTGTTTTCCCCAAAACTGGGCCCTGGAACCCACACAAGCAGTCAGCCTATTCTATTTTAAAACTAGTATGCAGCATATGTCGGCATCTGTGGCTTAGGAGTTGCGAACGGACTTCGTAATGCCAGGGTACCAGGTTCGATCCCAGCAGCAGATGGTTTGTCTTGCATTGGTTTCGACAGTTGTACTGAGTGCTGACCATTCAGAAAGCAATGGCAAACCACTGAACATAACATTTGCCCAGAAAAACCACAACAGTAAAAAAAATGCTGGGGTTGGTTCTGCAACGTCCTGTGAAGGATATGCTACTAACCGAAATTCGACTTAAGTGGACTCGACTGTACAAAGTTATATCTACAGCATACACACACATATATGTTACATATTAATTTTATTGAAATACTTGTATATATACACATGTATATGCACTACAGGACTATACATGGCTGAATAAAAAAACCTGTACAGTAAAACCTCGTTAATTTGAACAAGAATAGTCAGTTAACATAAATATAATTTCGGTCCCAGCAGGGAGGTACAGTGCAGACTGCTTAAGGTGATCTTTGATGTGAATTTCTGTTATGAAGAACAATTTGTTTACCCCTGGGCAGTTTTTCTTCTGTCTTTGTACTGGATAAGGGGAATTTCTCACTAGAATATTATTTCTTCGGTGCCTGCTGAGTTCTCCTTGTCAGGTCTACACTCTATTATTATTATTCATGCCTGCTAGCATGAATTTTTTCAAACATAAACCCTTGGAACTTTTCTGTGATTACCACCAGTGAGACTAGAGCCCATAAGGTTAGTGTTGCCCAATCGTTTCATCCAAAGATAAATGGAAAGCCATTTTGGTCAAAACATTCGGTCATATTTGTGCACATCTTTTCCAATTCCTCAGCTGAGCTTTCTAGTCGCAATTTTGGTTGTAGCAGCACTTCCTGTCATCAGTCTTTAAGATGCACTGTCAAAGTTGAGATTAATGTTGAAAGTCTTCAAGAAGCACTGCTAAAGTTGAGATTTCTGTTGACAGTCTTCAAGAAGCACTGCTAAAGTTGAGATTTTTGTTGACAGTCTTCAAGAAGGAATGTCAAAGCTGAGTTTTATATTCAGTTTTCAGATCTATACTTGATTAGCTTGTGGACAGCTGAGATTCTAATTACAACACTGCCTGTTTTACTGTCGGCTAACTTTGAAAAGATATGCAGCTCTGTCATGCCATGTTTACGTGAAATTACAATATTTTGGGCCTTTCTGTTGATTTATTTAACAGATGAAAAAAATCTCAGTTTACCCTCTTCAACACATTTCTATCATGAGTATGTTTTTATAATTTTAATATTTACCAATGCAATGGCCTAGTGAGCCATTTTGTCATGATTTTCAACTAATGGGGATTTTTCCACAATGCGCTGAGCCCGAGCATATTCTTTGTTTGCTTATGTGTGAGGACTATGGCAGAAATCAGAGGAGGGCGTGGCATCATTAGAAACCAGAAGCCCGTTTAAAAAAAAAATCTCATGACTGACTGACTGACTTTTTACCCCACCAGGACATCACACAAGCGATAAACACCCGATGACACAAAGTGCCACCACGCGGATGAGGATCACCGTGGAGAGGTCCCAGAAACCGCGTTCAGACAATTGGCCACATTGATGGCCTGCCTATATTGCAGCCCCTGCCAAAAGCCAGAGTAGGGCTTCAAAGAAAAAAAAATTATGTCCTAAAAAGGACGTAAGGAATACAGCATAATCAAAAAATCTCATAAGCCATGCTGGAAAAAATTTAGTAACATTATTCTCTTAGCCACTATGGTCTAAAATTTTTGAAACCTGTGATGCACACTTTGTGTGATCAGCCTGTGTGTGTTAAGTAATGTCTGCGTGTATTACTATGTCTGTTAAGTTTGGTCTAAACACTAACAAAATGTGGCTACTAATTTTAACTTGCAGCTAACTGCATTTGTGAGAGTAACACTCATACTTATTAACACTGTGGTTGTCTCCCTTTGTGCATCTGCTGTGATATATTCTAGGGTTCATGATGCTAAAAGCAAAACTAAGTGCCAACTGGCAACATTGGTCTACAGATAATATCAGCATTCTAATATAAGGCAACAAATAGGGTGATTTTATTTTCAATAAACATGTTATAAAAATAATCATCTACGCAAGATGTCCAAATGAAGAAACAACTTCATCACAAACAACATCTGGCATGCCTTAAACATTTTTATGACATCATCTGGTTACCATAAATATTTTAATGATTACCCTAAACATTTTTATGATGCCTGGTAACATTAATATTCCAATAATTCTCTTTTTTTTTGACATTATTTGGTTACCCCAAATATTTGAATGACTGCCCTAAGCATTTTCATGATATCATCTGGTTACCATAAATATTTTAATGATTACCCTATACATTTTGACTGCATCATTTGATTACCCTAAATATTCTAATCATTATACTAAACAATTTCATGACACCATCTGGTTACTCTAAATATTTTCACGCAGTCTTTAAAAAAGTAACAACAAACACTATATTTCATAGAAAAGTTGAATATGCTAAAGCAATGTTTAAAACTATTTGCTTGCGAAACCAACAAAAAAGGCATTACAATCTAGATTTGTGCAATGCCAAGGTATAAAAGTATAAAGAAACATACTAACAACTCAACACTTCTAATTACAAAACACGCTTGATCTATAAATTCAAACTTTACTTCTAGACCTAACTCTAACCCCAACCCTACAACAATCTCCTGGCTGCAACTCTGCATTTAACCGCTTAAGTTAAAATTAAACTAAACTTAGCTCTCATCCTGTCCCACAAACTGAGCCCTAAGCTCTAACTCCCAATTCAAACCCTGACACTACATCTAACCATATTCTTAACCCTTAGTTTCAACCTTGTAATGTGAACTCTAACCTACATTAACCCTCAACTTCAACCCTGCAATGTGAACTCTAATCTACATTAACCCTCAACTTTAACCTTGTAATGTGAACTCTAACTTCGAAACAATGATAAATAAATGTTGTACTGCACCACAATAAAGGTTAGCCGCAGTGGACATGTACATCCACTGCTCTCTTTGGTAACTTTACATGGTGCAGCCCCAATCTCTTCCAAGGTGTAACTCTTGTACTACAGAAGTATCTTAAAGCTATAAGAACAGTCTCTCCAAAATGAACCCTACCTGTAATTTTCAGCATGACCCCTAACCCTACCTATAACCTCGTACATGAACCCTAACCTCTAACACTACCTGTTACCCCCAGGCATGAACTTTAACCTGTCACAGCTAGCCATAACCCCAAAGGATGAGATCAAACAATCTTTAGCAATTGGTGCATCCAGCATATTATGCTGGACTCATATTTTTATAGACCAGCAGGCCCTCGATCAGGCCGGCCACCTTTACTTCCCAGGACTTTACCTTGTAGTCATCTGAGGCTGGGCTGACCTAGTCGTACTTGAAAAAAAAAATCCCTGAGTATGAACCCTACTTATAACCTCTAACTTGAAGATTAACCCTGCCTATAACATGCAGCATGGACCATAACCTCTAACTCTACCAGCACGAACCCTAACCTCCAACTCTACCTGTAACCTTTAACCCAAATTATAACCTCTTGCATGGACCCTAACCTCTAATCCTACCTATAACCTCCAGCACGAACCCTAACCTCTAACCTCCAGCATGACCCCTAAACTTACCTACAACCTCCAGCATGACCTGTAACACCCTAGCTCTAGCCATAACCCGGAACCTCCAAAGGATGAGATCAGACAACCTCCAGTATGACCCCTAACCTGTAACACCCTAGCTCTAGCCATAACCCGGAACCTCCAAAGGATGAGATCAGACAACCTCCAGTATGACCCCTAACCTGTAACACTCTAGCTCTAGCCATAACCCGGAACCTCTAAAGGATGAGATCAGACAACCTCCAGTATGACCCCTAACCTGTAACACCCTAGCTCTAGCCATAACCCGGAACCTCCAAAGGATGAGATCAGACAACCTCCAGTATGACCCCTAACCTGTAACACCCTAGCTCTAGCCATAACCCGGAACCTCTAAAGGATGAGATCAGACAACCTCCAGTATGACCCCTAACCTGTAACACCCTAGCTCTAGCCATAACCCGGAACCTCCAAAGGATGAGATCAGACAACCTCCAGCATGACCCCTAACCCTACCTACAACCTCCAGAATGACCCCTAACCTGTAACACCCTAGCTCTAGCCATAACCCGGAACCTCCAAAGGATGAGATCAGACAACCTCCAGTATGACCCCTAACCTTTAACACCCTAGCTCTAGCCATAACCCGGAACCTCTAAAGGATGAGATCAGACAACCTCCAGTATGACCCCTAACCTGTAACACCCTAGCTCTAGCCATAACCCGGAACCTCCAAAGGATGAGATCAGACAACCTCCAGTATGACCCCTAACCTGTAACACCCTAGCTCTAGCCATAACCCGGAACCTCTAAAGGATGAGATCAGACAACCTCCAGCGGGTCTTGGTCAGCCTCTGAGACAAAAATCTCTACAGAATTACCAATCAAAGAGACCAGCTTCTGCTGAAAGTGTTTGAGGTATCCTCTCTCGGTGTTACTGTGATGACACAAGATGACATGTGACCCTCCATGGACAGCATCCAGGACTTCATGGTGTCCCATTTCACCAGTCAAAAGTAGGTCAGCAGTGACCTCATTCAGGACACCGGATCCCGAGCCAGCACACACGGCAACAGTTTGTATATCAAGGTCATCTTTGCCTGTAGTAGATAAAGCAGAAACAAATCACCGGTATCATACTATTGGTCTGATGCAAGAGGACTTGAGGAGATGTAATTTGAATTCCCGGGGAAATCCCAGAGAGTTCCCGATGGGGAGGACAAGGTCACAGGACCAGTGATACAAGAGAAAAACGAGATAAGTGGGTCTCGTGTATCCCATGGTGAGCGAAATAAGGGATACAAGAAAAGCATGAGACTGGAACGAAGGACGTGAATCGAGAGACGGTAGTAAGACAGTTGAAGTTCGGACCTGGTTGCGAGAGGTCGAATGAATGGACGCATGAGGAGAATGAAGGAATTGTGAATACTTGTTATGTTTCAAGAAAAGATATGAATGTTTCCTACATGTCTTAATACCGAGTACAAGGTTTCGTAAAGGTTGGATGGATGATTCGAAAGACACTGATGGATCGATGTAGTGTGTGAGAAGCTTGACCTGGCCGTCAGAATCATCCAAGCAGAACGAACACGAGGACGGGAGAATGTGTGCCTACGATATGTTGTGATTCAGCGAATAAAAGCACGTAACTCAATATTCGTCTCTGCTGTTTCATAACAACTTACTGTTCATCAGAAAGCAATGTGGCTTACCAAAACATACCCCTAGCAGAGCACACTGCAGGTGATCAGATTAAGAATCGCCAAGGCAAAAATCAATTTTAGCAAGATGCAAAAGTTACCAAAAAGAAGACGTTAGTTGCAGTGAGAATAAAGTATATTTTCAAAAATATTTCAAAATAAGCTTTTATTTAAAATGCATCACATAATCAGTGCACCAAAAATAATTTATCGTATACTTTAATGCACAAGTTTGATTAATCAACATGGAACAGACAGTATCAGTCATGTTAAGCTTGTGGAGTCATGATCTTGTCGTATCTGTCTTAGTTATATGCATTGCCCCTCGAATTGACAACAAAGCTTCTGACTGACTGACTTTTTACCCCACCAGGACATCACAGAAGCGATAAACACCCGGTGACACAAAGTGCCACCACGCGGATGAGGATCACCCATGAAGAGGTCCCAGAAACCCCTTTCAGCCATTAGGTCATTTCTATGCCCCGGCTATATTCAGGGCCCCCGGTGGAAACTAGGGTGGGGCTTCAAATAATGAAAAATTGCATCCCACATGGAGATGACTGACAACAAAGCTTCTGTCTAGTACCAGCTTATCATAGCACCTGCAGTGTCCACCGGACAATATGCACATTCTTTGCCTAGAACACACACATGGCCTGGCACAAGATAAAGATTAGCCCAGCCACTGGCAAATATGAACAAATATACAGCCACTAAAACTTACCAATGGCCTTGGCAACACTAATGTGTGACAAACCAAGATGACTTTTGACCTTTGATATAGCAGTCTCTAGGGTAACAGGGGCTGACAACTCTGCTCTTCTACCAAATCCACTTGCAGATCGTGGAACCTGTCAATGGAGATCAGTGTTAACCATGAACTTGATGTGACTTTAGTGTAGGAAATTCCTGACTATCTTCTCCATGTGATGATGAGAGATGTATAGAAATGTACGTTTAATATTTAGTTATTGACACAATACAGATTTATACACATACATGTGTGCCAAGACAGAGAGAAAGAGAGAGAGAGAGTGGAACAGAAGAAATGGAGAGAAAAGACAGAAAATGTGTGAGAGAGAAAGAGGACAGATTTATTCCTGGTTGCGGCAAGACCAGATCTGTTGACCAGTGAGAAGGTCTGGGGTGTACTCATGTTTTACGAAATACCTTCAATTAAACTTTCAATACTCACACAACACTGGGTGGGATAATAACCATGACCCCCCCCCCCCCCCCCCTCTGTTAGTTAATTAATCAACAGATTATCCTCACTGCACATTGGCCAAGTTCATAACCCCCAGCTGTAAACTGGCAGAAAGGTCTAGTTCTTTGTCCACTTCAGGATTTTTGTCTTGTTCCAGAACTTGGGTTTTGAGTACAGCTCCATTTTACAGATCTGGCTTATTTGTATGTATGCAGACTGTTGGTCCCTTGCCTCTCAAGCAGATGCACTCCACCTTCAAAAGAAACAACCCTAATTAGTCAACTTTTACATGTTTGCTGCGGGCAGTGGGTCTATTCTCCACCCCTACCCCCTTTCCCCAAATGGAAACCTGAAACCCCTATGAGAAGACCATGGTAATAAACTTAGGACATACCTTGGAGAGAGAAGCCACGCTGTATTTCAACTGAGAATGTGAAGCAAGCAATCCCTTGAGCATGGCAGATAGTTCAGATTCGGTGCACTCGACACGGAGTTGCCACAGTTCATTGTCTGATGACCTGTTTGTGGGAAATCACAGCATATGTCATCTACAGCCTCAAAAAAAAAAAACCATTCAAGCTTCAGCAGTCACACCTCCCATCTCCCCCCCCCCCCCCCCAAGTGAGTTCCAGAGCTCCATTTTGGCGAATGAAGAATAGACCTACTTCCCACTAACATGCATTTTGTAAGAGGTGACCAATTAGGAGTGTTTCCTTCAAAATCATCTGTGCATCAGGAGAGGGGAAACAGGAAGGAAGGAAAGTAGGAATAAGGGAGAGACGAGGGAAAGAAAGCAAGAAGAAAAAAGGATAAGGAGGAAGGAAAGTGGAATGGAATCGAGCAAGAACATAAATAAATTAGCCAGAAGCACAAGAGATGTTACATTACTTGCATCAAAGTGAATAAATAAGATCAATAAATGACAGCTTAAAAACTTGAGGACAGCTTAAGAACTTGAGAGAATGAGCACCAGCAGGTGTGTACTTAGAATAATAATGTTAATTAACCACCCCCCCCCCCCCCAAAAGTGAAACTAAAAAAACAACTACAAACACAAAAAACAAAACAAAAAACATAACTCACGAGTTGACTTTGATGGGATAAAAGGTAAACAAATCTTTGTTTTTTCTCAATCGAGACTCAGTAGGGAGGTAGGCTATAAGACTTTTGTCTCTGACTTTGTCCAGCTTGGCCAAGTCCACGTCAACCTGTAACACATGAGTGTTGCCCTCGACAAACTCCTGGGTGGCTTCAATGGCATAGACGGAGTCTTTCTTGACATCTGTTGATATAAAGAAACATAGACTTAAGTCTACGTAAAATTAACACATATGAAGTGAGATGAGATGCCTGAGGTAAACCGCCAACCTAACCATTCATGACAAAGTGAGATCTGTACTATCAGACAGACTGAGGGAAAACAACTTGCACTCAAGCAGAAGATGGACTGACGCCACTGATGAGAACAATGAAGCTACCCCTCGAACAATGGATCTCAAACTGTTCCTCCCACACAACTTTAATAGTAAACGTGGAAACTGACAATGACGATAAGGCTTACTTGATATCTGTGGGCACAGTGAATTTCACAACCTCAAATGTCCCGTGTGGGTTCCAGGGCCCTATTATAGGGAAAACAAGAAGAGACCCACTGCCTACCCAAAAGCATATTGTAAGAGTCGACTAATTGGGAGCGTCTTTCGAAGTCGGAGTGCAAGGAACCAACAGTCTTCACACAAATGTGTCAGATCTGTCAAACTGATGCACCCGCAACACTCAGGTTCTGGAACAGGACTGCAGTCCAGAAGTAGATGAACAACCCAAACTTTCCACAAGAGTTTACAGCTGGTGAAGGCAAAGAAGAAGAAAAAGAAAACCTCAAATGAAGAGACTGTTGTAGACACTCGGACATCAAAAGTTAGACACAAAATTGTGAAGGGATTCTCTTAACTAATCTTCTTGTGACCTTTAACCTCAGCAATACCATTTTTCGCTTATATATTTAAAGTTATATATGTGACCCCCCACCCCCTTCCCCCATGTGGTAACTTGTGACCAGGTTACTGTGTCCCTTGCTGCTGTTGTGGTTTGTGCTGAGAAAGGCTTCTATCAAAGTCTTATTTTTCTTGTGTGTGTACAGACCCCCTACAGACCCCCTACACCCCCGCCCCCACCCTTTTTTTTCCGTCAAGCTTCTTAGTCATAGTTCAGTGGATTAACTTCATGTTATGCTAGCCTGTTGGCCACAGTTCAAATCCAAACTGATGTGGATGTTTAACGATGACCTTGACCCACAGGTCACCCCATCCATAAAATAAGTACCAGGAAATTCTTCTTCTGCACTTAAAAGGGTGACTGGTATGTTGTCTTGTGGTTTACAGCCAGGCTGTTATATCTGCAGCACTGAGCCCAATACCCTCTAATTTCAGTAAATGCACAAATAGCTGCCTTCTGTAACATGCTTCCCGCCCCACACCCCCCCCCCCCTTCCCCAAGGAATCTGGAATCCCCTCAAGGACCTATAGATTGTAAGCTGCAACAAATTTAGATTTTAAGTAAATGTTACACAAAACGGCATACATGAAATTAACTGAGTCAACAATACGTGTGTCTGAAAGAGACATAGAGATATATGAATCAGTAAAAGAAAAAAAACACTAAATGTATGAAATCTTTTTTTCTGACCCCATACTCACCCGCTGCAGACCCCGGTGGAAAGTTCTGGTTGTTTGTCCACTTCTGGACTTTAGTCTTGTTCCAGAACTTGAGTTTTGCGTGTACATCGATTTTGCAGATCTGGCTGATTTGTATGCTTGGTTCCTTATCTCTCAGGCACATGCATTCCGAATGGAGGAAACCTCTAATTAGCTGAGTTTCCCAAAATGCTTGTTGAGCGGGAGTGCAGTGAACCTATTATTTTTTCCCCTACAAGAGGGCCGCAAAAACCCACTGGGGATTTATGTAACTTATATGTAAACCAAATGTATGTGTAAACTACATGTATGTGTAAACTATATGTATGTGTAAACTAAATGTGTGTGTAAACTACATGTATGTGTAAACTACATGTATGTGTAAACTACATGTATGTGTAAAGAACATCTATGTGTAAACTATATGTATGTGTAAACTACATGTATGTGTAAACTACATGTATGTGTAAACTACATGTATGTGTAAACTACATGTATGTGTAAACTACATGTATGTGTAAACTACATGTATGTGTAAACTACATGTATGTGTAAACTACATGTATGTGTAAACTACATGTATGTGTAAACTACATGTATGTGTAAAGAACATTTATGTGTAAACTACATGTATGTGTAAACTACATGTATGTGTAAACTACATGTATGTGTAAACTACATGTATGTGTAAACTACATGTATGTGTAAACTACATGTATGTGTAAACTACATGTATGTGTAAACTACATGTATGTGTAAACTACATGTATGTGTAAACTACACGTATGTGTAAACTACACGTATGTGTAAACTACATGTATGTGTAAACTACATGTATGTGTAAACTACATGTATTTGTAAACTACACGTGTGTGTAAACTACATGTGTGTGTAAACTAAATGTGTGTGTAAACTACATCTATGTGTAAACTACATCTATGTGTAAACTAAATGTATGTGTAAACTACATTTATGTGTAAACTACATGTATGTGTAAACTACATGTATGTGTAAACTACATGTATGTGTAAACTACATGTATGTGTAAACTACATGTATGTGTAAACCATATCTATGTGTAAACTACATGTGTGTGTAAAGTATATGTGGAAAGAACAAAGTACAGCATAAGCAACGAGAGTGTTCCTTTTCCACTCTACTCACCAAAGGCTGACAACAACCAATCATTAACCCCTCCCTGGACAGCATCATGGCTTGTGTGAGGTGAAAAGACAGCAATCCTGTTCTCTATACAGTCCACGAGAATCCTCTCCTTCCAGGACCCCTGCGACAAGCGTTTGAATGGCCGGAATATGGGAGGGTGATAAGAGATGATGAGGTCCACCGTCTTGTTCTTGGCTTCCTCCATGACCGACACTGTCAAGTCATTGGTCAGCATGAGTTTACTGATGTACTTGGGAGGGGAGGGTTCCACCAGAAGACCAACATTATCCCAGTCAGCTGCGACCGAAACAAAGAAGATTTCATTTAGAAAATAATCAAATCAATCAGAAAGCCACCAAAACCGGCCAAGACGATTACCACTTTACGGTCAGATCAGATCAAGTTTTTATTCTACGCCTTAGAACAGGACACACTCGAATTTGTAGCCACATGTACACAAAATTTAAAATCGGCGAATCAGTCATGTACACATGTGCTTTGGCACCTAAGACAACAGATCATATCCTCTAAGACTGTCCCAAATACAACACATCAAGGCAAAACTTTCAACCAAGAAAAAAGACACTCTACATTTTTTGGTCATGTGATGAGAAGGAGAAAACTGGAGTGCATCGTGACAGTAGGAAAGGTGGAAAGGGAGGGAAAGCAGAGAGAAAAAATGCTGGACTGTCTGACATCATGGCATGGTGAATTATCTGGGTCAGAGTTGATTTAAAAGTACACGAGACAGAAGGTTGAGGATAGACATGACTACCAACGCCACACAGCATGGACTTCAAGAAGAAGACAAAGAAATCAGATGTGTTGGACTGAAAGCACTGATTCTGCAGCCTAGCTGTAAACCACAACACAGCATGCTAACTGCCCTTTTGAGTCTAAAACACAGAAAAAGAATAACAAAATAAGACACAGAAAACATATGTTGGAATGAGACAAAAACATGAACACATTCACACAGAGTATCTCCCACCTATCCAAAAGAACTCATTTATCTTCTTCTGCATGTTCACCAGCTGTAAACTCCAGTGGATGTCCAAATCTGGACTTTAATCTTGTTCCAGACCTTGAGTTTTGCATTCACATCCCTTTTAAAAATCTGGCTTATTTATTTTTATGCAGACTATTGGTTCCTGGCCTCTCAGACAAATACTAGGAAAAAGAAAAAGAAGAAGAAGAATTAGTTTTTCTTCCCCAAAGCTCCACATCCATGATTCTATCATACCGTTTAATTCCCTTTATTCTATGCTGACACCAGTTAATGAATGTCTGTAGTTTATTAATGAACTGATTTAATTATTCTGCATGTTTCTGCTCCATAAAATAGTACTGCTTTGACATCTGAGCCCAAAACTTTGAGTTTGTAATTAATTTTAGTGTTCTTTGGCTTCCACAGATTTTTTAGCGATACAAAAACTCCTGCCGGTACTATTCAGCTTTTTCACCATCTCATCAGGTGCAAGATTTCATAGGGAATTTTTAGGGATAGTCCTACAGTTTACAGGTTTTATGACATGCCTTCATTTGTTGTATACATACAACGTACTAAAAAGTGTCTTGGCTTTGTTCCACTGTGTCAACATACTGTCTCCCAGATGAAAGTATGCAACTTTTTTTCCTGTGAAAATCTGTTCAAGGTCAAGGGTTAGGGGTTAGAGGCAGGAATACTGAAAGGTCAAGGAAATCCATGGTAAAGGCCAAGTCACGAAGTAAGAACAGTGCCTCCATGCAGGGCAGAGTGAGAGCGAGGAACAAACGAAAGTAACACACACTGGAAATGATGATGCAATAAACAATAACAACGCTGAAAAGATTCAACACATGACATGCCTAGAATATAGGAGTTTTAGTGTTCATGTTAAATGAACAGCGACTAAGACTATCCCTTAACCCCCTCCGCCCCTCCCCAGACTCTAGGACTGTCCAGGGAAATTTATTTCGTTTCAAAATCGTGCACCCGACGAGATGGGGTGAAAAAGCTGAACAGTACTCTCCTGCATTCTGTATTTGTATTTTTCTAAGATTTCCATCTTGGTTCGCTCATGCTTCCTTACCTGCCAGGTGCAATGGTGCTGTATTCGTCAGTATGCCCACAATTTGCTTCAAGGAATTCATGTCTCCAGTTGAAGCTCCAGAAATACGTCGGATTAATGAAGGTGGGAGTCTGGAACAGTGCAAGTTTACACTCTTGCAACCAAATAAAGCGGCAAGCTTTGATGACCTTGAGTGAGAACTGCTGTTTCTGAAACACACAGGACAAAAATTGTTTTACATTTTACATTATAGGGGACTTGTGTGTGGGTGTGCATGCGCGCGCACTTGCATGCATGTGAGTGCATGCATGGGTGCGTCCCTGCCTACTACTTTCAGTTAGAAACCTCAGCCGAATATGGTCTTAGTGTCAGGACACTGCCACTGTTAACCAATAGTTGCAGGTAGAAGTTGAAGGCAATTATCAAATGTCGAAGAAGTACTTAAATTTAGTATTACTGTATTAAGAAATTACTCCATATCATGTGTACCACTACCAAAAAATGTTTGGGGGGGGGGGGGGGGGGAAATGTCTTGGGCCCTTATAATTTTCCTGGGGCAGTACTTAATCTTTGTTTAAGTGTGCCATAATAATAATTATCATCATGCGCTAAATGTAACTATATATTTAAAATAATACAAAATGTAGAAACAATTACTTAAAAACAGAGTGTCTGTACATGCTTAGAGGGACAATTGAGCCCCAATGCTTAGCAGGTGGGGGGTTGGGGGAAGGGGGTAACCCCCTCAAGAATTATGAATTACTGCAGGGGTCGGATGGGGGACCTCAAGGCATCTGATCCTTTAGCTTCTGCCACATCATATGCTCCGTATTCAGATTTACAATGTTTTCTATTATCACAGTCTTATTGCGGACGGATTTATAAATGTATATGTCCCTAACTGTTTGTATTTCTGGCATTTAAGTCAATAATGTGCCATATAATTGTTTCTAACATTCAGCACAGCTGCCTTAGCTAACCCTTTGGAGACGACGCAGCTGAAATATCGGCACAAAGCAGCCAAAAGGACGAACGGGCCGATCAGTCTGCGCAATATAATACAAACCATGAAATTGACTGGCAGGTTTATGTACCAGCCAGTAAGATTGCTTCTTGCATTTCTTGTATATGTGGGCTGTTTAATTAGGGCTTTCGAGAAAGTTTGATGTGTTTTGTGTTTTTTTACATTGATTTTTGTGTAGGGTTACCTGTGCCCAAAAAAGGACTGTTGCGACATAACAATAACAATCGAAACAGCAGTGGAGGCAGGAAAAGGAGTAGAACCATGTGCCAGAAGTGTCTCCCTGGGCTTTATTTCCCAAACAAAGGTGTTAGGACTTATTCAGGCTTCGTCCATAAAAATATTCACCAACATTTTTCAGGTTAGTCATGTTTGTTCAAGAGTTTTTAAAAAAAAGCTTGCGTAAATTATGCAAATCAGAACAGTTAATTTGAATAAATGTTAAGATTTTAGTTTGATTCATAAATATTCTGTTAGGTCATTCAATTTCCTACACGAATATGTATAGTTTTGTAGATGTTAATTAAAAAATTTTTTAATAATGTTTTGTGTGTAAGCTTAGAGAATTCTCCTCTGAAGGCTCCATCTTTTTGGCACTGAAACTCCAAAAAGGCTCCGTCTCCAGAGGGTTAAACTTCTTCTTCTTCTTTGCGTTTACCAGCTGTAAACTCTGGCGGAAAGTTCTGGTTGTTCATCCACTTCTGGACTGCAGTCCTGTTCCAGAACCTGAGTGTTGCGTTTGCATCTGTTTTAGTAGTTTTACCGATCTGACTTATTTGTATGCAGTTTGCTAGTACCTGTCTCTCAGGCAGATGTACTCCAACTTCGAAGGAAGCTCCAAATTAGTTGATTATTACGACATGCTTTTGGGTAGGCAGTGGGTCTATTCTTGTTTTTCCTATAATAGGGCTCTGGAACCCACACAGGGAGAGTGTTAAACAACTTAATATACTAGAAGCCATTTCAAGTAATAAAAAAGCAATAAACTATTACTATCAGACATTCTATGCGTTTTTTCCTCACAGAATGAAAAATGAACTGTAAGTTTAAATATGCATTTTTAGAAATTAGGCCCAGCCTATGGTTAAATAAATGAATGGGATTTTTTGTCTTTGAATAATATGGGGCCGGTATTCGGAAGAGTGCCAATAAATCTTTACTTTCAACAAAATTAATTTCTCTTTTTTACATCAACACAGAAAATAAACAGTCAAAAACAAACTTTGCATCTATTAGTTACATATTATAACAGTCAGTCGTACTTCAAATGAAACTTGATCATCAAGAGTTACAAGTAGCCTACTGCTCTAACATACCTTCTCATATACTATGACATACATACCTGTCTTTATTTATGGTTCAATACACATGTACAGATAAATGTACGGTTTATGTATAAGCCTTACATTGCTATACTATTGTATAAACTGTTGGCCTCAGAGCTGAGCCTGCTATCAGTGTGTTTCAAAACTGTGTTTCAGGGGCCCGTTTTCTGGTTTTTTTTTGTGTTCACAGAATTTTTAAAAGTTGATTAGAGGAGGAGGAGAGAGGGGTGGGG